AAGATCGAGACATTAGCGTCAACATCCGACTGCTCTCCAGTGTCTTCACGAACCTACAAAATAGCTGGAAACGCGATATGAGTCGATGTACGGCCACCAACTGGGGTTGTCTGAGACTAGTGTCATACTGTTAGAAGGCTAAAAAGATGGATGTGAGAAAGCGGTGAACTTAATGAACGTATAACGATGGCGTTTGTGCTAGATATAAGTACCACCATCCAGCGCTTATAACTCTGCATCAATCAAAGTACTAGTGAATGTTAGTTGTAATTTGCGGAACAGCAAAAAAGACACGCGCGCGGAATGTTTGAGAAGCTGTCCGTGATCAATTGATTTTTAACACCATCTCTAGAATACGAACAGAAATGACAGGGCACGAGGGAAGCAGACCCCGGCCCGGGCGTCACCCTTATAATTAAGAATAGGAAGCCCTATATTTAAGCGAAGCTGCACAGCTCGAGTCATAAAATGATGGAACGTACGCACTAAGGGTAGCGCCACTCTGATGAAAACACACGCTGCGCTACATCCATCGTACGGGCCATGGATATCGATAAATCATTGAAGGTGGAGACCGGATAATTTGCACTGTTTGCGGTGCAGAGCTGTGGGTAATCAAAACTCGAAACAGAATATGCGAGCATGTGCAAGATCAGCGTCGACCACTGATCCGCAAAGCCTTATATATAGTTATCCATGGCCAAATGCTCCGCGGCGTTCTCAAGGAGCGAATCAATAATTTAGCGTCAGATTGCAAATAGACGCCCGATAATTAGAGACTATTGCTCCTTACCCCAGAGAACCAATGTGCAATATTTATCTTCATTCGGGACTGTTGGAGCGGTGTATCTGCGACTGTGTGCCTAGAAACTAGCATCACTGTCACAGCGGTCTGACTTACATTTGAACATTGTCTTTGAAGCTGCAGTGGTGGTTGACAATCGCAAGCTGCAGTGCAGCGTTAATGCACATAATGCTGTGGGAATGCTGTGAAATGCGGATGATGATCAACAATCTCTTTATTCGGGTCCAACTTGCTTGGCATAAAGAGCTTGCTCTCACGATCACTAGTCACTAGTCACTGCCGGCCACCGAGTTTTTCTATGGCTGGCCATCCATTGGGGCACTAGGAAAATGCTGCGCCACTGCTGCGACTGCTGCGGGGTTTGCCGCGACATACCAAACTTTGACCTGTACGCTACTACTAGTACTACTACTAAGTAAACACACAACTTGCTTGTTGCCGGCCACACGCTCTGGACTCTGCATCAGCCTGGTGCTTTGAAGGACTTTACACAATTAATACAACCTCACTCGGTTATTGTTGTCTTGAACTGCGGCACTGAAGACTAATTTCCAGTGTGTTCCAAACTTCCAACTCCTGAGTCACCAGATTTCAGACTTCAGCTTTCCGGATTCTGAGATGATACGAAAGTCCACTATTAAAGTATATATTACTGTGAGTCTGCAATATAACAGCCTGAGTTTTGACATTATCAGATTCAGCAAGTTATGTTGCAGCCAGCACCTTTGTCGCGGGCGTCGCGGTCGTCGCGGTCACAATGTCGCAGCACAACCCAAATATGGAAAGAAGGTGCCCGCGACGACCGCGACGCCCGCGACAAATCAGTGCATAATCATATGTCAGTCAAATGTCAGTAGCCAATATTCAATTCCAAATGAGGACGATTTTCACCGTTATCGATGGCTTGAGCAATCTGTATCGTCTCGCGTCACTCAGTGTTTCCCTCATCCTCAACTTGAAAGATTATGAACTAGTACTAACTATTGGTAAGAAACGATGGTTAATTTTGTCAGTCGACGCCTTCCAATACTCCGTGTGCGAAGCTGACAAGAAGGACAACAGGGCTTAATCCGGCACATTTATAACTACTATTATCCTACTAATGCAGCGCCCTCTACGTGTACCCGCGCAGATTCCCAACCATCAGCAGCCGCGCCTGTGTCTCCAAATGCACCTAGTGCATCACTCACCCCCATCGCACCAACACTGTCCATTCAGAACTCTTTGCCCGCCGCAGGGACTATGCCAACATCTTACCATTCGTCCCCATCCTCATACGTCGTCATCAATTTTAATATACCGTCAAGCCCACTACCCCCTTCGACTCGCGATCTGCAAAGGCTCAGTGATGCACATGCCAATCGATTCGAGACTATGGAACTCAGTTCAAACGCCCGATCCAACACGCTTGCCACCCACCCGTTCCCAGCAGCCCAGTCGGTCATTGGTACTAATGGGCGAGAAGTTCTGGCCACCGCCACCAAGCTGGATGCTCCTCAAAATACGAACATGGTCCCTCTCAGAGTAGCCACATCGGCTGCTGCTGTCCCGCAAGCGCAAACGAAGCACCTCCAAGAGGACCGTCCACCACCAACGAAGGTACCTGCTACCCTGAAGGACCCACCGATGCAGAACAAGGCACCTATCACTGCCCGCGCCACGTCAGATATCAAAGAGGTGAAAGATACCCATGCTAATTTATCCGAGCTTTGGGATGGTTGGCCTGACGGAAGTTATGCTCACCTGTTTTCTTGGGAGGATGCCTATCAGACAGATTTCTTGATGGAACACTGGGCCAACCGGAACCGAGGAGGCGATAAGGGACGAAGCGACGATGCTGAGAACTGGCAAGATGGCTTTCGGACATGGCGTACATGTCTCGGAATCATTGTCTGTGACGAGCCCACTTGCCAAATAATCACACGTCCTGCCACACGCAAAACCACCCTCATTAGTCAACTCCATGCTTCCTGCGACTGTGGAGGAAATCTCATTCATCAGCAATGCCCCGGGAAAGCCACATCCATCCTTTACCGATTTCGCGGTGGCGTATATTACGAGCACAACGGCAATCACGACCACGCCCGACCTACTCATATATTACACCTAACGAAAAGTCAGCGCACTCAGTTCGAGTCTATCGTAGCTGCCAATCCTCATGCCCGAGCTGCGGAGCTGTACACAGGCGTTGCTGGACTGACTGGACCTCAGCCATCGGTCGCCGATATATCTTCTGTTCTCTATAATGTCGTCAAGCGTCGTCAACAGGCGGCTATACTGTCAAGTATTGCGGTGATCTGACCGCAGTCCAGCAAGCACAGGTCGCCCATTGGATATTTGACAACATCGAAGAGGCGCAAGAGACTGTGGTGCAATGGTTAGGCTGCGCGGCATTTGCTCACGCACTCACTATTATGCTCGCATGCAACAAGCGCAGCATATTGGAGGCAGATCCCGACTACCCCAAAGATGGTACCGCGGACGCGCAGGAAGAGTTCATTCTCGAAGCCGCATGGCCAACCCTTTTAAACCAAACTGGCAAAAGCACAGACGTGATCTACACGGATGTTGACCTGGAATGTCTATCGGTCTTCGAACAGCGCCTGTTCGAGAAGTCGGCTCAGTCAGGCTCTGCAGGAAACTATCAGTGGGGCCTGGATGCTGGGAACCATCAAGATGGTTGGGACCCATATACTGGGCTCCCATCCCACTGGAACCACGAGGATCGTGATGAAGGAGATGCCGGTTATGATGAAGACGAGCTTGAGGTACTATGCTTTCCGACTCTCGAAACGGTCCTAGTTAACGATCAACTTAGCGCGGGCCAGGTTTCAGTGACAGCGACGATGTCGAGCAACATACGTCAGGATCTCGGAAGCGACAGGTAGCAGGATCCCATGGAGGACTAAGAAAGCGAAGAAAAGGTGGCACTGACCGCGTCTTGAGATGATGCCCGCGACTGCGCAGTCACTTGCTCAGAAGAAAGAAAAATAGTATTGTATACGCAGCAATAAGACTACAATGCAATATGAAAGATTGTTTGGGGACAAGGAAGATAGTCGTTGAAACGATGTATGGGAGACCTGACTTGCAGACCAGAAGTACTTGTGATGATACCGTCTGACCGTGACTTTGTGAGCGTGATTATAATAATAAGGAGTGGGCGCATGCTCGACTCCATGGTTTCGTTTGGAGAACAATGATTGGGAGGTTCCAGTGACTAGCAGTAAGTGTAATTGATGCGCACTCACTATTTGGGAGCAGCGCAGCAGTGGTCGCGGCAGTTGCCGCAGCAGTCGCAGCAGTGGCGCAGCATTTTCACGATGCCCCATCCATTGCTGTTCATTCTGGTCCATCGTTCCATGGTTCGGGCGCAACAGCTCGCGCGGATCTTATGTCCGCCCTCTTTGAGATCACAAATCGTGGTTTTAGAGCTTTCCTTTAGCGAATCATCTGTCATTCGAGTCATCGACATGGTCATCTTCTCAGGAACGGGCTGGCGGTCAGTGACGTCTGTCGATATTCACTGGGGACCCCAGCATACGTGCTGCTTTCCGCATAACCCAACCTATCGAATCAGCGTGTTCGGTAGTAAAATGGCCTATGCCCTCACTCAAAGGTCATACCCCTGAACTTGGAACACTCTCCGCCGAGTTCCTTCTATATCCACATCTGGGACTTCAAAAAATGAGTCGTTACTCATTCGGAAGGCATGCACAATCCCAACTTGCCGGACCAAGTTCTCATCCACAAGCCTGGTCGGCTAGCTCAGTTGTTCTTCGATGCAGAGATCACCTCTAATCAACCTTATATCGCTGCCGTCTGCCGTACGCTTTGTTCGATGGATGACTTCCACAGTTTGTTCTTGGACGAAGATCGAATTCCTTTAACATGAGTAAGTGTTCTTAGTTGTGTATATATGGACTGCTGAATCTGGCAGTGCTGATATTCCATCTCCCCAACCCGGTCCGCAACCTTTTTTTACTCTGCTATAATGATCATGCAGCGCTCGTGACGAGGGATTAGATTTGCAGCTGAAATTCAGTTAAAGGAGAATGTCGGATGCGATTCACAGGGTATGTATCCAACTGCTCGCACTGTAACACTACATAAATTATCTTACATGCGCCGCATGCACCATATAACTAATAAGTACCACAAACGAAACTTAGAATCAAGCAAAAACAAAATTCTTCTACTCCCTCCAGAGCACCAGACAACCGTCAACTTCATCTAGCATCTCCCGTGCTACACACCATTGCCGGTCGATATATGCACGCGCTCCTGGAAAGCGATTGAGGTCATGCCCGTTGCTGCGTCAGAGTCAGCCACGAGCTTCGCGTGATATTCTCGAACTCCAAGGATCAGGCGGGGTCCCAACACAACCATCTGCACGACCTGTAAAATTTGAGAAGAAACGACCATTCCAGGGGATAATATTGGCCCTATAGAAATGATGAACTGTGGCCGCATATAGGGGTCAGTGACAGACTGGCATACTGAAGACGAATCTATGAGGCTAAGACAACAAACAGCAACAAAGCTAGCATGTCCGATCCTTCAGCGGAAAAGAGACCCACATTCACAATATGAGCTCACCTCGCAAAGTAAAACATGTGAGTTTTCATCAACACCCTGAAACAGTCCCCAACAATTCCTCCTGCCGAATGTTGTCGCATTTCACGGAAGTGTTTTCCAGCAATCCAGACTGCGAGACACAGTGCGAAGACCTCCCACACAGTGACAAGTATCCAAGCAATGCCATCCAGAAGCAGGGTATCTTCCGCGTAGACGACCGTGCACTGATAGGTGCCAGAGAGGATCAGCTCCTCTGGTATACATCAATAAGCTCCATTCATATTTTTTCATCCACAATTAAGCGTACCCCCTGAACCTTGCACCGTTTCCATTACCATTACCATCCCATTGAAAAGGTTGAAAGCCAGGAAGGTGACAACGAGAAGTATCAGGATCTTTCTGGATCGTTGATACATGGCATGTAACCGAGCTATCATGATGACTTGCAAGATGTCTCAGTCAATGTAGATATCACCGAGGTCTGGCAACTGCAAAGCTCACCCTCCAGCATTGCAAATGCCACAGCATATGCCCAATCCCATATGACGAACACAATCCAGCCTGACGAATCCAGTTAGTGATCAGCCTCGGGTAGCACACTCCAAACAGACTCACATCTGTGGTAGTCATTATAGTGAACCAATAACCTGGTCAAAAATCACACTCACGTCTACAGGGCGCCACGGTTAATTGAAGGGGGGGAGCGGGCATCAGTGCAAAAGACCCACTGCGTCTGTCAACAAGATTGTTGGAACCCTGTCTGTATGTCGCAGGTCAGAAGAGGAAGAGATCGTGAATGCGCGAAGACATACACGGTATGTTCGTGCTGATTGTGAGATATGGTTCATCAGTACAAAAACAGTGCCGAGGTTTCTAGACATACAAAGTAAACAACATTCCAAGATAGCGCACCTAGGATATTTTCAAGAGTCGGCATGAGTTGTCAGTCACAGCTATAATGCAAGCTACATACACAAAGATACAGAACGGTCATGAGTGACCAACGTTGCCTCTGTCGCAAATTAATTTTGTTCCTCTGATGTGGAATTCCGCTCACCCAGATCAGTTCGACCTAAAATCATTATTAGCAAAATGGCTGCTCCGGTCGTAGCATTACCATACCTCTTGCCCCAATGTAAGTGCTGTAAATAGTTGTAGGATATCAGCAGTTCTACAATATTATCATGCTCACCCCAATCATACGTCACTACAACAGCGGCAGCAACTGCAAAACCACAGTCAAGGTTAGATCGAGACGTCCGAGTCAGCGCAGCGACACATCAGGAAAAAGCAAGCTGACTATATAGTGCTATATAGTCAGCATAGTTAGCGGAGCTCGGGAGCTACCTGCCTTGTATATAGCCAGTAAGGCAACTATGTAGTATTACATAGTACTACGAGGCAATACTGTAGTAGCTTGTAGTAGCCTGTAGTTCATAGGAATGCTCCTACAGGCAGCTACCAGCCGCTCCAAGGAGTTATATAGCACACTGTAGGGAAAGTAGCACACAAAATAGCACGGAAATAAATGAATTCAAACACGTCAAACAAGCTAGTAGCAGATTCAATTAATACCTCAATCCTCGCCTGCTGCTCTCGCTTGCCCCCACATCATCATCCTGCCCCTCAACTCTCGTTATCCTCCACATTGTCCTGCTCTTCAAGCTGGTATTCTCGGATTGCATCTTCAAATGTGTTGTCGTTAATCTGGTGGGGTGCAGCCGATATCATAGCAAGTGGCTCGACACCAGCATGGAAGCTCGAAAGCACAAATGTTAGGCTAGGGCTTATAAAATTGAAGTGAAACATACCGAGCTGTGTCATGGAGATTGTCACAAATCTTCTCGAGAAGTTTATAAGGCGCTGTGTGTTGTTGGAAGCGCTGCAACGAGGCCAAATGACCTTTGTAGACAGAACCGTAGGTAGCTGATGTGAATTTGATATCTTCCTTGAGACCTTGAGCCCACTTGTCAATGCAACACTCGATCTATCAATGATGAGGCATCTTCAGTGCCATTGACTTCAATGTAAGAATACGGGATGTGACTCACGGCTGTCAGAACGAGTGCAACGGACTTCGGTAGGTATGGGGTTGAAATACTTGTAGTAGATAATACCTTCGTCATTTCGGTTTGCGAACCACATGATGTTGATGCCTTCTTGCAGTAATTTGGTCTTGTAGATCCCAGTCTTCGATGTCCAATCCTATACCTAACATTCAGAAAGGTCATTTAAGACAATGAACTGCGTACCTTGAAAACAAATGAGGAACCCTCTTTCAAGGATTTGGCCTGATCACGGTTGTGCCTTATAACCTCCTTTGATTCACTTGAGCAGGAACCCAAAATATGAACAAGTCAGCGATCGCATCTTTGTTTTGAGTTCACCGCGGACGTGCGATGTGTGCTTCAAGATCTTCATAATAACATTTCTCAGACCGAAAACGCGCACAGAACATAAGGCTTACCATTTTCATTGCTGAAGGAGTTAATTTGATGTTGGCGCCTTTTATTTTGCACGACTCGTTCCAGGCCTCCTTCGCGAGTTTCATCTCAACAGCTATGGTGTCAGGAAATGGAGCATGCATGACGAGTAGGCACCGGAAAATGGACACCGCCATTACGAGAACTTCTTTTGAGATGTCATCAAAGTCACTGACTTTCAGACAGGAACCGTCCAATTCTTTCTTGATTTTCGGCCTTATCATAGCGTCTTCTGGCGCGGTATCGAGACATCGTTTTGTCCCCCGAGCAGCCATTGATGATTCCATGGCAGTGTCGCCATCCTCTGCACAATCATTCGATCTGGTCAGCCTCGGGTTCAGAGTCGTTACCAGACTCATCACTGGTACCATCCGAGGTAGTAGAAGTGCCGTCCGAAGTGCCATCCAAGTCCCTATCACTTGGTGGAACTACTCTTTTAGCTTAGATAGAAATGTATTAGTTTCTCTATAATTTGCAGGCAGCAATTACATACCTTTCGGACCCTTTGTCGACTTGCGCGCACTGGTTGTGGGAGTGGTGGTGCGTGACGCTTTGGGAATCTTCCCCATACTGAAAGTCAGAAGCTTGGGTTTTGACAGCTTCGTCTGCACACTGTGATCTGAGAACTAAATAAAAACAATCAGTTGTTGATTGAGTTGACTGAAAAGAAATGAGTGATCAAACCATGGTGTCCTCCTCCTTGTCGATGTTGCTAAGCAGTACTGACGGCTCTTTTTCAAAATGGTCGGGATCATTTTGATAGGCCGTCTTCAGCACCTTTTTTTGCCATTTTTTTAACTTATCTTGCTTCCTTGCTTGACGGTGGATGACCTGTTGTAATTCCAACCCTGGAGGGAGGCCATGTCACAAGTGAGCAAAATACAATGTCATAGCAGCAACAGCAGCAACTTACCTTGGTAGCTTGCTTTTTCAGTTGGTCGTCGTTGACGACCACTCATGGTGCGTGCAAGTGGTTCCATTTCCAGTGGCGAAACCGGAGCACCCGATTTTGTTCGCTTAGAGGTGGCCTTGCGAAGAGCCATGGTTGTTGGACCTGGGATTCAGCAGTTTTTATAGCGCCGTGCAGGAAATAAACACTTACAATCCAAACCTTGAATCATTGTTGATTCGTTTAATGCAGGGTTGAAAGCTGTGTTAAATTTTTGAATGATAAAAAGGTATGAACGTACCTTAACAAAATATTTTAACTGTCATGGACACCTCAGTGAGCGGCTCAGCGAAAAAAACGGTATAGAACTCACTTCAAACACTTGCCATGCTCTAACGAATATTACAGTCCTGTATCGCCATCCACTGAGGCCACCTGTAAAGACGGGAAAATCATTATAAAAAGGCAAGTTACCCCTTCTCAGTACCCCAAAATACTCACCGACTCAGTGCAGGCCAAAGGTCGAAAACACCTAATGTTGAGCTCCATATGCCGGAGCCCACTCAGCCCATGGTCCCACTCCCGCCATTTCGTCAAACTCCTGGCCCTGTCTTGGTATCTCAAACATACCTGCGAAGACTCATTGTGGAGCGTTGGGAGGCGGAAGTGAAAGCCTGTGAGAAATCAAAACAATTGTGACTGTTAGAATTAGCACCAGGCCCAGCTTTGACCATCATACAAGCAAGTGTGAGAAGGCTTGTCATTGAGTGCTGGGATGCAGAGGTGAAGCGTTGCGAGGAGGCAAAGCAGGCACAATTATTGGAATTACTCCTGGCCGCCCATGGTATATCCAGACTAGGGTAGTGCTAGTTAACCAATTTCAATACAAGTCTGAAAATCGCGGAACTTACCATATATATCAATAAAAAATGTTGCCTCTGGCGGTGCTCTCCGTCATGAGGTGAGTGCGCATAAATCCTAACAATCCAATGCCAAACGATAGTGAAAGAAGACCTTTTATGCACTTCGTATCGGCAATTTTCTGAGCAAACTGGGTGAGGAGAGGCAATGTGGTAGACATGTCCACAGGCTTCTTGATGACTTTATAATATGTCGGAATATCAAGCTTTACAGCATCTGTAGGATTATGATCGATCTCATCGCAAGGTACTGAAATTGACTTTGGTCATACCAACAGGCTCATAAAACGGAGCAGCAATTGTTTGATGCTGCTTTCGCTGAAGATCACTTAAGATCCTCCCTGCGAGCAAACTGGGTGAGGAGAGGCATGACGGTGGTAGGATCATTGCGATGGTAGACATGTCCATGGGCTTCTTGATGACTTTATAATATGTCAGGAATAGTATCAAGCTTTACAGCATCTGTAGGATTATGATCGATCTCATCGCAAGGTACGAAATTGACTTTGGTCATACCAACAGGCTCATAAAACGGAGCAGCAATTGTTTGATGCTGCTTTCGCTGAAGATCGCTTAAGATCCTCCTGAGCAAACTGGGTGAGGAGAGGCATGACAGTGGTAGGATCATCGTGATAGAGCTCAGCTCTGGCACTTGATGAGGGTGCCGGCGCTATGGGCAAACCTAAAAAACAATGTGTGAAATGAACATCAGAAAGTGAAATGAACGTCAGAAAAATGTCAGAAATGATCTTGAAGTTGAAACGAGAAAAACGAACTTCAATCACTCACCAACAATGTCGCACAGCTGCGGATTCTGTGGCAAGATGTTCCCTTCAAAGGGAAGCGTCAAAAAGCATATATCTATTCGCCCTGAATGTAAAGAAAAATGGGAGTCAATGGTGGAAGACACAGACAGCGAAGGTGGCCTACCGGACCTCTCATTCAATCATTCATCTCCGCTTCGCCGCTCACGCTCAACATCTTTCGATCCTCATGACAACCCAGCAGCCTCAAAACTTGGCGGGTGACTGCGGAAGATGTTGCCGATGAAGATGAGGACAATGTGATAGTCGATAACAGGCGATATTTTGAGCAGTGCCCTGATGCCAGCTGGACATTGCGGGAGGGGAAACTAAGTTTGAAAAGTATCAGCAGGATAAGGAGGACGAGGGAGAAGATGAATGGGCACCTTTTTGTGATAAGTACAAGTCGCGTTCTGTTCATTGTGTCTGCAGGACGGTTAACATTTGTCACCAGGGAGGAATGGGAACTTGTGGAATGGCTTACCAGAAGCCTTGGGCAGACCCGTACAGACGAGTTCCTGAAGTTACCAATAGTAAGCTTGTCAGTGACCACTGAAAAAATGTGCTTACCGCAGCGACAGACTCGAAACCGAACACAGCCGTCCTTTCACAATAACCAATCCTTCCTGCAGAAAGTTGACAAGCTTCCACATGGACCTGCGTGGAGTTGCAAGAAGGTCAGCATTCAGGGAAACCAAACCAATGAGAATGGCCGGTTATTGCACGAGGATGTCGAGCTTTGGACACGGGACCCTGTAGAGTGCATCAGAGATCTCATCGGTAATCCTCTATTTAAGGAACACATGGTATATGCACCAGCACGAGCATACAAGGACCACGAAGGACTTCACCGCGTCATCGATGACATGTGGATGGTGGACTGGTGGTGCGACAAACAAGTAAGTATCTGATCCAAAAAATTGAGTGAAAAAATAAGCACTGACCTGCAATGTTCAGAAACAACTGCCGAAAGGTGCAACTATTGCACCTGTCATTCTCGCGTCAGACAAGACATGTCTGTTGCAGTTCCGAGGTGACAAATCTGCGTGGCCTGTGTATCTTTCGATAGGGAACATCGCAAAAGAAAAACGAAGGGAGATGTCAGCGCGAGCAACAGTTTTAATTGGGTACTTACCGGCAGGCAAGCTCGATTGTTTCACATCGGATTCACGATCCCTTGCTAGTTACAACTCTTCCACCATTGTATGTCTCTCCTGCTTCAACCACTCATTGCCGCAGAACGAGACGGTGTTGAAATGGTCTGTGCCGACTCGATGGTCTGTCGAATATACCCGATCCTTGCAGCTTATGTGGCGGATTTTCCGGAACAATGTCTTGTGGCATGTTGCAAAGAGAATCGCTGCCCAAAGTGCCTGGTCGCGGCAGATGAAAGAGGTGATCCACTGAGTTCACCAATGCGGGACCCCCAGTTGATAAAAGAGATCTTAGAGAAGCAAAAAAAGGGTCAACATCCAAATGAATTCAAAGACTTTGGATTACGCACTGTCTACAGTCCTTTCTGGGCCAATCTCCCGCACACAGACATATTCCTTGCTTTTACACCTGACCTCCTACACCAGCTCCACAAGGGCGTCTTCAAAGATCACTTGGTGAAATGGTGTCTTGAAATTGTTGGCGAAAGCTGAGATGGATGCATGCTTCAAGGCAATACTGGACTATCCAGGTCTTCGGCACTTCAAAAAAGGAATATCAGCAGTAAAACAATGGACGGGCACGGAACACAAACAAATGCAACGTGTTTTCGTAGGGTTACTTGCTGGCGCTGTCCCAAGGTACGCTTGATGTCATGCTTGCAGCTTGAACTTTGTGCTAACATAATCAATTTTCATTTGCCAGTCAAGTCCTGGTAGTCGCACAAGCTATCTTAGATTTTTCTTACTTTGCACAGCTCCGAACACACACATCTGACACCCTTGAATATCTGGAGAACGCCCTTGCAGTATCAGCCCATACTGTCATATTGATATATCCAAACTGGCTTATTAGCCAAAAACCCTGATACATCATTCGGTTTAGCTATCCACTGTAGCACTATCTAGGTTGATGTATCCTTGGGTGGATCCCAACAGTGGCTTCTGTATACATCATTCCCAGCATATTTTCGCATTTTTTGCCACCTACCCCCCCACAATATTCTCACACTTCATAGCTCCGCATTTTGGGCCACCTACTGTGGGAATTTCCCCACAACACCAAAAACATCGCCCATTTTGGGAATCTCCACAATATCAATTATTCCCACACCCTCCCCACCTTACTGCAGCTTCACCACTACACCACAATAGGTCCCCCCTTGTATCTAAGTAGTAGTTTGGGATATACATGTATAATATACTATAATAGACCGCTTTTTTTGTGTATTTGTATGCCTGCTCCTCCTCCAGGGCCCTTTTAAAATGAAGTAGGACACAGAACACTTTCGCATTTTTGCCCCTTTGATGTGTAAGTGTCTCAGGCCATTCAGAACATGTTTATGAGTATATATGAAGAGAATAACATCTTTATTTGACCCCCTTGAGCGTCCTAAATCAATAGATATAACATATATACAGGAAGATACAAAATATATTGCCATTTTTTTATTTCTAGGTGGGTGTACTTGAAAAAATCATTCCCAGCACCTATTGAATAATAGGAACAATGTGTGAGGAGCTCATTACCACAGGACAAGAGATTGTTGTGTAGTGTACCCCCCCTCCCCTGGTGGTTTACCCCCTGTGAAATTTTTCCTGTAGGACCGGACCTCAAGAAGTGTAGGGGGTTTATTCATATTCATATTTAGAGTGTATCTATCACCCAGCTACTCCAGAATATCCACAGTGTCCTTCCACAGAAACATAAATATAATATATTGCAATTTTGACATTTTTGATGTTTTCCATTCCCTTACTCTTGCACAAATGATTCAAGCTGGTCATATATCATCATTGGGGCACATATATATGCTTTGTATGCCCAGGATCAGCTCAGAATAGGCCGGAGGTTTCAGATAATGTGTATACTTACTATTTCTACTGATTAGGGGCCCATACCTTTAAAACATCAGTATTTAATGATCAGACATCTGTAGTACATCTCACATACATTCAGCATCATAGGACTCAAGTTATAGAAAGATCTACCCAGAATTGAGGACTGGGGAAGTAAATAGATAAGAAATTGAGTGTGGGAAACTTCAAATGCTCAAAACATCGAAAGTGGTCAGTTAGACTCCGTTCGGGAACTCGAATCTGGCTAAGTTTCGACGAGATTTTGAACTTCAAATTTGCTTAAGTAAGCTTGCCGGATTGCCGTTCAATGTGACTGATTACATGTCACACCTTGATATCATATACGGTTATGCCCCCAACCCGACGCTTTCATTATTGCGACCATCTTCGCAGCCAAACGACTCTAATGACGAAGAAGAACTCGAAAAAACGACAGGATGCCACCTTGATGGAACCGAAAGATCGTTGCGTTTGGTCACAGAGCGACGAGACGGTGTTGATAAACTATGTCATCGCCAACAAATCGAAAGGGGGAGATGGCCTCAATTTCGATAAGACATTCTGGAATGATACTGCTGTGGAGATGGTGAAACAGCCTGTAATGCAAGGTGAGTCCTGCCACAGATATCACGCCGTATTCATCTGACTTCTGCCTTATTCTAAGGCGCTGCAAAGACTGCAGAGGCATGTCAAACAAAATGGTCACGAGTACGTACTTATTTCTACTGAGTGGCTGCTGGCGGTACTGATCTCTACTTTTCAGATTCGCAAGTTGTATCAAGTCATCTACAAGATAGCGCACGCCTCTGGAATCTCATACAGTCCAGAGCTTGGCGCAAATATCGGACGTGAATCAGAGACGATCTGGGCAGACTACACTAGGGTATGTTTTTTTTATCATTTCCTGTCATGCCATGTGCTAACTACATACATAGCACAACCCCCAAGCAAAGCCTTACAAGACGAAGGGCTGGCCTCATTATGAGGCGCTACATGGTATCATGTCAGCGCAACCAAGCACCTGGGTTGGTTTCCACGCGGGCATTGACAACGCCGACAACGCATTAACACCCAGCGTAAGTGCCACTCCTGGGCCATCCAGTGCCAGTGACGTCATGATGGCGTCACTGGAGGACGCACTTGACCGTGTGGAATTCAACGCTCATCCTACTACTGACAACAATAACGACACTATGCACGCTGAGCCAGGGACATCCGGTCCTCCCATCGCACCCCTCATTCCCATCTCCATTCCCCCCACAGCTTCTACTCCTGTCACGCCCATCACGCCCATCACCCCAACCAGTTTCAAACATCATGCAAAGTCGCCCTGCTCCCTCCACTCCTGCATCTTCAACAGCTGTGAAACGCAAAGCTGAAGGGAATGACAGTTCGCGTCATGAGTCCCGTCCACCGCAATCCTCCAAAGGGAAGTCGTCATCAAAGTCGCAGCGTCTATCAATGCCGTCAGCATTGGAAGGCTTGGGAGGAAAGATGGCTGATAGTATCGCTAATGCAACGACAGCATTTCAGGAGACAGTCTCCAGTCATTTTGTTGAGCCTGTCCCTCTCCGCAAACAAAAAGCCATTCTACAGGTACAGGACGAAGAAGATCTCGACGCGCATGAAATTGTCACTATGATTAATTTGTTTCAAGCTGATGTTTGTGTTGCTGATTCGTATCTCAACATTAAACATGATATCGTACGCAAAGTCTTTCTTGCGCAGTATTTAGAGGACTATAGGAAGGCGAAGGAGCTCTAACTACGCTACAATTTGTTGTAGTACTAAATACATCATGTTATCGTTCTGGTGCTAACCATGCTTCTTCCTCTGCATCCAACCAGAATGGTGTTTCTTCCTCTGCCATGAACGACTCATCTTACGAAAATTCGTATCATGTCTCCCGACTCTGCATCCAACCAGAATGGTGTTTCTTCCTCTGCCACAAACGACTCATCTTACGAAAAATTTGATACATTGAGAAAGTGCTACAGTAAGAAGAATAGCGCTACACTAAGAATTAGTCCTGCACTCCAGGTGGCATTGGTTCCCCTCTTCGACGTCTCTCTGCAAGATAATCTAACCACATAGATTGCGCGAGTTGGTCGCGATGTTCATGTGCACGTGTCCTCGCAGCTTCAGTTGGAGGACCGTCAGCGAGCGTACCGGTGTACTGAGGCCCCCACTCGTCTGACTCAACGTGTCGATAGTCCAGTAAGTCGTTAGGGTCGTGGATACGGATTATATTGTGGATCAAGCAGAGAGCTGGAGGAATGCGAGACTGGATTTCTGAGTTATACTCAGGGGGAAGTAGAATGATGCGGAAGCGTTTCTTGAGGACACCAAAAATATGTTCGATAACGTTGCGAAGCATTGTGTGTCACAAGTTATAGAGTTCCTTCGCATTGCAAGGCCTCAAAGGCAGATAAGTATGAGAAGAATAAAATATTAGAAACGACATACAAAAGATTTGCATGGCCCCATTCTGCAAGGTGATAGCGTACACCTCGATAGGGTACAAGCAATTCATCGCATGCAGCGAATCCGGCGTCTGCTAGATAAAACTTCCCCGGCGGAATGGTGAAGTCCATCAAACGCGCAGTGTGATACACATGAGCGTCTGCTGCGAACCCCTGGAAACCGCTCAGCATGTACATAAAGCACATGTCAAAATCACAGGCAGCAAGACAATTCTGTGTCAAGTTGCCCTTGCAGTCACGGGCAGCATGACGATCAGATGCTGTGGGGTGACACGCGATATGCGTGCCATTGATGGCGCCGATAACATCGGCAAAGTATGGGTAAAATTTCCTGGTTTTGAGGATAGTGGGGGGAGTGGGGGCCTGTGGACTGGGGAGACGGACATACGTGGTATAGATCGGCTGAGATGAGAATGCGATCAAAATTCGTTTAAAATACCTAGAAAGGAGCTATTGAGTTAGTACAGCCGGGTTCAAAGTCATGGGAGGATGTACTTCGATATAGTGTCGTTTGAGCGTTGAAAACGCTCACCAAGATGGCGTACAGAGAGCCCAGTGACACAGGCATATAAGAAGATAGCAAGCTGTTCCTCCAGCAGCACATTCTTTGAGTTGTCTATTCCACTTTCACGAAGCACATTCAATAATACAAAGAAAACATGGCGGCGGACGCCAAGCTCGCATCACACACGTTCAGGGTGGCCAGTAAGGAGCTCGTTGACCCAAGCGATCCCCGATAGCGCCGAGGTATGGTATGGTTCTTTCTCATAGTGGGTTTGTATGTAGGAGTTATAGGCGTCCACTGCGATGTCAACCACTCCAGCGGCCGATACCATCAGGTTCTGAAACACATTGATGATTTGTTGCAGGCGTTTTAGATCTCCCTTCTCTGCGTCATTTGGATCCCCCTCATCATCTCTATCATCTTCCACATCTCTATCATCTGACTGATCACCCGTGTCATCGGAATTAGTAGCGTCATCCTGGTGGTGCCAAAGACGCGAAAGCATACTGTTGGTATTATTGTACAATGAGCTCTGCAGCGTGCGGTGTGCGGTGTGCGACGTGCTCAGATCCTCGAGTCTGTAGCATGACAGTGCAGAATTCAAACTCCGAGCTTACTTAAGTTCGAAGTTCAAATCTCGTCGAAACTTAGCCAGATTCGAGTTCCCGAATGGAGTCTTAAGAATTTGTAGGACTTTTATGCTGCATCAACTGACTTCACCACTACATCCCTTCCACATCCCTTCCACTCTCAGGGCAAAGTGTAGTATAGGTTCCTTGTGTAGTCTAACATGTATTCTATCAAAATTTAATGAAATCTTCGACCTATATCATATATAAATGTGACTTTTGTGTGATGTGTCAATTGTCACTTTTCACACATATGTTCTTTTGCATTCATTCACTCAATACTTGATGGATTGTTCTGAAATTTGAGATCTGTGATACTGAATATATATGACATGCACCCCAGGTGTCTGATCATTAAATTTCAATACCCTAAAGGTATGGGCCCCTAATCAGTAGAAATAGTAAGTATACACATTATCTGAAACCTCCGGCCTATCCTGAGCTGATCCTTGGCATACAAAGCATATGTATGTGCTCCAATTATGATATATGACCAGCTTGGATCATTTGTGCAAGAGTAAGGGAATGAAAAATGTCAAAAATGTCAAAATTGCAATATATTATATTTATGTTCCTGTGGAAGGACCCTGTGGATATTCTGGAGTGGCTAGGTGATAGATATACTCTAAATATGCATAGGAATGGACTCCATACAATCCTTAAGGTCCGGTCCTACAGGAAAAATTTTCACAGGAGGTAAACCATCAGGAGAGGGGAGACGTGCTACACAGCAGGGTCTTATCCTATGGTCCTGATCTCCTGATACATTTTTGATACTGTTGGATAGATGCTGGGAATCATGTTTCAAAGGCTCTGTACCTAGAAATAAATACATGAGAACATATTTTGTATTTTCCTCTATATATACCATATCTATTGATGTAAGGCGCTTCAGGGGGTCAAATAAAGATTGGAATCACTTCATATATATTCTTAAACATGGTCTGAATATCTTAGAACACTTCTCTATTAAAGGGGCAAAAGTGCGAAAGTGTTCTATACCCTAAGCTATTTTAAATGACTCCTGGAGGAGGAGGAGACATACAAATACACAAAAAAAGCGGTCTATTATAGTATATTATACATGTATATCCCAAACTACTACTTAGATACAAGGGGGGACCTATTGTGGTGTAGTGGTGAAGCTGCAGTAAGGTGGGGAGGGTGTGGGAATAATTGATATTGTGGAGATTCCCAAAATGGGCGATGTTTTTGGTGTTGTGGGGAAATTCCCACAGTAGGTGGCCCAAAATGCGGAGCTATGAAGTGTGAGAATATTGTGGGGGGGTAGGTGGCAAAAAATGCGAAAATATGCTGGGAATGATGCATACAGAAGCCACTGTTGGGATCCACCCAAGGATACATCAACCTAGATAGTGCTACAGTGGATAGCTAAACTGAATGATGTATCAGGGTTTTTGGCTAATAAGCCAGTTTGGATATATCCTTCCCCCACTAACAGGTGGCAGTATTTCACGCCAACAAGGATATTCTGCACGAACTTGATGTTCATGAACATTTTAATATTCCTAAACTACACCAACTCTCGCACTATGTCCAATCAATCTCGTTGTATGGTACCACTGACGGTTTCAACACAGAACTTCCGGAACGCCTCTATATCGACTTCGCTAAGGAAGCCTATCGGGCTAGCAACAAGCAGGATTACGAGGAACAAATGGCTCTGTGGCTTCAACGCCAGGAAGCCGTGTTCTTGCACAATTCCTATCTCGAATGGCTGTCTGTGCAGTCTCAGTCAGCCACCATAGCTGGTCATGCTGACCATGATGACAACATTGATTCAGGCTCGGATTCCGAGATGGAAGACTTGCAATTTGAGTCTCGCGCTGCCCCCACCAAAGCACCTCCTGTCATTGGGCAATGTGTACTCCATGTTCTCGCCAAGGCTCCTGCGCACCCTCGGACATCTGTTCAGCAGCTCATCACTGCACATGGTGCAGTCTCATTTCTCCCAGCCCTCAAACTCTTCTTACACAAGCATATGCCACAAAATCGCATTGTCCCTGGTCCACAAGATCAGTTTTGACGTTTTCCGGCAAGTTGTCATTGTCAGCTCCGCCAGATCCAGCGGGTAGGTGAATCACCACGGCGATGGCGCATCAGAGCAACACCCGAAGTACCTCCTGGTCCTGGCCGGAAGCCAGGATCCCCTGCCTAAATTTGATATGGCGCTGATCAACAATGGCACTCGGACCACAAATGTACAGACATTAGATGGTAAGTGGTTGTTACTATTTCGCCGTTGCAAAATTCATATGGAGGCTGTAGGCGCACAAGTGGCACAAGTCCAGTGTCATTTCCACACTGCCTCGTCAGTTCGGGACGTATTCTCGAGCTTTGGCTTACATTGAATGGTTCACACCATTCAGGGAGCCAGACCCCTTCTCTGGCCTGCTTCAGGTATCTCGTTCGACTCGACGACTGCATCGAAATGCAGCCGTGATTCATGTCGACGAAATTCTTCGCCCATGTCACCTAATACCAAGGATGGGACAATCCATCAACCCCGGGTGGACAAGCGCGAACGCCTATGAGTTGGCAACTGATTTTTATCTGAATACATTCATTGACTTAGATAGTTTTTGTATTTCCACTATTACTTAGTACTACACTGCTCCGTGATACTACAATTTGCTACTGTTGCTACTGCACTATAAGTCACTCGCAGCACCTCTGGTAGCTCTGCATAGCCCTCACTTCGGCTACATAGGACTATAGAGTAACTCGGTTGACTATATATCACTACTGCAGCTACGTAGCACTATGTAACTGTCACTAGTACTCCCACCATTTTGGTTTTTTCCTGATGCAGATCCGTCACCTATACATATCAAAGCTAATCCTACATAGTGTACTTGTCTTATAGGTAGATGCGTTGTTAACAGAGTTCCTTCCAAGTGACTGAGATTGTACTTGTCTTATAGCGTTAAGCGCGTCCCTACTTCGTCTACTCACCAGAAACTGATCATTGGAGAGCCCACTCTTGAAGAAATGTGGCAGGAGGTGAGACAGGAGAACGGCTGGAAGAAGCGGAACGATCGCTTGGCCGTTCCATTTAGGTGGATCGCAGTTGGCGTGAGTATCTGCTAATCTCCATTCTGTCTTTGTGGCAGAGGCTGATACATTCGCTTTTTTATATAGCAAATACTGGTTTGCTTTGCGAGCTTTGCATGCACGACGAAAAAACTTCCCATTCAAAGCGTCAACTACGATATTTATCAGACGTTCATGTCCGGCTCGCTCTGGTGCTCCACCTGGGGGTTACTTGTTCAGGTTATTTACACCAATATAATTTACACCGATGTGGGGCTGTTTCAGAAGATCGACAATAGCGTAAGACCTTTCCTAGAGCAACAGCCCTACCATTGACCCATGCAATTTGCCCAGACCGGTAAACCCGTGATAACATGTGACGATATCGTGCTCTACACTGCTCTCTTTCGCTTCACACAAATCAATCTCATATGCTCTTTGACGTTGTTCATGAGCGGTATGCGTACTCTTCGATTCGTATTCCATTTTGATGCTGACTTCTTCGACATCTTAACAGCTTTCGGTGCGTTATTTCTGGGGTGGAGTATCTTTACCCGTGTTATGGTGGATGCCTCGAGCGCCACGGTGTTGGATGCTGTTTTGATGAAGGACGTAAAGAGTCTCCTCCTGTTGATAGTTGGGTTGACTGTGAACGGTGCCCTAATTTACTGCGCAGTGCGAGCAGTCTCAGAACTCTAATAACCCACTTTGTTGTAAGTCCTCCACGCAGAAATAGGCTAATGTAGGTCGTGTCTGAATGATATTGGGGCATCGTCAAGCAGAACTTCATCAGCAGAAAACGCAACAGTATGTAATAACTGTGCGACAAGGGTATAATAATCAATTTTAAGAAGGCGAAAATTGTTGACGATGATGGGCAAAAAAATGTCCAAATGAAATTGGTCTGAAAGTGGCCTGATTTCACCTGCAGGTCAGCTGCTGCTGAGTCTGTAGTTCAGCGTCACGTCTGCAAGCTCCTTTGGAATACAATCAAACGATCAAAATTGGCGTCAAGAGTGAAATGAGAGTCGTGAGGTATGATACGGTCTAAGGGAGACAATGAGATTATATGCTATAGAATATTCAACAATCAAGTTCCCAAATTTGTTGCAAGTAGCCCAAGGTGACACCAAACCACAGAATCAAAGCCAATCCACCCCTCCAGATCATCGCCCGCACGTTCCTCTTGAAAACAGCGTCTAAAAATGGGGCGAACGTGCAAGCCCCCGCAAGAAACATCCAGTAGTTCACTGAATTAACTTCTAGGAAAAGTCCAAGCCCACCTGGAGAAGATATCAAAAGAGTAAGTGCGGACCCTCATGCAAATCAAAGAGTATACGTACAGCTCGCCAAGCAAGCCCAAGACAAAGCGAGACAAATGTCCGACATGCGAGAGAGAGCGAGGGTAATCAGAATCTTCATCTTGCGCGGTTTCTAGGTCTCACGTCAATGAAAGCTCACTACGCACTAGAAAATCGCCTACATGGGCCCAAATCTCTTGCATCTCCATCTGCATCGCGATCAGGGCGAAGAATACTCGGCAAAATAATATCGGGATCAACAAATATGACGAGAGTAGCATCAGATCTCCGTAGGTTTCTTTGGATGAATGGTCCACGGTTGAGATACTAGCCTCTATTCTCGAGATGCATAACCAATACACGACGACGGGGCGGAAGGTCTATGTGAGAAAGCAGAGGCGTCAGTCTTGCAAGATAGAATGCGAATTAACGGTGAAACTCACGCAGATGCGATGCAAGGTCTCCAAGTCCATGAAATAGATCTATGTGAGAAAGCAGAGGCGTCAGTCTTGCAAGATAGAATAGGAAAACAGTGAACCCACGCAGGCGCGCTTCAAGATCTGAAATTGCATGACATGCTGACACCAGCATCCCTCGTGGTGCAGTTCCTTCCACCAGTCCCCCATGACCTTATACCAGCCAGCCTCGTGGCTCACATCCAGCCACAATTCCTCGAGATCTGGTTTTCCGAGAGTGACCAAGCAAAGTTGCGTGAAGCAAAACCGAGCGAAGGGGTGGGATGGCGGCCGCCAGTCGTCAGGAAGATCTAGTAGCTGGCTTTCTATCTTTTCATAAGGTGTGTAGGCTCCTGTTTTCATCGGGTCTTTTGAGATGTCGCTGCCCGAATCGAACGAGGAACCTGAAATAATGTCTGTATTGGACATGATTTGAGGTAACTTTAGAGACGACCTAGAGGGTGCGGGATTGTGAGAGGATATCAGCGGGGGCAGCGGGAGACCTACCTCGATGTTGCAGATCAAAGTGTTGAGATTCGAAGGAGGCGGGACGGTATGCAGAGTGTATTGCCTAAATACAAAAAAGGAAATGAGTATGGAAGAGTGACGTAGTTGAAATTTCTGGTCGCAAGCTTCTATGTCGTGTGCCATGATCTTCCAGGAGCGTGCATGACAACCGCAGGTTGCATATAATCTGGGCCGACAAGTTAGGTCTAAAGGTGGAAACGAAAGAATCAACTGTTTGGGAGCATCCAGAAGTCTCAGTTAGCCGAACGCCCAAAGCAGCGAACACGCACCTTGGCTACAAATATGATCGCCTCCAATGACACTGCTATGTCCAGCACGAAAAGTAGAAACGGTAATACAGCGTGACAGCCCGCGACCGAACGACCATTCACCTAGATGGCATGGTGCTTCCGGGACGAGTGCGAGTCAAGTCGTTGCGACAAGGAAACCTCATCGGCAGAAAGCCAACTTGAGGGAGTAGCGCCACTAGTCCATGTTATTCTCGATCTTACAAAGTCATTGATACAGGTGATATGGGTGTTTATCATTCGAAGTAGTCGACAAAAACCTGAAAAACAACGAACCATCCTGCAATGACACTCTTGAATCCCGCTCAAGTATCTGCAACAAGTCTATTACAGCTCTTGCAGATATCGCCCAAGTCGCATTTATCTCGGACAGGGAGAAGTGAAACTGTCAAAAATAGGTAGTTAAAGCATCTGTTGAGTAGACGCGGCAGTATCTTGACTCTAGGACGGGTGTAGATTCAGCTCTGAGTCAGAATCCGAGTATGCCATCACGCAGGGACACAGCCTTAGTATAAAGTAGACCCCGCGCATTCGACACCACATGATCGTCGAAGTCACTTCAAAAGCATCCAGAGATATGATGAACGAAGGTGATGTAGAAGTTGTAAGGAGAAGTTGTCCAGGCTCGATGGGTTAGAGCTTCCACACATGAAAGAGTAGACTCGACGAAGGAAAAAGACGAAGTACAGGTCCGATAGGTTGGAGCTTCCGAGTAATCGAGTCATATTCGACACTACCACATGGAAAGCACCAACCAACCGGAATAGGTCCGTGGGTGAACGGGGAAGAGGAGAATCATGCTAACTGTAGAGGATTTGATACTGTTCATCCATAATTAACTGGTCAACCGACGTTTCGTGGTGGGATGTAGGTCATGAAAAAGATACACAGTCGTGAGTCAGTGATGCAGGCACACCATATGTGTCACGCTGCCCCAAAAAATTATGTAAAACAGCTACGCCTCTGATCCACGTGCCTGACAACTTTAAGTTGTCTCTTGACCACCATCCCTGTCCTCCGCTCAGAAATGGCTACGCTTCAAGAACGCTTGGCAGCAGTGGCCAATATTGGATCATGCAAATATTCGTTAATTTGCCACGGGGTTTATCCTTCCTGCGACCTCCTGCGACCCGCTGGCTCAATTTAATTTGTATTTGACTATCACCGACTTCGTGCGCCTTGCGTGCGGATTTCCAAGGTGATGTATTTCGTCACCATTATCAGGGCTGTATGCTCGGTGCAAAACATTATCCGAGTATAGTTGCAGCGCTAACAAGAACGAGTATAAATTCAACACGGTTGAGTTGAAAAGGCCTCAAACGATCGCCTCCTCAGGTTGCAGTGAGTGGCACTCTTACGCCACACTATGCGCATTTCATTGAACTAACATATAGCAGCTCTTTCAAGACTTTGTCACAGTAGCTTCGCGCACATTGCACAATCAGACTTTGTCAGTTTGTGGTTTCCTCAGACGGTCACATCATAGGCTGAAGCATAGCTATGCCAGATATCATGAAGCTCGTTCAAATCATTTACCTCACAATCCTTGCCGCTGTAAGTGCTGCTGCCAGTGCCACTGGGGTGAGGTCAGTATCGCCACCTCAAGAATCCTGGGCGTGCTACGGCAGCCCAGACATCGCGTGCACCTCTCACCCAATTTCGAACTGTCCGATAGGGCTGGTGTCTTACCGTGTGACCTGGACGTGTTGGTCGTGCTGTTACAGTGTTACTTAGGCTCGTAACCAGCCTGGCGTATACTACCACAGAAGATTGTGTCATAGCAACTTCGCTGCACAATTAAACTCTCCGTCCCGCTTCCAGTGCCACTGTGGTGAAGGCAGCAGCTCCTCCTTGACTATCCTGCCGAGGTCCGTGCTCCTCTCAAAGTCCGAACTGCTCGGCAGGGACGACGCCTGACCTTTTGCCCCCCATGTGCTCGGTGTGCTGTTACATCACGAGTGAGTTGAACCTCAGGTTAACTTGGTCATTTTTGTTCTCAGTACATCTCAGGGATATACCTTATGTTTCTGAGACGAGGCGTGAAGGTGAATTCTATTTCATGGACAGACTATCACATAAAACGGAGGTTTTGGCGCAATGGCTGGGCCTAGTTAAGATGGAGCTCTGAGGATCGATCTATACACTGCAAAAATGTTGTCAGTAGGTTTCGAACCGACTGCAAGAGAAACAGATTTTTATTCTGTTGTGGTAACCACTTGGTTAAGACCGGTTAAGATGAGCCTCCGAGGAATCCATCCATGAGTGAATGTCAAAGTGTGTTCCAATAGAAAAAAACCTTGTCGTCGGCAGGTTTCGAGCTTGCGCAAGTCCGGCGGAAACATATTTCGATTATGTTGTGGTAACCACTTTGGCCAGGGAAAGTTGAAATGAACCTCCGAGGAAATGTCCATCAGTGAATCTTCAAGGCGTGTTCTGAGAGAAAAAAATCTCGTCGCCAGGTTTTGAACCTGCACAGGGAGACAGATTTCGATTCTGTGACAGTAACCACTTTGGCCAAGGCGAAGTTGAGATGGACCTCTGAGGAACTGTCCATCAGTGAATCTTCAAGGCGTGTTCGGATAGAAACATCCTCGTGGGCAGGTTTTGAACCTGGACTGGTAGCGTCAGTTCAAGAGACAGATTGCGATTCCGTTGTAGTAACCACTTTGGCCAGGACGAAGTTGAGATGAGCCTCTGAGGAACTGTCCATCAGTGAATCTTCAATTCAGATGGAAAAAAAAAACTCAATGGCAGATTTTGAACCTGCACTGGTACAGTCCAAGACACAGATTTTGATTATGTTGCAGTGACCACTTCAGTGAGGGCGAAGTTGCTCCGAGGAATCGGGCATGTTCCGATAGAAGAAAAACCATGTTGTTTGGCAGGTTTCGAACCTGCGTAGTCCAAGAGAAACAGATGTCGATTCCGTTGAGGTAACCACTTTGGCGAGGACGAAGTTGAGATGAACCTCCGAGGAACTGTCCATGAGTGAATCTTCAAGGCGTGTTCCGATATAACAAACCCTGTTGTTAGGCAGGTTTCGAACCCGCGAAGTAAAAGAGAAACAAATTTTGATTCTATTGTGTTAACCACTTGGGCCAGGAAGCTTCCTGACCAAGCTTAGACAAGCCTCCGAAGAATTGTCCATGTCGACAGGTTTCGAATCCACACCACAAGAGAGCAGATTTCTAATCTGTTCTGGTGCCAAATGGTTAGCTTAGCATGACTACTCAAGATGGGCCTTGAAAAATCCATCCATGAGTGAATGTTCAAGGTGTGGTAAAAGGAAAAGATTGTTTGTCCTGTCACGTTTGGCTTAGCTGCTTAGCAAATCTGGTCAAGATAGACTGACTCATTCGGTTACGAGTCGAAAAACATCATGCTTTGACAGTGAAATCACATAGGATTAGTAGTCATGACTCATTTACCAAAAATGAAATAAAAAGACTAGTTTGCGTTTGGTTCGATGGACACAAAACATGCCAGGAATAAGCGAGTCGGGGGCTGGCGCCAGTGCCGTCACGATATGACACTCTAGGACGGGTGTAGATCCAGCTCTGAGTCAGACTCCGAATATGCCATCACGTAGGGACACAGCCTTAGTCTAAAGCACACCCAGCACATTCGACACCACATGATCGTCGAAGTCACTTTAAAAGCACCCAGAGATAGGATGAACGAAGGTGATGCATGTGTAGCTCCTGAACGATACTTGTGCAATCTGCGATGTCAGGCCTCGCATAGGCACTTCGGGGCACATCATGCCTAGGATGAGCACGAGTTCTCCATACTACAGAATAGTAATTAGAGTGGCACAGCAGAAGTGTGGTGTTGGTATGGGAACTCACGCATGGAAGAGTCGATGGAGAAGTTGTAAAGAGACGTTGTCCAGGCTCGATGGGTTAGAGCTTCCACACATGAAAGAGTAGATTCGACGAAGGAAAATATTGTAGAGAGAGGTTGCACAGGTCCGATGGGTTGGAGCTTCCGAGTAATCGAGTCACATTCGACACTACCACATGGAAAGCACCAACCAACCGGAATAGGTCCGTGGGTGAACGGGGAAGCATACAAGCAGGCGATAAACAAGTGGCGAGATTAGCGCTGAGAGAATCATGCTAACTGTGGAGGATTTGATACTCGACCTATGTTTCGTGGTGGGATGTGTACATTGTGAAATGAGCCTAGCTAGTCATGATAAGTCCAAAGAAAAACATATGTACACGGTTGACGAGAGTCACGAGAGGCAGCCTCAAAAATTATGTAAAACAGCTACGCCTCTGACCCACGTGACTGACAAGCTCTAACAACTTCAAGTTGTTTCTTGACCACCATCCCTGTCCTCCGCTCAGAAACGACTACGCTTCAAGAACGCTTAGAAGCAGTGGCCAATATTGGATCATGCAAATATTCGTTAATTTGCCACGGGGTTTATCCTTCCTGCGACCTCCTGCGACCCGCTGGCTCAATTGAGCTTGTATTTGACTATCACCGACTTCGTGCGCCTTGCGTGCGGATTTCCAAGGTGATGTATTTCATCACCATTATCAGAGCTGCATGCTCGGTATAAAACATTATCCTAGTATAGTTGCAGCGCTAACAAGAACAAGTATAAATTCAACACGATTAAGTTGAAATGGCCTCAGATGATCGCCTCCTCAGGTCGCAATGAGTGGCACTCTTACGCCACACTATGCGCATTTCATTGAACTAACATATAGCAGCTCTTTCAAGACTTTGTCACAGTAGCTTCGCGCACATTGCACAATCAGACTTTGTCAGTTTGTGGTTTCCTCAGACGGTCACATCATAGGCTGAAGCATAGCTATGCCAGATATCATGAAGCTCGTTCAAATCATTTACCTCACAATCCTTGTCGCTGCAAGTGCCACTTGGATGAGGGCAGTGGCATCACCTCAAGAATCCACAGCGTGCCTAGCTGACCCAAACCTGTGCGCCCCTCACCCAATTTCGAACTGTCCGACAGGGACGGCATCTCTCCGTCTGGCCTGGACGTGCTGGTCATGCTGTTACCCTGCCAATTAGGCTCGTGACCAGCCTGGCGTATACTACCATGGATGCTCGAGTGGCGTAGCCAGGGGCTGGTCGATCTCGGAGAGGGGAGGTACGGAGCTTGAAAATTCTCAGTTGCCGATTGTGCTGGCGGCACTCGATACTCATTTACCTCTGCCATCGTAACCGCGGCGAGCCGCCAGTCCCCGACTCTAGCCTGCCTTTTTCTTCTCTCTTTCTCACGACAAGTCGTCATGATTGGTTCAACTCACAATTTATATTCAGAGCGCGAACGACGCTTGTAGCTCTACCCTCCTCACTTAATAATCGACATCCTGTTCTCTCACTTGTCTTTCACTCTGCCTTACTTGGTGTTTCCCCCTTTTTTGTTCGTTGCACAGCAGATAACGCCGTTGTAATTCACCTGCTCGAGACTCTATTAATTTTTAGAGACCGATGTATACAATCCAGTCCTGGCCAGCTGTCGAGTTCAGCACGAGAATCGCTTGAGCATGGTGGGTCTGTATCATATGTGCACAATGTAAATCACTGTCGACAAAGTGACATTTTACTGATGCCAACCAAGCGCGAGAGGAAATCCAAGGCAGTAAAGACCTCGACCTTCAGTCCGTTACAAGCGCCAGGTCGCCGTTTCCGTCACTATGTAGATCGGCGAGAAAGAACTGCCGCTCCTGCTTCAGGACGCGCTCGTTCGTACCCTTTTTTCTTTCTGTTGCTATCCATTGCTCTGTCGTTCCGAGGAACGAATCCCACCGCACGCACGCACCAGCCACGTCAATTGCCTGACTTCAATACAATACCTCGTTCAAACTCTGATAACCTGTACTAGGTGGGAGACAATCAGTGTTATATCGGAAGATTCGGAGAACAGCCTGAGAATGTCTGAATATCCCTGAATGGCACAAAACATCTGAACCAAACAGCGGCGACGTTAACCTCAACTTGGCAAAGCATCAGCACTTATGGCTCGTGGTGGAAGAAGCCGAACATTGATATAGGATATGCCGTTCATCGGAAATGACCGTCACTCAACAACCCGTGGGTATAACTCCTGGAGACTATGTAAAAGCTGGGTGCACACGCACCGCTAAAATGCAAATACAAGCACCGAAATAATCCGTTGAACAATATTAAGACGGGGGAGCAAGGGTCAAGACACGTTACGACTACATCCACATCGATATACCAGGTTTCATTTGTTCCACTCAGCGCTTTCATTTGTTATTGGTACTGTGTAAGAGATACAAAAGAGAAGCACGTCATTACATACCGCTTTAAATCACCCGCCCAGAAACTACCTTAGCCATCAGTCTCAACTAAGTTATCAATATGGCTCAAACTGCCGCCATGGCTAAGAGAATACAGGGTAAGCGCTCAAGTGTTCAGTGCTAAATAGTAAAAGGAGCGGCTCGGAAGCAGAACCATGCGAGCGCCTCGAAAGCAGGTGCACGCTTCTATTTTTTTTCCAATTCCACAAGTAGATGAGTGAAATGGGGTCTGATCAATAACATGAAAGTAGCTATAAACCTACATTACCGCGTGACTTACTTTTGAATTGAGATGTAACGGCGACAAAAAAGTTCCAAGCTGTCGTATTCGTGTCTGACCAGAAGTCACTATTTCGGCCTGTTACGAATGAGCGAATGACCGAGTATCGCCCTCCAGGCATAATCGTTCTACCAAGCCGAATTCTGTCTGAATGATGAACGTTCACTTTCGCGATGATATAAAAGCAAGTCATCTTCCTACCGCTCACCACATCTCAAAGAGGTTGATCGATCTTAGCAGATCATACCACCTCGCACAAACAATGCGTTTCTCCCCCCCCCCCCCCCCCCACCGTCATTGTTGCGTTGGCAGCAACTACAATGTCTATCAGGGCGTCAGAGACAACACTTTGCCCCGAAGACGGCGCGACTTTGAGTTACGATACGCTTGTTGAATGTTGCAATCCAAACATTCCGATCGTTGGTGATGTGAGTAGGAGCAGTTTTGTTTGCATCAAAATTTTCACCTGATTACTCACCCATTGCTAATATCAGCGTAAATACTGCCATGATACCATCAAGAGAGCAGGCAGATTTGCACCTAGAGATGCACTGATGGGTCTGTACAATCGGTCAAGATCGAAGAACAGTGGTGGAGTGGGGCACAAGCGGTCAGAAGGAGACGATGAATGAGATAAAGTCGTCGACCTATAGTGCGGGGGCAGTGAGATAGTGGGCCACTAGACTCATCGCCAGTCCAGTCTGACTACGTCTTTGAGAGAGATGAATATATGGAGTTAGATGTGGTCGATCCTCATATGCTCGGAGTTTCAAATCATGCAGTTCGGAATCACGGTTGTACTACCAGATGTAGTACCTATTTTCGACGTCCATTCAACCTGAATCTAATGTATCTCGTCAAAATGAGTCCAACATCAGTTTTGTAAAGTCACCTAGCGGAGCTTATGTTCATGTTTGCTTCAGGCCCATTGCAAGTATCGAAGTCTTTCAACGGACTGCTTTCCCCTTGTCTTCCCTGCGCCACTAAAACCAATGTGGAATAAACTTCGTCCAAGCTACCGTGCAGTATATGCTAGAAGGCAGTGATTGGAGGCTCAGCATCACAAGGACAATTACAATGACGCACGCAGCATTATATGCAGCAAATATCAGGATCCTTGTTTCATGATGCCCTACATTGGGCGCCCACACGACATACCCAACTTTATCCAGAAACTCGGATAGTGGAACACGTGCTATCCCAAGGGACGCCGCATGCGTTCTGCGTGTCTCTAAAACAAATAGTTCCAGCCCAGCCAATGTATCCCTCCAAACACCATCCCACTGAAGCACGATGTTAGCACGATATCCATCACAGCCACCTAGAGATGGAACACGACAAAAACGGGCAGCACGAGGGAAAATGAATACCACGATGCCATAAGAGTGAGAAAGGAATCGCTTCTTTCACCACAAGCCATATGGAATGCAGGTCAGTCCAGCTTAGGGTACCGCACGGGTAACACCGAGGGTCGGAAAGTTGACAACCCGCACCCGCACCCGCCAACACCGTACCCTTCACGGGTACGGGTACACACCGACCCGTCAATGTCGCGGTTTATGGAAAACACCGCGGTGTCTCTGAACACCGCGGGTACATTACCAAGAAGAGTGTATTAAGTATTAACAACAATGAAATAAAATAGTACTACTTTTCCTTGTCATTCTCCTCTGCTTCGACTTCATTTCGCTTCCGTTTTTGAGTCCTGACAGCGGCTAAAAGGTCCTCCATCACCAGAAGATCACTTCTGCCCCACGCTCTTGAGAGCCTCTGTATCATTGTATAATCAGATATTTGCAAAAATCAATGGAAAGAAACATACCAAGATCTGCAGAAGGATCGGGATCAGGCTCGAATGCACCTGCCGTTGATTTGTTATCGTCAGTGGCAAGTGAATCAGTACTTGATCGCGTAAGATCAACGGTGTCTGTGGGGCTCGATCGAGAAGACCGAGACACAAATGACTGCTTGACCTTCTTCAAGGGGCGGGCCAGAGCCTTAGCACCCTTTGCAACAGCCTTTTGAGTGACCTGGCCTTCTCGGAGATGGACGACGAGATAGACTTAGATGATGAGTGTGACTGGGTAGACGAAGCATCAGATGCCTTCTTTGTGAGCTTAGTTTTCATGGGGAGACGACTCAGTGGACTTACTGGTCTCGAGTTTTTGCCTTGGCTTTATGGTAGTGACTCGAGCTTCTCTGCAACGAAGTGTCAGCTCAATAAATTGCTAGAATGATTCACGGGGGTACAAAAGACATGACAGAAATCAGTATAGCATTCACTTGTGATCCTCAAGCTCTCAGAGGAAGGAAAAACAGAGAATCAAACACGGTGTTCAATGGCTGTCGCGCGCCTGGTTCCCGATTTGGTATATTATACCCGCCCAAACACCGTCAACCCGCGGTGAATGGCCACGGTATGCTCAAGGGTACGACTATCCTACTCCGTACCCGTACCCTCCAAACCCGTCAGCATAGAACCGCGGTGTCACCCGTACCCGTGCGTTTCCCTAGTCCAGCTACAGCAAGAGTCTCATCGGAAGGTTCTGGACGTAACAGATGACAAGCTAGACGACAAACCATGTAAGTTGAAGAAGGGCGATGCCTTCCGATAGTCCATCACCCTTACTTCGATCTTCTATTTCTGCCTCCGCGATGACAGGCATGTCAATGGATCCCTCACAAACAAACTGCAGGAGTTCATCGAGGGTGAGGGTGGCGATGAGACGCCCCGGGAAGATGACTGTGATGAACAGACGAGAGGTGATAACAAGTCTGCCCTCATCCATACCCGGAGTGTTCAGATTAAAGAATATCCCACAAGGTTCTGGTGTTACTGCTGGATAGAGAGTTGCCGCGGCACTGAGTATGGATACATATATCGCTGAGACCTGGCAGTGAAAAACGGGGTGTATAGAAAGACAGCGTATGGTAGGATAACCACCGTGAAGTTAAGGGCATGCTAAGTACGTCTGTCCATTCTGCTCTCTTTTGAATTCGGGTGCGGCCACGTGTATCAATTCGTGAAAACTGTAACTCGAGCGCTTATCATCCAAGTGAGGAACTCCATGTGTACACCAAATCGCTGCTATTTTACCTAACGGCGCCGGGAATACACAAAGAGCTCAAGCATGAAAGAACCAAGGTAGTCTGGTTGCCGTTGCCTGTGATTGAGTTGGTTCAAATGGTCGAGATGGAAGAAAAGAAGTTACCGGCAACGCCCGAAACTTCTCCAACTTAGACTTACGTAACACTGCAATTGGTTCTCTTCTCCCCCTGGTTCCATACCATCAAGGTCGATGCTTTCGCCCATGTTCATACTGGATTGTCGCGTTTCTGAATCTCCTTACACGGTTCGCTGCATACGATTCAGCATGCCGATGGCTTTCAAGTTGGATTGCCTCCCCGATTAGCATTTTGCCGATTGTTATCCAGGGTGTGGACATTTGCTAGAGCCTAGAGGTGAATCTGGTAAGATACTGGATGTCTCTTCAATACTGGGGCTTGTACGTTCGCCCCGTTCCTGGACGATAATCGATGATCGGCTTTCATCTAGAATTTGTGGTTCTTTTGGCGTTGTCTTGGGTTACTCGCAATGCAATTGTGATGACCATTCAAGTTACTTAGCTGGATCTCTTCAGTGTCGCCGTGCATGTATGTCCCGCTCCCATGTCAAACTTTTACATCATTTTTGCGCGCCTTGACACAGGGCTTCTTACCATCGAGTCTAGAGTGAAAGAGAGACTGACATTTCTTGTGGGGGTTGCACTGTCGCCCTGCTCCGAGTCTTGGACGCGATTTTCTGGTAGGTCTTGCGGCGATACCTTCGAGTGCGTGTGTATACTGTTAGTCCCCATTATAATCATCTCTCGCGATACTGACTTCCACTAGAGAATTACGAACTTTGTATTGATATACCACACGCGGCTTCGCTGTCGTCCTGGACTCGTCCGCCATGGTACTTCCTGATTCGCTTGGAGCAGATTTAGACTTATGGCTTTGATTGGAAACGAAAGTTTTCAGCGCGTGAGCACAGACCCAGATAAGATCTTGACTCTTGACTAGGACTCTTGAGTTGCCTCGCTGACGGGGTGCATTACGTGAGTCTGATTTCTGCGAATGTCGCCGTCTTCTGTTTCACGTAGTGCATCTCCTTCGGAAATTCCAATCCCTAGATCGCCGAATTTCTTAGATCGTGGTCTTCTGTTGACCAGACACATCACACACGGGAATCTTGCTCGTGTTTCTTTGCTCTCCCACGATTCATCTCGCCTGCGCGGGAACACGTAGCCCCTAGGCATACCACAAAACCTTGGCACTGAGTACTGAAGTTCTAGTTCCATGTTTCATCCGCCGACAGGTATTTTTAGGGGCCCGGTCCTCATGTCCATCCTATCGCTGAAACGTGTTGTACATGATTCTGATTATGTATGTCCCCTTTCCTTATCATTTAGAAGGATTCTAACGATATATGCGCAGAATTTTCAGTACTACATACTAGTCAACATTGCTCCTTTGCTCTCCCTCCTCAAGTCTTCCAAGTTCAGGCATTTGAGCAGGGTGCATTACATAGACGACAATTCAACCACGCCCGCAAAATTAGCTTCCTTCTTTCTATTGGACTGGGTGTAAGGCGGCGATTAGTCCAAATCCACGACTCAACTCAACTCGCATAGACGTTACAATAAGCTTAATTAACAATTCGTCGTAAAGAGTATTTGAATAAAAGAACGAATGTGTGTGTATGATAATATCAAGGAGGAACGAAAACGGAGAATGAAGGGAGTGAGTATGTATGTATGTAAAGTGATAAACGTATGAAACTGTTTGGAACCTATGTAAGAGTATGTATAACTTGTGATGAACGTTCATGCATGCAAAATACCATGCGATGTCAAGGCTACGTGTACAAAACCATAGTAGGCTGAGCTCCAGATATGATGAACAACAACAACAAAATAAGATAATCTTCGGATTCCGGCCGCTTGAGGTGAGGAACAAAGAACAAAGGAAAAGAAAGGAAAGAAAGGCAACGCATGATTATACAAGCGCCATCGACACAGAGTGTCAACGTTTCCGTTTCCCACTGATAACGGCTTCCCCATCCACCACCATCGCCACTCCTCCCATCCCGCTCTCGATACCCATCCCCTCCGTACTCCCATTGCCGCTCCCACTCCCGCTGCCATTCCCACCCCTCACAAACACCCCCACATCTACATCTCCCTCATCTGAATCGACATCGATATCTATCAGATCCATCATCTCTTCGTCGATATCTGCGTCGTCATGGGGTGAATGGGATTGGGCGGTTGGGCACGGGTGTGATTGACATTGTGGATTTGGGTTTGGCTGTTGTTGTGATTGAGGATGAACGATATGCCCCGCAGTCCGTATCCTAGCGCGCGTACCCCTCGCATCGCCCTCCACCTCTGTCTCAGCTCCATCTCTCACCATCGGAGGGGCCAGCTTATCCTTCTCCCCTCCCCCCTCTTCTTCGTCGTCTTCCTCAGGCGATGAAATGACTTCGATTTCAGCTTCTGGTTCAAGCTCGGCGTCGACTTCGACGTCTTCGTCGAGATCTGCGAATGTGCGACAGAGGGGACAGCTGAATGCGGAGGTGTGGGCTTCGAGGAGGGGGCGGATGCATTTGTAGTGGAAGGCGTGGCTGCATGGGGCTATGAAAAGGGCTTGGCGGATTGTGACTGCGAATAGGCCTGTGTGTTATATTAGCATGTGAAATAGCATGCGATAGCACGGGGAGATAAGGAAGGGAGGGAAGGAGGGGATAGACGTACAGATACAACAATCGGGGATGTTAGTCTTTGGCATTCGTTTCTTCCCATGGGTGATGGCGTTTGGTGGTTGGGTGTGGGGGTCTGCGGAGAGGGAGCGAAGTTGTGAGAGGGCGTTTGTGCTAGAACGCATATCAACTTCGACTCAGATACATGAATCAATGGAGGAAAACGCACTTGAAAGCATTTGGAGCAGCCTGCCATTCCCTGCCTACCTCGATCCTAATCTTTACGGACTTGTAGATATCCTCGGTGCCTCCTTGATAATCGACGCCCAGCTGAACGATATCGCCATCTTTAAGTTGATGGGGTTTACTCTCCGAGCCCGCAGGACTAAGTCGTAGATGATTGAGGAAAGTCCCGGAAGAAGATTTCGTATCTTTGATATAGAATTTGCCGTTGTCAGCCCATATCTCAGCATGGGCGCGAGAGACGACTTTGCTCTTGAAAGCGAGTTTGTTAGTGTTTAGGGCGTTTACTGCTGCGAGACCGATTCCTGAGCGATCTGTGAAGCGGCCGATGCGGAGGGGGGTGTCGTTATCCTTGAGGTCACGGGTTATGGGTTCAAAGCGGAGCGTGCGGCGGGAGTCGAGGTGGGGGACCAGGCGGATACGATGGGTTTGGTTGCTGTTGTTATTGGAGAATGTGGTTGCACGGAGGAGAGGTTGGGCGGCGGGCATGGTGGATGAAGCGGGTTGGTTGTTGACGGTACCAGCTGACCGCCTGCGGCGCAGTATGTTTGAAATTGGACCAAGGTTCGTATTATTTGATGATATGTTTATTGAAGGTGCAAAACTTCGTCGTCTTAAGTTTGTTGGCGGGACTGTTGGAGAGGGAGGTGAATCTGGTTGTGATTGTTGTTGTGGGTGTGAAGTAGAAGTTCCTCTTGGGCGTCGAAGAAAGGATCCTAAAATGGTCACTGTGGACCGTTGCGGTGCAACAGTTGGAGAATCATTTAGAACCAGACCAGTCGTTGTCGTCGATGTCTCTGTCACTATCGCTGCTTCCATCCTCCTCGTCGTTAAAAATGATGATGAGAGTTGTGAGCAGTGCGGTGTGCTGCCGTCGCTTGTTCGATCGATTATTTTTCTAAGCCTGATGGAGGCACTGCGAGCGGCGCCGTAGTTCAAGGCACTTGTCCGTTTACGGTTAATATGAACTGACAAGGTCCGCTTGACCGATCACTGCTCGTAGCTAAGAACGATCCAAACATCGTACTAGAGGTAGCTAGTACCGTACGTCGACTTACACTGATTGATCTATCACTGCGCATGGCCTTCCTTGGTACAGGAATAGCTTACAGCGTTGTTCCAAACAGTTGATTCAACTCAACTGAGCCAATTCAGACCCCGCCCACTTATGTAAAATTACATTGGACTTAAATAGTGCGTGCCTCTCTTCGGTACTACCTTCCGTTGCTTAGAGATCCCTCTCTACATCGTTCTCAATATTTTCTTATTCGATCATCCGTGTTCGTCTCAAGCATATACGATATGATGATCTGATTCTTTATCGATGCGAGCACTCTCATTTCGAACAGTCTTTCAAACAAAGAATGTCCCGACGCGATACCTGCGCGTTCATAGCCTGCAGGATGTCTAGCAACAAATTTGATTCTATAGATCCTTACAGATCGCAAACTTCATTCTCCTAACGCTGTACCTCCGATGTCAGGAATCGCCTATTCATCGAGGTTGCAGCGTCGTCTCCTTCTAAGCTCACTTGATGAGATCCTCGCAGTTGGCACCGCTGCTTCTCTAGGTTCGCTCTTCAAAGCCTTTCTCTAGGTTCGCGTTTTGCCATGGTTCATAACATCGTTGTGGCAGCGCCATCACCTGATCGTTCACCTTTGAGAACGTGGGGAAAACAAACAGGTGGTGGCGCTGCGTTTCGAACACATCGCAGGGTCGTTTTCACTCTTGGTTCGTATCTTTACTTAGTTGGACGCTCGTCGCTGATGTTCTCCCAGAAACATCGGACATCCTATCCATTTCCTTGTAATTGTGCCTGAAATCGGAGTCGCAGCGCCACTGTCTGATTTGATCGTTTATCGGATCTTGACAGGACTCAATCAGGTGGCGGCGTTGCATTTCAAACAAGTGCATTCACTTGCGTTCTTTAGGACCTAGGTTTGCGCCTCACCTTGGTTAGATGGCAATACACGTAATAAACACGTATCTTTGACAGTCTTATCATTCTTTGCCGGTATCCCGGTAGAGAGGCAACACCATTCTCCAATGCCAATACCGCCACCACAGCCAAATGAGCATCGTCAGTCCACTTGCACTCATCGCAGACCCATGCGGTACCGATATTTGGTACGACCACGAATAATTCGTGGTCGTACTAAATATCGGGCGTTCATCAGAGTCGCGGTGCCACTACCCGTGCACAGCTGATGGTATTCGTCCATGAGAATTTCGCAGATGGCGGCGCTGCGTTTCGAGCAGACCGTAGGATCGCTCTTCACTAGCTCTCGAGGTTCGCGCCTTATTTTGTGGCACGATACACGCAACTGACCACGTTTTTTACCCCTCCCGACGTAGGAAAGGTTGAGTGTTGTCAGGCCACTTGAACTTGGTGGACTTTTTGCAGACCAGTTCTCTATAATACTGTAACTCATTTGGGCAGCACCTGATACAGGGCGTTTATCGGAGTCGCAGCGTCATCATCTAGGAAGACTTTCTTGAGGTAGCTTCGCAGGTGGTCGCGTGTGGTTCGAGTAGATCGCAGGGTTGATCTTCACTAGCACTCTAGGTTCGCATGACCTAGCTTGAATAGCATAATATACACACTGACTACGTGTCCTGAACAGTCCCGCCATCCATTTCACTCTCCCCAGCGCAGGAGAAGGGTAATATCACCACAACCAAATGACCATCAATCTCGTCACAGACCCACGCAGTGCCCCCGATATTTGTTTCTGTTTGGTTTTTTCCGGACAACACCTGATATCGGAGTCGCTGCGTTACCACCGGCACCAGTGAACAGCCGTTGGAAAATCGTTCAAGAGGTATTCACAAGTGGCGGCGCCGTGCTTCAAGTATCACACTTCAATGATTCACTCTATGTTCGTACCTTGGCTCTGTTAGAATCGTTGTTAATATTCTCCCAGAAATAACATTTTTTTTTTGTTAGCAGTGTCTGAAATGGGGGTTGCAGGACCATCACCTGTAAGTTGTGTTGTGTGCTACACAAAAGACAAACTTACAGGTTATGGCCGCTGCGCTTCGAATAGATTGCAGAGCTCGGTCGGTCTTCAAAGTTTTACCTTTACTTTTTAGGTTCGTACCGTGTTTTAGTCGGACGCTGTTGACGATTTTTTCAGAAATCTCGATATTCAGTTTGGCAGTATCTGAAATAGGAATCGGAATCGGAAGCGCAGCGTCGTTACCCGTCCTGAGCGCAGTGAAAACCCACTATGGCGTGGTACGATGGGATCTGTTTTCTTTCTGTTTGTAACGTTGTCGATAGGGTGAAATAGAGCAGATTATGAAAAGCAAATTGTAGTCACATTGCTTTGCGTTGTTTGTTGTGTCGTTCGTATCGTTTTTGCGTCGTACCTTGGGTCGTTGCATCACAATTTCTTGTTTTGCATCGTTTCTTCCGATCTTCCGAAGCTTCGCGTCGTATTGCACACACACTGCATTGCATCAATCATAGCGCTCTCGCGCAACGTGTGACGGTGTGACATGATATCATCATTGTATCTAAGTCCTACAACTACATTCATCTTATCTTCTTACTACTACAATCATGTTGTCTTCTCTCTTTTTCATCATCGCAATCTCAGTTTTTACAGGACCTCTGCCGATTTTTCGTCTCCCACTGAGGCCATAGAGTGTAAGTGGTTTTATTATTATCATAAACAGACTTGATTTTTAACACAAGTCGAAAGGGTGGGTAGTATATGCGTTCGAAAAGTGCACATGGGTGCCCGCCCGCCCCATGTGAGCCATTAGAGGACTCTCTGTTCTCGTCTTTCTGCCTGCTTACCCCACACTAGTGGTGCTCTGGCTGCATCCTACTCTCAGAAAGTGCGCAGTGTTTTCGTCTTTTGGCCTGCTTACCCGATGTTGATGGTGCTCTGGCTGCATCCCGCTCTCAGCAAGTGCGTGATTTCGTCTTTTACTACGTTGCATACTCGCTGATGGTGCTCTGGCCGCGTCCTGCTCGCAGGTTGTGTATGTTCTCATCCTTTGACCTGCTTACCTTACGCTGATGGTGCTCTGGCCACATCCCGCTCTCAGAAAGTGCGTGCTCTCGTCCTTTGACCTGCTTACCCCACGCTGATGGTGCTCTGGCCACGTCCTGCTCTCGGTATGTACGTATTCTCGTCTTTCGACCTGTTTATCCCACGTTGATCTTTCGAATAGAACTCAGCGACGCCCCCCCCTTCGACTGCTCAACACCTCTACGGGGATTCTGGGCGACCGAGCAGCGCAGCTAAACTCCTTCAAAACCAGTCCAGAGTACAAAGAGCTTTTATCTTTCATAACGAAGCGTTCGGATCTCCGAATCACCATCGTCGGCCCAAGACATTGCGGGGGCAAGAGCATCGGATGCTGACGGAGGATCCAGCACGTGCACAGGGAGGATGCTCAGTAAGCTGGAGATATGTTTTCAAAGACGATAGAGGTAGAACTGTATATATTGGGGAGGTAAAAGCGTATAGGTTTGTAAGGCGGCTACTTGAGTTCGAAGGGGAATGTGAGCGAAGATGTGTTTTAGATGAGAGATGAGACGCTCGAGACGGACACGTTCTAGGAGGCTTTCTGAATTACTTGGAGCGGTGATCGTTGGGGTATATTTCGCTGCTATGGAAGAGAGTACATGAGCTGTATATAACGCGAAACGGTAAGGGTAAAGGATAAGTTTTAAGATGAAAGAAAATACTCGGAACTGAGTTAGTGGCGTACGAGCGCAATGTAAGTTTTAAGATGAAAGAAAATGGAAAGCGGCATGGCTCGGATACGAAGAGTGATGCGGCGAGTCACATGGACAGCTTCGAGTGCCTAGTCATAGTCCGTGCCTAGAGGATGTTCAATCCTTACAGGTTGGCTATAAGATGTACATGAGACTGGAGAGGAAATGTGGAAACAAGAACAAGTTCAGCAGTTACAACACAAAAAATGTCGGAATAGTAAGAGTAGCGAGCTAATGAAAGAAATCACAGTGTGCATTTGACCCCTTGCCTCCTCCAAAAACACCTCTACACAATTCTCAACGCCCCGAGCATGCGTCCTATCAACGGCTGCTTTGACACGGTTCAAATCGCAATTTTCGAGTACATCTTCTGCCTCTATGACGAGGGTTGTTGCTTTGAGATGAGGTTTTCCAATCCCGTATTTTTTCAGCGCATCCCGTAAATATTTTCTATCTCGTGATCCTCTGTCACCGCCGACCTGAGAATAGATTAGTACTTAAGGAATACAGTCAATGGAATGTACTTACTTGAGCGATCAGCGGCACTAGGGTTTCACGTACGACTATGAAAATTGGCCAGACCAGGACTGCTGCCTGACTAGCGCGTGCAAATTCGTTCCATTTCGCAATCACAATGCACATCAGGATGATCTGATAGCCATTCATCCACGGCTACCTTCATATCTTCCAGGTGGGTACAATTGGCCGCTGAGGACCGTGACTTGGAAGTCGATGAGTTTTGGCTTGGGTTGGAGCCCTTGTCCTGAAAACCCTGATCTGAACATTTGTCGGACCATTGCCATTGATCCGGACGGGGGGGTTCGCCGACTGCCATTTGAAACTGGCACAATGAGCAGTAACATTAAAAGGGAGGTGTAGAACTTACTGCATCTTCCACCGCTAAGACGGTAGTAGGGTGATTCAATAAGAGATCACAGTCAATTAGGTCCCGCATCAGCTTGTACTCAGTATCTGACGATTTGGGGTTTGCTCGACGTGTCAATAATATATTTGCGTGCGACATTCAAATAGAGAGGTCGTGGTCGACCTCGGTGAGCTGTAGGCATCGATTCGATGCAGGTAGCACGGTGGCAATCACCTGTCCGATGGTGGTTACTCCGGACTCATCCGTTGTAACGTTGACACCCCGTAATGCAGCAACAGGCTGAGGGTGTTTTCCTAAGCTGCTGTTCAGGTGGAGGTGAATCTCTAATTTTACCACCCGTGGGCCTGACTCCAAGCCGGAGCCCGTGTGCGCGCCATCCTCTGTTGTATCGGGGTCGGAGAGTTCGTTGATTGCCAAAACCTTCCGTGCGATGATGGAAAACGTATCAGTGGGGCATGTTCTGAGAGATGGAAAGGCGTTTTTAGCCTGTTTTTTGAAGGTCGCGAAAATGATTCCACTGGTTTTTCCCGCTAAAATCGCCGTGGCTTGTGAAACCACAAGAGATGGGGATGGTGTCGACATGGGGGCAAGGAGAAGGTCGACGGAAGCACCGTACTACTTGTACCAGAATTTCAAGTGATATGATGGGCTCGCAGCTTCGATTTCGAACCAATTGATTTTCGCTCGGGAAGATATCGACGATCAGTCGCACGGTTGAGCTTCGATGGCGGTCCATCCCGAAGTCAGATCGGTTCACCGAAGTGGCGACAGCCTACAGGCCGCAACCTGGAACCAAAAATGACGGACGTTTACCCATTTTGGAGTCAATAGTATGATTCGAGAAGTTTGCACTCGCCTCGCGAAATCAACCAATCAGTAAACCGGTGAACAAAAGATATTAGTCTATATTAGGGACGTCCAAAGTTGGGTTTTCAAGCGCTCCTTCCCACCACTGCTTCGAGTGTAAAGGGGCGATGTAGAGACAAGCTCAGCATGCAATCAGCGTTCAAACGGACATCGACGGGTCAGTGGAACACAGTACGACGACTCAAGCAGATTGATGTCAGAAAGGGAGGGAGGTCAAAGACGCCCAACGCCCTAGAAAATGAGTATACCCTGGTATACCTCGAATAAACGGTAGATACGGAGTATACGATTGGAACCTATACTTGCCACCTGTGCAAGTGCAATTACGATGAACGATACCGACGTCAACTACGTCGTACTACATGGACCATGGCTTCGGATCAATGCACGGTCGTCGGCCATCTCTAAGCAGAACACAGGGATAGTGGTCAAGTAACACCTTCAAGTTATCAGAGCTTGTCGGGGACGCGGGTCAGAAGAGAGTCAATGCTGCGTCTCTGTGCTTCACCGAGGGATCTTGTCTGTGCTGAGTACTCAATATTTTTGAAAAACGGTACTACAGGACACACAATTTACTTGAATTGAAAGCAAAAATGACCGAGTTAACCTCAGGTTCGACTAATAATTGGAGTGGCAGTTTGAAGGTCGATCAGGGAGTTGGTGGTACGATATGGTGACGGCGGTGGTCTGGTCAGGAGGACTATCCGTAGGTTTGGCGGCGGCACTGGCAGCGGCAATGATTGTAAGGTAAACAATTTGAACGAGCTTCATGGTATCTGGTATAACTATGCTTCAGTCTAGGATATGACCGTGCTAAGAAAATCACACACCAACGGTGAGTTTGATTGAGCAATGTGCGCAAAATTGCTATGACAAAGTCTTAGTAGAGCTATTATATGTTGGTTCAATGAAATGCGCATAGTGTGGCACAAGAGTGCTACTCACTGCAACAGGAGGTCTTCGTTTCTGAGGCCCTTTCAACTCAATCGCGTTGATTTTATACTTGTTCTAGTTAGCGCTCAAATTACTTGCTCGTTTCTCTGGGGCTCAGTTGATGAAATCCATCCCCCCGGCAATCCACACGCAAACCCATCAGGAAAAACCCCCTTTTCATATTGGGGACAATTAGAGCAGATTGTATCAAACATAATAAATCCTTCATCGTTTTCTCAAATGCGTGCCAAAAAGACCCAATATTCGACAGTCTGAGCCAATGTGCGCATCGAAAAAAAATTCAAATGCATCGGAGAAAATTTTTAGATACATGATGACTAGGGGCCGGCGTTGCCAACTATTTACCTTGCTCCGGCGACTCTAGCGCTTCCCCAATTTTATTCGGGAATACGAGGCTGTCGAATACTAGTACTACAGTCCTAGAAAATACGCTAGAAAAATAGGAAATAAGACACGCTTCGAGATACAAGTATGATTATGAGTGCAGTGGAAGGCACTGTCCCTCTTTTAGGCTTTCGAACCACTCGCGTCTGAGTCAGTCTCGGGGGATTTTTCGGTCGGTCCAAGTCTTTGTCGTCGTTGATGTGCAGGTATTTGTAGTTAGTATTGTGGTGGACCGCACCGAGCCTCAGAATGGTTACGTTTTCCGCGGTTGCTTGGAAAGTATTGGATTTTCCAATGACGCACGGTGAACTGAATCTCCACGATGGAACCATTGAGAGCGGTATTAACTTGGCGTGGATGGGTTGAATAAGGTTGCCTTTTTCTAGAGGGCTCGTACCATCGACAATATGATTTCCTGCATGTATCTGAGGCGATAGGCGGATACACGACCTATGTACTATGACGAGTTTGGGCGGGAGCTCGCTACTCTCGTTGACGAATTCTAGTCCAGTAGTACCGCTGGAATGTTGCCAGATGGTTGGACTTGGTGAGTTCCGAAAGTTCACGGCATTTTCCGGATTTGTATAATTTTTTTTTTGCAAATCGAATCGATCGATCAGTTCTCTTATCATCATCTCGAGTATCATATTTGCGATGGCAGCTAGGGTACAAACTTACAGTTGAAGACTTTTCATGGGCTTTGATGGGTTGCGTGAGTGATTCGCTAGTTTCTCCATGCCAGACAATGACCTCTCCATCTCTATTGACATTGCTTGCTATGAATTGCCGATCTCATGATACAGCCAATCTCGATTCTCGACACCCTGCTGCTATGCCTTCCATCTTCCTCAACACAATACCTGTCTCCAAGTCCCACAGACGAAGCATCCGCCGTCTTCTCGTCTTTTGACCTACTTACCTGATACTGATGGTGCCACAGCGGTGTCCCACTCTCAGGATGTGCGTGATCTCGTCATTTGACCTGCTTACTGACGCTGATGGTGCCGCGGTTGCGTCCCACTCTCAGGAAGTGTGTGATCTTGCCTTTTGACTTGCTTACCCGACGCTGACAGTGCCCTGGCCATGTCCTGCTCTCACATGGTGCGTGATCTCGTCCTTCGAGCTTCTTAGCAGACGCTGACGGTGCCACGGCCATTACTTTCAGGCCCTCTGCTTAGTGTTCCCCCATCTTTCGTGCTCTACCATCAATGTAACTCAGCACTGAGCTTCTGCCATCTATTGTCAACGGATTCATGCGCACGTTGCTTCCGGTGCCCTTCAGTGACCCACGCAGTTCATCTCATCTAGTATGTTCAACTCGTTGTATTGATTTTCTCGCTATTTTACTGACCGTGTATTGCAGTGGCTCCAAGGCCAACGTGGTGTGCGATCTCGAGACGGACGAGGCGTTGATGTTTCTTGACATTGACGCAATGCCAGAGTCGGAGGAGTAGTAGGTGACGAGCGCTAGTAGTAAAATTGACTAGGATTCGCCTGAATTTGATTTTTTTCGCGATGTTCGAATTGGATCTAATGTGTGATTTATACTTTGGTATTGTAGTAATTAGGGTGAATTGTCTACAATTGGGAGGGGGACTAAAAAAATCAGTCATATCAATCGAACGTATCGAATCCTCAACAATCCGCGAGAATTGTGTCAAATTAGGAATCACCGATTTCCCTGATGAAGGAGTGTCCGTACTCAATATTTACACAAGTTCGATAAGTTTATGCATCTCCACAACATCCAAAGCTCCATATTTCGGTATTTCGGGGAGCCAAAGTTTCACTGAATCACGGATCCATCGCTGCAACCTCTTCTACGAATTTGGCCCACCGTCGTTCCCATGCATCTATAGCTATGCGCTTGCTTCGTTCATCTAGCATGGAATACTACCCAGGGAACATTACACAATGCAAGAGACAAGGACAAGGATATGGCTCACTGTAATGCTGTCACGGGCCATCTGGCCAAGAGTAAGGAGTCCCGTAACTTCACTTGCTACTAGTACCTGTAAGCGACTGATGAGTCTGGTTCCAGTAAGAGACAAACAAGGAGAGGGGTCACCTGGAAGAAATCAAAGGACAACCCCATACTATTAAACATCGCAGGATCGTCTGAAGACAGTACCACCGGAATGCCTTGGTTCATGATTATTGGGAGGGGGTGCATAGGCATCGATGAGGTAAGACGCTATCATTTCTTGAGTCAACGTAAGGCTCCGAGGCAGTTCACAGAAAAACCTACTAGTACTTCATTTCTATTGAAAGATCAAAATAAGCTGGAAGTATCTACTTGCACGAGTCACTCACGATATAGGGCAGACTTCGATTGCTATTTTCTTCTCTCGACAAATTTCCATTAATTTGGGATGCTTCGCCAGGGAAAAACTATGCATTGAGTTAGCGAGCGCTTTATGCCATACAATGCACCTAACCCGTGTCCGATACGCTTCGTTCCAAGAAGAATCGCATCATACAGGTTCATGTCCGCTGCAGTGCCATCACCTAGAGTTTCACCAGCATGAAAAATGAATGGAATATCCGGATGCTGCTCGGCGAAACGCAGAAGTGGCTCTGCGTAATCAAGAAGCGGTCTACACTCCGCCCCATCTTCGTGGCCCACGAGATCAAATCCTGTCAGATAGAACTATTAACTCTGGGTCTGCTGATGTACAACAAACCCGCGGGACTTGCCAGCAATAAGGTCCGGGAATTCCTGCTTGAATCTGCTGCACTGCTCTAGTTCTGATTCCAATTCTTCGGCGGAGACAATTCTCAGGGTATTATAGATAATCTAGGAGAATAATGAGCGTGAGCTTGCATAGATCCAACCGAAACCAAGCGAACCTTCATCCCAGAGAAATCATCTTCCCGACCTTTCGCCTTCATTTCCGCTTTTATTTCGTTTGTGACCTCTCGGAATATCAACAGTAGTTCACGTAATTCAAGTTTGGTCTTCGCGTCCTCTCCAAGTATGTATCTAACGAAATGTTAGGTATCTGAATCATGGACATGTCTTTCTGACTCACTTTTTGAAAAAGCTAGTTCGAACCTCGATATACGAGATACCATCATCTATCGACGAGCGAAGGAACATCCGCAAGTATTCCTTTTGAATCGGCACGAAACGGATAATGGGCTAAGTTTCATCAGTACATGCGCACATCTTGACTTCCAGTACGCCACAGGCTCACATCAGTCACGCCAAAGGTACTTCCAAACTTCAGCCAGATCTGAAGTCTCATATTAACGACGTGTTCAGCAGGTTACATGTTAGTATGGAGCTCACTTTCATCGGTGTATTGTACGTATGGTACGCATCGCTGGGATTTATCATAAAGGCGCTGAGCACCCACTTATCAAACCCAGCAGGGCCGCCTAGTGCAGGATCGAAGAGCTCTCGCGCCTTCTTGATAGGAACCCAGCCCCCGGTGTATAAAACATCTGTGATACCAGTTACATCATCGGCGGCAGGATACTGTTCCACAGGAATTGGCTGAATTGTGGGCAGTACAGTTTCGAGAGAATCTCTGTCCAACGGACCCGGGATGCGGATATGTATCGCGGGATGACCCAATGCCAGATCAAGAAGTGTTCTTGCCTCCACCGAGGCGTTCTGGTGTACATGCAATAGCGCACCCTTTGGCATCTACAGGGGAATTGCGGTCGAGATGATCGGTGACAGGAAGCACGGTGATTTTCTATGCTTACTTTGGAGACTATTTTACTGTAGAGATCCGTCTGTAAAATGATATCTTTGGCTGTATGGAGATGTGAGTTGAAGCGCTAGGCACGAGCCGAGCATCATACCGTTCAAGAACTCCATCCCTGGGTATGGGTGAGGGACATGCTCGTGATCAATCCCCCAAACAGTGATAGCTTCTCTAGCACGGATGGAGCGCACAACTTCATCTGCCATCCGTTCAGCTGTGGTGTAATTTGCACGAACACGGTCTATTCGCAACGCGCGGTCCTCTGTGATAAGCTTCTCACGTCTTTGTAGATAGTCGGCAAGCATTTGGGAGGACATTGGCGAAGAAGAGGATGATGATAGTTTCCATGAATTCGATGGCTTTATAAATGATTCCTTTGTGGCGTGTTGGTTGTGTTGGCCTGTAGCAACAACCATTGGCGTATTGTGCAGCATGCCAAGGCGCCCACATTGAATAACAATGTCGGACATGCCACAGTGGAAAGACCCACAGAAGAACAGTAAGATAGACCAACCCGAATTATGTGTACATTGGCCTTTTTGTCTTCAGGTTAGCACCGCCCTAGTCAATAGTATGCTCGGACCTGTAGCTAGACCGTTAGAACAAGGTTGAAATGCACAGGAATCTCAACTTATATGACCGCCATGAGTGGTCCATGACATATGACTCAAATTTCAGAATATCGGAAAAGACGTTCCACGGCGTAGCCGCCGGTAATGGCAGTGCCGCAGTGTGCAGTGCTCGTCGCGAAGGATTGAGCCGAATTCCGGATGGAAGTCAAGTGCGATGGTTGGCCTAGCTTACTTTAGCGCTTCAAGATGTCAGTGTTACGCTGCTGATTTGCAGTATTAGCAACAAGTACTATGAACTAGTGGCCTTTCGCGAGGTCTTCAAGTTGACATTAACCCATGTAGGTCTTCCAGAATTCATCCAATGAGTCGTGGTCATTGTGAAACGAGTAAAATGGCCAATTACATAAACGAACAAGTGTGCGAGTACTGCAAGTGGCCAGCGGCCAGCCTGAGCGATACTGCTTGAACGACGGCCACAGTAGACGTTGACTGGCCCGTCGGAAAGCTTGGTAAGCCTTACTAATTCTAAGTTATTGGGAATGGTTTGTGCCGTCATAGTTCAAATACTGACCATTAATGCGCGCGCTTTGTAAGATTTCGGCTATGTAGAAACCCGACCGAAAGCACTAATATTTTACAATTCATGTACACTACGCGTTATTTACGGGTTCCCTGTACACCTGAGTTGGTCGTACTTTGACGGACGTGTCTGAGACTTGCGGTAAACTCAACAAGATCTGACTCAATTGATGTAGCTCGAGTGGAGCACTCAGCACGGTACGATGGCCACAAGCCTGAGCTCCTATCACCGTTGGTTCTTATGTCCCTCACCTTGGATTTGGGTATCTGATCCCGGGGGTAAACACCTGGTCCGGATCAAACAGTGTACGTTCAATTCTTTTAGTATGTCCCTTTGAATACCACCACTTCTGTTGACAATAGACATCATAAGGAGTATGCATAGACATACCATGACATTGGATAAACTGAAGTCTTGCAACTTTAAGGAGAATGGCCTTCATGGTGTGGTGATGTTAGTAGGTACCGACGTATCACCGGGATAGACAGAGCGCAGCTCAATAGCCTTTCTCATAACGCGCTCTCCAAGTTCAAGTCGGCTCTCTGCTGACTGAGTAGGGTCACATTCATAGAGCTCCGGAAGAACGAGCGAACGATGATTGGTAAATTCAAGTTCTTCCCGTAGATTGGTCGAAAGATATTCAGTTACGGTAGTGAAAGGACCTCTGTGGATCGATGTTTTGTAAAATGGGTGCAGCGGGAACTCGGGCAATGCCATCGACAGCATGGTAGAACGATGTGCTGATTATTGGTCTGACAACGAAGTGATGTGAAAGAGGCCTCAAGTAAATAGACCCCGCGCTTTCAAATCGAAGAGAGAATATCTCCATAAGATAGCGTGCAACCTGCGACACTACAGTCTTCTTGACCTCCTCGGAGAGATCCCCCCAGTTCTGTCTGGCAGGGGTCCCTTTAATATTGAGTGTGCAGTGTATGAGTACAGTATCCCAGACAGTTCAAGTAAGTTTTGGCAACACACTTTATCCAAGATCATGTATTCCAGTCCAACAGGATTCAACGCGTCAGAGTTCCATGTATAGATTCGTGGAACAGGTATATTTGTGAACGCGGCGATCATCTTGCACGTGGCGACCTTTCCAAAGAATGTAGAGTCTTCAATAACAATACAGATAAGATATGGTTGTAGTAGGTACTAGGTAGGCACCTCCGACTCCTCGGACACGCAGGAGAGGCCACTCGAACCATAGCATTAAGAAAGGTGCCATCGGATTGAAAGATATCATACACCTATTGAAAATATCAAACAACTTGAACTCGTGTTATCTACGGCAGACAGACCTTGTGATAACCTCCCTCAGCCAGCTTCAGCTTGCAACTTGTCAAGAAATAACGATTAACAATTGACTGCAGTTCAGCAAGGCTAAATCAATCTGGTTCACCCTCCCCATCGTACAAAAACATGGATAGTCGATCATCATCACTCCGAGTCATGCTGCAAAAAGTAGATGATCATGAAGGAGTTCTTCGTGATGTGGCGTAAGTATGCCAGGAGGTGTGGTCTGATTTTTTCTGATCGCTCAATATCCAGTTTCAAGAAAGGGAGATATATCGTGACTCTCTTTGATCATCTTGGAAGTTGTCCGAGTTCAATACGGACATTCAGGAAAGGCTCGTGTAGTAAGAGAGTTGGTACTAAAGAGTGCATGGCTCAGCTGTGGCAGTGCTAATCAGTGGCTGTGTGCTTTGTTTGGCGCCGAATCCTATGCGAAAGAGGGACATTCCGATGCAATTACCACATCTTCAAGGTACAACATCGCATCTGTCGATCATCGCTCCGTCTCGCCTTCACCGGGTCCTTCGTACCGCTGCCATCGCAAGACTTACTTCAGCAGGCAGAATGATTGCTGCAATAACATCAACGCCGCATCACTGTTTGTCCCGCGCGTGTGATAGCTGCTTTTTGTGTGTGGCGTAGCGGTGTGGATGGCAGGATTTTTAGTTCTTTTTGCAGCCAAGGTACGTGTCTTGTATAAACCCCTGCTCAGTAATTTCAGTCGATTGAAATGTGTACCCGACGCAGCACTAATCAGCCGATCCATCGTCTATCGATGTGATATCAACTCCAGACTACAAGGCATGAGTCTGCAGAAGACATCAGGTCCAATCAAGAGGTATATTTTGTCGCACCACGCATACGCTGTGCTTGATGGTTGGTACTTCCCGTATGGTGGTATCAGATGATTCCGTCATCGAGAAGTTCCAACCCAATCGCGCTGGCCTAGGGGGAACATTTGAGCTAGGGGTGTCAAATTCCGCATATCTATTTCTAGTTGACTTTCCACGGTGATCAATGATCAGGTGAGTGACAAGCACATAAATATGTGTATTGACTTTTCTGTGGCAGTTCGTACCATAAATCATGCCTTTTTATTCGTCTCGACCATTCCGGTGTTCTGCGATCATCTCTGATAACTCGCCTCAGACTATCAGTGCTTTGTTGGTTTGACTGGCAGAAATATGGCGAGGTGCGCATATCTAAAACCCAGTACAGACATTAGTCGAGAAACAGGCCACCAATCACCCGAACCGCGTTAGATCACACCCAGTTCCTGTCTCCTTCCTTTCCCATGCACCGTGCCCCATATCCGCACTGCCCATACCACTACATTTTTGCTGGTTGGTTGATACTTTTTTTCTAGTGGTGGCGGAATGGCGCGATCACTGAGAAGCACTGACTCATCACGCTGGCGTAGATCAACGTCTCCTTAGAATCACCTCCGTGCTTCTACTCTTCTATGCCATTTGCCCATAGTATTCTCACTCTGATTACTGTTTTGAATTATCCAGGCATTATATGCCCAAGATGTGGACGCGAGGCTTAGCGCCCCCACGAATACAGAAAAGAACAACTGCCAGTCACGCATTCGATCTGGTGCTGCTTCTCAACTTCTGTCGGAACGCCATGTCCGATGCGCTCGAATATGATGGTGATTCTTTCAAGATCTCTCAGGAAAAACATGTAATGCACTGTCAAATCCGAATGTTCGGCAACATGCATTATTCCTATTTCACACTAGAGAGTTTTTGGGTGATGTTTATCTGTCAGAGCTTGGTGTGCTCGTTACCGAACGGAGATTATCTCGCACACTGCCAATCCATCATCATTGCTTGGAGTCGGACCTTGGCGCTTACCATTGAAGTGTTGATTATTTTATATCAGGCGCGAGCCTATTCAACTTATTTTCGCAGCTTCCTGATCAAATGTTAGCAGACGATACAGTAATGAGAGTCCTTGTCAAACAGCTACAGTAACAAACTGCAAGACTCAGCTCCGGTGACAAAGAAAACAGAATAGGTCGTCCATAAAAGTCAACAAAATGGATTAGAAGGGGACTATCAGGCGTATCCGAATGATTCGACATATAGGGTTACGCTCGGTCCTCCACTGAGAATACTGGAAGGACCGGAGACAGGGAAGCGAAGTGTATGACGGATTGCACGTGCTATACCCTGCGATCCGCAAACTAGTGTAATACCCGTGAGTTGCATTCTCGGAAGTCAGCGGAATCGGTGCTTACCGCTCACCGACATACGTCCCGAGGTCATGCTGACCTCTTCCTTGAGCAGTGCATCCAGGTCTGCCCGTCCACTTTCCATCCTGACCCCGCGTAACGACACTAGCATTGACGATGTTAAAGAATCCTTCCTTGTCACAACTTGTTCGTGAGTGCGGTTCTTCTCTGTTGGATTTGAAAGGCTGGAGTCCTCTTCTATGGACTGCGACGTCGATGGAGAGCCAGTATTAAAGATACGGATGGATGCCGTCAAAGAAGGCGGAGCAAGCTGAACAGCCTTGATGAGTGCTTCTTCAATCCATTGAACATACTCTATAAAATATGACATTAGGATTGCTCGTACAAGGTGTGGATGAGTCGTGAATCTACGCACCAGCCTTGCGTATGCACCAAATGAACACCACCCGTTTGCAGGAGCTTTTGCCCTTGCGCACGGACCTGTGAGAACAGTGAGACATCAATGATAACAATCAAATCACTCTACGTGCTCAATAACACTCAGGAAGACCGGGAGGGTATACGATATACCAGACCCTCCTGGTTCGATGAGTACTGTGTGATTACGAGACGAAGCACAGCTCACCCGCCACAAATACACACGTGTCGTAAGAACTGAGGTCAGGAGACGGGCCATAAGGACCATCCACAAAAACCTTAGCTTTGCCCTTCGTAGCAGCTACCTCCTTTAACTTTTTCGTGAACCCTCCGTGCACGTTGACCAAAAATACTAGCTCCTTCCAGAACGGAGCGCTTGAGCCCAGAACCTGGGTTCCGTAATTTTCACCCCTTCCCGATTGATCCTCTGGTTCTTCAGTTGACAGAGAACTAGAATCAAAACTCGCAATAGTAAAAGGGTGCGCTTCGAATGGCAATGTCGAAACTGAGGGCATGGTTAGATATGCCGTTTGTCCTGGGGACCAGTGGAAATGCGGGGGTCGACGTAGGCGCAATCGAACGACATCTTCGGAAAGCAATTCTGTCGCTGCATCCATTGTTCCAGCTCCTGACTTGAAGCCAAAATAAGAGTGATTGAATGCAACAAGTCGGACCACCCGGATGAAACGATCCAAAGCCCAGAACACAAACGATGGCCATATCCAGTACGACCCGCTAATCGTCGCCAGTCAGAATAAGGATATCTGTGTTAATTTGCACTTACTAAGCACCTTTGGTGTGGAAATATCCTCCCACCAGAAATATACTGGGTTCTGTCGGTCAAAAAAATATAAGCACGTAGAAATCCTATACTCACAGGACGCCAAGGAAGTGAATGTAGAAGAAGAGCTCGTAGGCTCCAGTGCGAACAGGACGCAGTGATAGTATGATCAGAATAAAGAAAGCAGCCATGGCAATAATACCGGCGTGAAGCGATGCCTCGCTCAAATGGAAGCTTTCGATCAACTCCATTAGAAAATTGCAAGTACGAAATAGATGATACGTACTAGGGAGATGATACCACTTCACCCACCGCATGTACACAAAGTAGCATGAAGCATGTCCTAGCCATCATCCGATGAATATAATTGAGCTTAACATCCATGAGTAAGTCCCCCGTGGAGAGTAATGAAGCGCCATACCTTATCGTAGCTGATGCCTGTGACCACTGATGCTGAAAAACTCAGCGACACGTCGGATTCGTAGCTTTTCCACCTACATGACACGAGATTGTTCTTTGTGCCAAGAGCCGTGACAATTGGAAACTGACTGGACGCCAGCATTGCTATGCGGTTGCTCCAGAAGATGACATCGAGTTTCTGACCCTCGACTGTGGTTGCTACGTGATTTAGTGCTTAGTGCGGTGTGAGTAGGACCGTACACAATCATGTGAGCTTACTGTTAATGAAGGCATAGGTCAACAAAAGGGTGATGTATGCTACAGTCACAAAAACCTCTGCCATGTTGAGGGTATAAGATTGCCCTATTTCTAGGGTCCACCGGAAGGCAACAACGCGATAGAAATTTATGACCGCAAGCGGAATCCGACGAAGAGAAAATTTCTGATGAAAACCATTGGTGATAGGCTGTTTCTTCGTCGGATTCGTAGTGCCTGCGCCTGGCGAATTTGGAGTGAACGAATGACCCCCACTGGAAGCAGCCGACTATGAAGAGGAACGCAGCGATAGCATACCACACCTGTTCAGGGTAGGTGACAAATTGCTGCAAGAGCGCGCTTAAGTCAGCTTCAGAGAACCCAGAAGACATCTTAAGTCGCAAGCTGAAGGGGTCAGGGTTCAGGCAGAAGGGGAGGCAAGAGCAGACTACTTAATATGAGGACCATCATGATAGTGGTACGACTTGGCATCCCCGAAGAGCGACCAGTCCCCGAGCGTGTAGCGCCCTGTTATCACTTGTCTGCCAAGCCTTAGCGAAAACTAGGTACCAGTGCGCAGCGCAACGTAAGAACATAATGAAAAGCTAGACGCGGTCCTGCCCAGGCTCCTTCCCAGTCAGTGCGCCACTGGCGGCTTCGACTCGGATATCACCGAAATCACCGAACCCAGACATCACATGACAAGTTGAAATTTCTGATGCCACCAACGTTGCGACTCGCGACACATACTCGTGATATCCGTCGAACATACCGAGACTCTGTCAGATATATCATATATTAAGTATCGCGTGATATAAGGTAAAATTCAATGAAGGTTGTCTAAGTTGACTAGTAAAGGTCCTTTAGAGTGCCATAGCCTTCTTCAGCGAGTATGTCGTCGACGCGCTTCCCAGCAGTGTGTTGAGTATTCTATATCAGGCGCGAGCCATTCAACTTTTTTTCGCAGTTGATGATCAAATATTAATAAACGATACAGTACCAAAAGTCCTTGTTAAACAGCTACAGTAACAAACTGCAAGACTCAACTCTGATGACAAGGAAAATAGAATAGATCGTCCATAAAAGTTAACAAAGTGGATTAGGAGGGGACTATCAGGCGTATCCGAATGATTCGACATATAGGGTTACACTCGGCCCTCCATTGAGAATACTGGAAGGTCCAGAGACAGGGAAGCGAAGTGCATGTCGGACCGTGCGTGCTATACCCTGCGATCCGCAAACTAATGTAGTACCCGTAAGTTGCACATTCTTGGAGGCCGGCGGAATTGGTGCTTACCGCTCACCGACATACGCCCCGAGGTCATGCTGACCTCTCCTTTGAGTAGTGCATCCAGATCCGCTCGTCCACTTTCCATCTTGACCCCGCGTAACGAAAATAGCATTGACGACGTTAAAGAACCCCTCCTTGTCACAACTGGTTCGGGAATGCCGTTCTTCTCTGTTATATTTGAAATGCTGGAATTCACTTCCATCGACTGTGATGTTGATGGAGAGCCACTGTTAAAGATACGGATGGATACTGTCAAAGAAAGCGGAGCAAGCTGAACAGCCTTGATGAGTGTTTCTTCAATCCATTCAACACACTCTATAAAATATGACATTAGTATTGTTCGTAGAAAAAGCTGTGCATGAGTCATAAATCTACTCACCAGCCCCGCGTATGGACCAAATGAACACCACCCGTTTGCAGGAGCTTTTCCCCTTGCGCACGCGTCTATAACAAGAATCTAAAATCAATGATGAAAATCAAATGAAGGTACATACTCGATAATGTTGAGGAAGACCGGGAGGGTATATGAGACACCAGACCCGCCTGAATTCGATCAGTACTGAGTGATTACAAGACAATGCACAACTGACCTGCCACCAATACACAGGTGTCGTAAGAACCGAGGTCAGGAGATGGGCCGTAAGGACCATCTACAAAAACCTTGACAGTTTCTTTCTTGGCAGCTACTTCCTTCAGCTTTTTTGTGAACCCTCCGTGCACGTTGACCAAAAACACTAGCTCCTTCCAGAACGGAGCACTTGATCCCAGAACCTGGGTTCCGTGATTTTCACCGCTTCCCGATTGACCCTCTGGTTTTGCGGTCGACAGAAGACTAGAATCGAAACTCGCAATAGTAAAAGGGTGCGCTTCGAATGGCAGTGTCGAAACTGAGGGCATGATTAGATATGCTGTTTGTCCTGGGAACCAGTGGAAATGCGGGGGTCGATGTAAGCGCAATCGAACAAGATCTTCGGAAAGCAATTCTGTCGCTGCGTCCATTGTCCCAGTTCCTGACTTGAAGCCAAAATAAGAGTGATTGAATACAACAAGTCGGACCACCCGGATGACACGATCGAGAGCCCAGAACACAAACGAGGGCCATATCCAGTATGACCCACTAATCGTCGCCAGTCAGAAATGAGGCTATCTGTATTAATTCGCACTTACTAAGCACTTTTGGTGTGGAAATATGCTGCCACCAGAAATATACTGGGTTCTGTAAGTCAAAAAAATACAAGCACGTATAAATCCTACACTCACAAGACACTAAGGAAGTGAACGTAGAAGAAGATCTCATAGGCTCTAGTGCGAACAGGACGCAGTGATACTATGATCAGAAGAAAGAAAGCAGCCAGGGCAATAATACCGGTGCCCTTTGATGCCTTGATCAACTTGAAAGGGTAGCTTTCGATTAACTCCATTAGAAAATTGCAAGTACGAGATAGAAGATACGTACTAGGAAGATGATATTATTTCGCCCACTGTATGTACACAAAGTAGCATGAAGCATGTCCTAGCCATCATTCGATGAATATAATTGAGCTTCATATCCATGAGTAAGTCCCCCGTGGAGAGTAATTAAACCCCATACCCTATCGTAGCTGATGCCTGTGACAACTGATGCGAGAAACTCAGCGACACGTCGGATTCGTAGCTTTTCCACCTACAAGACACGAGATTGTTCTTTGTGCCAAGAGCCGTGACAATTGGAAACTGACTGGACGCCAGCATTGCTATGCGGTTGCTCCAGAAGATGACATCGAGTTTCTGACCCTCGACTGTGGTTGCTACGTGATTTAGTGGTTAATGCGGTGTGAGTAGGACCGTACACAATCCTGTGAGCTTACTATTAATGAAGGCATAGATCAGCAAAAGGGCGATGTATGCCACAGTCACAAAAACCTCTGCCATGTTGAGGGTATAGGATTGTCCTATTTCTAGAGTCCACCGGAAGGTAACAACGCGATAGAAATTTATGATCGCGAGTGGGATACGACGGAGAGAGAATTTGTATTGAATGTCATTGGCGGTAGCCGTTTCTTCGTCAGACTCGTAGTGCCTGCGTCTGGCGAATTTGGAGTGAACGAATGACCCCCACTGGAAGCAGCCGACTATGAAGAGAAACGCAGCGATAGCATACCACACTTGTTCAGGGTAGGTGACAAATTGCTGCAAGAGCGCGGCTATGTCAGCTTCAGAGAAATCAGATTCAGAAGGCATCCTAAGTTGCAAGCTAAAGGGGAAGTGGGAGGGGGAAGGGGAAAGAAGAGCAGAGTAATTAATACGAAGACCATAGCGATGCGACTTGGCATCCCGGAAGAGCGACCAGCGCCCTGGAGTGTGCCGACGGCCGCAGTAGTACTATTGCGCTTCAAAGTTAGCATCGGATGCAAGTGAAGTGAACGTGGAGTACCAGAGGTCCTGTCTGGATATTATATAACCATGTTATGATTGGACGACGAAGAGTGAACGTCATCGAAAGACTCGCTCATATTCCCTTCTATATATTATCTGCTACAACCAAGCTATACTGTAAGAATAATACATTAAAGGACTTACTATGGTAGTGCAGTCCAGGTATATCCCATAGGTATCTACTATGATATCCTGTCAGGACCCCTAATTATCGCGTGGAAAATTTCCCACAACACTCAAAAATAGATTGCTTCAGTACTGGCGTGTTTGGTGGCACCAGACATATACTTTACTCTAGACTGCAGTTTATACATCTTCTTTAGTGCAACTATCACTCATATTTCAGACTACCTTTCAGCTTGTCCGGCATCCCAGCTGTCACATCACGTGAGGTCTGCGCTTCAGCCAAGCCTAGCCAAGCGCACAATGAAAAGCTATTTTGACGCGGTCCTGCTGCGGTCGTGACGTGCTAGTGCAACTTAAGCATTCCTATGTTCTACGTTTGACTCCCACATCACGTTGCTTGGGTTCATGACCATTCCGTCGTTGATTTTATTCGTGAAGGGTGATGTTTCATGCGAGTGGCAATTTCTTCATGGCCTCAATCACACCAGTTAGAAACCTATTGAACAGAGCAGGTAATACTTTCCTTACTTCAAGTTCACTCTCGCTGTAATTTCTTCCTAGAACCCACTCATTAGGAATGTTGAGATACACGTTCCACCGCCTTTGATGTTGACCGGCATCCAAACCCAACTAATGGTTGTCTGCAGGTCCTGCTTCTTCAGAATCTTTGAACGTCCTTGCTTCTAGTGTGGTCAGACACTCGAGGTCTACGTCAGCCACAAAGCCGTCAGCAGGATAGCCCAAGACATATTCAACAGCTCGCTATTGTTACATTCCCCGTTCCAAGTTTCGACGTGTTTTCTGAAATCACTGGCTTTTCGATGAGCAACCGCGAGAGTGAAAGCGTGCACCAAAGGCATGCCACCGAGCCATTTTTCGACTTGACCGGAGGCACCCGGAATGTTCTCAGGGAACCAACGTGCGATTTTTGCATACTCGTGAGATTCGGAGATATCGCCGCAAAATGATATGCTCCCACCATCTACATAGGTTCTCCTTCTACCGCAAGATGTAGTAAGATATGCCTCCGCACCACACTGGCTCAAGTCATGACTGTCAAGGAGCTTCTAAAGCGAAGCAATATGAGGTCGTAGAATGTCGTCCAATTCTTTCGATGGTTGTGCTGACATAAGGTTTTCAATCAAGTCTTCTTCGCGAACCCATTATCCGAGCTACGCGATACTTCATGTTGAGAGGACTGAGAACATAACCGGTCAATGTTGCCCTCGTCAAAGTACGAGATTCTTACAGAGCTATCACCTTCCGCGCGGGTGGTGTCAGACATAGGCATCTTTTATCGCATCACGCATAGGCTGTGCTTCATGCATCATGGTTGGTACTTCTCGTATGGTGGTATCGGATGATCCTGTCATCGAGAAGTTCCAACCCCCAAGTCGAAAGAACATACAGCCATATCGACTCTGCTCAACATTTTTCATTCCACACTCATGCTTCACCAGGATATCAAAAAGGCCGACTATTTGAAGTGAGGACTTTCGCTCTCTTTCGCTATTCCATTTTACGATCTCAGAGACCTTTGGTCTGTAACATGGTGATGTAGTTTACGCATTTTTTGAACCCGTCGATCCATTGCAATCGCTTTCGAAGAAGAGAACAGCAGTCTGCCAGTCCTTGCCTATGGTGTTCTTGGACGAGCTCCACCCCCTTGCTCTACATCCCACATCCACAGGGTACAGTCACAGGAACCATTGAGGACCTGTCGCCCGTTGTCGAAGAAAGCTACCGCATCTACTACATTCGTGTGCCCTCGGGTTGTCTGCGCCAACGCCGGGTGGCCTCCCAAAGTGAGATTTGCATCTCTTGCTGTATCAGGCACCCCTGGCATCGTTGTGTTGACCTGGTAAACAGAGCGATAGACGGTCTGTAGAGTTTGGCGTTGGCGATGACCGTACGTTTTGGAAATCGTTGCGTTGTGGATATTGTGTGTGGTGCGTAGTGCTGGCTTCCTGCTCATAACCCAACTCTTCCAACGTATGTGGCGCCTGTCCGATGTCAACGGTTATCGGGTCCGCGCCTTTCCGGTGACCACGGCTCTGTGCGGGTGGCAGTATGTACTAACTGGGAGTTAATCTTTGTGAGCGTTGATATCCTAGCTCGAGAAGAAGCCCAGTGTTAAAACGTTAATCGGTACGGTGGAGTGATATGGCCCGCTGATCGCTGGAGGCTCAAATTATTACATCCCATAATGCAACGTGCGCCAATCACCCGAATCGCATTAGATTACACCCAGTTCCTGTGTCCTTCCTTTCCCATATCTTCCGCACTGGCGCCAATAACAAGGTATGCATTTGTTGATCATCAATTGGGCAGCTGCTTGGAACAGATAGAGTATAGCCATGCGTGGAGCGAAGAATTGGTTATATCTTCGGCTATATATGTGGTAAGTAGCATCAAGCCGAGGTTCTGCCTGTATTCTCCGAGTCAAGCGAACTAACTCAAAAGAGCATGTGTCTGATACTATGACGCAGCGCAGTCACTTCTGCTGCGGAAGTCCCGCAGCTACAACCCCTTTCTATCTGTGCATTTTTTTCACTAACCATTGTAGGGTAGCATGCTTTGGAGAACATTCGCCATCATATTTTCCAGGGAGCAAGGAGTTTTTCAAACCAATATATGCGCTTTCGGCAGGCTGAAATCTAGCGGACAATTTATTCTATTCACTTTCTAAAAAGAGAACAACAGTCATTGCCTATCCGGGTGATATCACTTGGATGAACTCTACCCGCGTCTCTTGTCCCCGATGTACTCAGATCAACGTTGTGATCTGTTTCAGGGCGACACTCAGAAGTCGTAGAGTTGCTCCAGGGCTCCGAAAAGGGGATCTCCTGCAGGGAATCGGTATTGCGGATATTTGTCTTATCGCCCCATGCCGCTACGTTTTTGCCGGTTGGTCGGTGCTTTCCACGCCGCTGGGCTGGCGTGGGTCAACGTCTCCTTAACCGTATATCTGCTCTCCTATGCCAGATTATCAATTTTCTGCTTCTCTCACTCTAATACTGTTCTGGATTATCCAGGCATTATATTCCCCAAGTGGACGCAAGGCTTTGCGCCTCTACTCATGGAGAAAAGAACGACTTCTAGCACCCAGCGTTCGGTTTGGTGCTGCTTCCCAGCTTCTTTCCGCCATGTTTGAGGTACTCAAATATAATGGTGATTCTTCTAAGATCTGTGGAAAATTCCAGGCGAGGCTCCCCATCTGTGTCGGTGACCACGCCTAGAAATTCAATGCTGACCGGATCAAGGGTGTGATGCCAAGTCAGAAGTGTAGTCTGGTTCTACTGGTTGTTTCAATGTTCGCGAACCGCTCCCATATATGTATATGACATGTGTTAACCAGGATTGAGCCCAATATTAATAGATGATAAAGCCCTTGTTAAACAGCTACAATAACAAACTACAAGAAACTCTGGCGAGTAAGAAAACAAAATAGGTCATGCATAACAGGGAACAAGAACTTTAAGGAGAGGTGACTATCAGGCGTATCCGAATGATTCGACATGAAGGGTCACGCTCGGTCCTCCACTGAGAATACTGGTAGGTCCGGAGACAGGGAAGCGAAGTGCATGACGGACCGCACGTGCTATACCCTGCGATCCGCAAACTAATGTGATACCCGTAAGTTGCATTCTTGGAAGTCGGCGGAATCAGTGCTTACCGCTCACCGACATACTCCCCGAGGCCATGCTGACCTCTTCTATGAGCAGTGCATTCAGGTTCGCTCGTCCACTTTCCATCCTGACCTCGCGTAACGAAAATAGCATTGACGACGTTATAGAACCCTTCCTTGTCAGAATTTGTTCGGAAATGCTGTTCTTCTCTGTCGGACTTGAAAGGCTGGAATCTTCTTCCATGTACTGTGACGTTAATGGAGAACCAGTGTTAAAGATACGAATGGATACTGTCAAAGAAGGTGGAGCAAGCTGAACAGCCTTGATGAGTGCTTCTTCAATCCATCGAACATACCCTATAAAATATCACGTTAGTATTGTTGCTATGGATGAATCATGAATCTACGCACCAGCCCCGCGTATGCACCAAATGAACACCACCCGTTTGCAGGAGCTTTTCCTCTTGCGCACGGACCTATGAGAACAATCAGACGTCGATTATAACAATCAAAATAATATACGTGCTCGATAACGCTCAGAAAAACCGGGAGGGTGTACGATATACCAGATCCTCCTGGTTCGATAAGTACTGTGTGATTATGAGACGAAGCACAACTCACCTGCCACAAATACAGACGTGTCGTAAGAACCGAGGTCAGAAGACGGTCCATAAGGACCATCTACAAAAACTTTAACTTTGCCCTTCGTGACAGCTACCTCCTTGAGCTTTTTCGTGAACCCTCCATGCACGTTGACCAAAAACACTAGCTCCTTCCAGAACGGAGCGCTTGATCCCAGAACCTGGGTTTCGTAATTTTCACCGCTTCCCTCTGGTTTTGCGGTCGACAGAAGACTAGAATCGAAACTCGCAATAGTAAATGGGTGCGCTTCGAATGGCAGTGTCGAAACTGAGGGCATGATTAGATATGCCGTTTGTCCTGGGGACCAGTGGAAATGTCGGGGTCGACGTAGGCGCAAGCGAACGATATTTTCGGAAAGCAACTCTGTCGCTGCGTCCATTGTCCCAGTTCCTGACTTGAAGCCAAAGTAAGAGTGATTGAATACAACAACTCGAACGACCCGGATGAAGCGATCGAAAGCCCAGAACACAAACGATGGCCATATCCAGTACGACCCGCTAATCACCGCCAGTCAGAAATGAAGCTGTCTGTATTAATTTGCACTTACTAAGCACCTTTGGTGTGGTAATATCCTCCCACCAGGAATATCCTGCGTTCTGTCTGTCAACAAAAGTTACGAGCGAGTAGAAGTCCTATGCTCACAGGACGCCAAGGAAGTGGACATAGAAGAAGACCTCATAGACATCATTGCGAACGGGACGCAGTGATACTATGATCAGAATAGAGAAGGCAACCATGGCGGTGATACCGAGACGGAGCCAGTCTTCGTTCAGAGTCTCCCGGAAGCTTTCGGTAAACTCGATCAGAAAAGCGCAAGCATGAACTGGAGGTACGTACGAGGGAGTGGATACTATTTCGCCCGCCGCATGTACCCAAAGTAGCATGAAGCATGTCCTAGCCATCATTCGATGAATATAATTGAGCTTCATATCCATGAGTAAGTGTTCCGTGGAGAGCAATTAAGGGCCATACCCTATCGTAGCTGATGCCTGTGACCACTGATGCGAAAAACTCAGCGACACGTCGGATTCGTAACTTTTCCACTTACAAGACACGAGATTGTTCTTTGTGCCAAGAGCCGTGATAATGGGAAACTGACTGGACGCCAGCATTGCTATGCGGTTGCTCCAGTAGATTATATCAAGTTTTTGACCCTCGACTGAGGTTGCTGCGTGATTTAGTGATCAGTGCGGTGTGAGTAGGACCGTACACAATCCTGTGAGCTTACTGTTAATGAAGGCATAGATCAGCAAAAGGGCGATGTATGCCACAGTCACGAAAACCTCTGCCATGTTAAGGGTATAGGATTGTCCTATTTCGAGGGTCCACCGGAAGGCAACAACGCGATAGAAATTTATGATCGCGAGTGGGATACGACGGACAGAAAATTTGTATTGGATGTCATTGGCGGTAACCGTTTCTTCGTCGCACTCGTAGTGCCTGCGCCTGGCGAATTTGGAGTGAACGAATGACCCCCACTGGAAGCAGCCGACTACGAATAGAAATGCGGCGATAGTATACCACACCTGTTCAGGGTAGGTGTCATTTTCGCGTACGAGCGCGATTATGTCAGCTTCAGAGAAATCAGAAGACATCCTAAGTCGCAAGGAAGGGGTCTGGGTTCAGGCAGACAGGGAAGGAAGAGCAGACTAAATATGAAGACCATAGTGTGGTGCGACTTTGCATACCCGAATAATCTTCCCAAGGCATTGAGAATTCATGTGGGGATCAATTCTCAGGATTACATCACTGGATTTGTTTTGTTCAGAACATGATGGCCGTTGAACCTCGGAGAAGTTTCTTAACCATAGGATTACCAAATGAGCGCCAATCGGAGGATGTCAGGGTTGATCTCCCCTCAGCCTAACCGAAAAACGGTCTGCGGAACCGAAGCATTTCAGTAGAATGAGTGGGTGAGATAACCATTAAAGTTCTTATCTAGGTACTGTGATAAGGGAAGTTCGCCACAGTTCAACTTGGCGTTCAAGCCCGAGGTCATGCCGTCATAGTAAGTAATACAGTTGTAGAACACGAGTTAATGCATACTTGCCTGGGACCACCGACCCCGTGATAAAGTATGCGAATCGATCCACTTCGCTGAAGTAGAAAACTTGAGTGACCAGTGGATTCAAGGTAACCTGTTCGGTGCCATTGTGTTATGATTCCAATCTGTACCTGTGCCTATTGGTGTCAGGATTCAAGTGCGCTGTTAATCCGAACTAGTGTCGCGAATTGTGACATGACATTGATCACTGATCAGCAAATGCGACAGCTCTCACAAAATGAAGGACATAGCTTATGTCAGCGGATATCGCAGGTGTGAGTAGTCCGGACTCCGAATATGGCAAAAGTGACTTATTCTCGCCGGTACAGTCTGTAAGGCCCCCTCTACAGATCTGAATTGAAGGTTTATTCAAGGGCATAAAACCTTGTTGAATTTCAGACGATGTCCGGCATCACGGGACACCTTCCTTAAGGATAAGATTATCACCTTGTACCCCGAGGTCAGCCCGTAATTATGGCTGTACCGTAGTTCTAGCGTTGTTGGCTGAAGTCGGGAACTGGTCTGGCAAAACTGGTTGTGCCTGGCCCACGTGGGTATCCGAGACTCGCGGAGATGTAATTTAGATCAGTTTGAATTCAATATAACCTGAAAACCGATGTCCTTACAAAAAGATGGCGCATGTTGGAGGACGCCTTCTTGCATCACTGAGTACTACTGTACTGATCAATGACAATTTCGACATTGCTGTCGAGACTGTACAGGATCTTGAAGCATTCTTTGCGTGGGCACCTCCGCTCTCGACAGAGCCTCGTGATGCAGATGACCTTCTTGCTGGTCCAGAGGGTATCTCGCCTGACGACGTTGCCACTGAATTTACGGCTCAAAGAGTTGAAGCGGACCGAAGAAGATGAGAGCTTTGACGAAGCTGAAGTGCTCGAGGGAAATGCTTTTGATTTTGGGAAGTTGGATCGGGTTGAACAAGGGATAATGATTCCACAGGCTATTCTAGATGACGTGAGGTGGTTAATACCAATGGTGAGGATGATGATGCATCGATGGATAGGACGAGGCAACATTGACCTCGTCATTAGGAATGTCATACACATCGTTTACACCTAGAGTTTTGTCAGTTCGTACTAGTTCCCATTTTTTGACCCCGTGAGAATTATGTAATAGATATTAGCAACAGCGCTTTATTTATGCTTTACAACTTGCAAGTATAATGTCGTCCAACTTCGAACGAGTTTACTGCAGTCAATTTGACTTTTACTCACTGCTCCATTGTCTATAGAGCATCACAAGTCATAGGATGTTTATCCATTTTTGCTCGGGTGGGTCGTTAGCAGCTTCTCGTCAAAATCGCGTAGAAGATGCATATTCTCCCAATCATGTCAACGAGAGTGTGCGACCGTGACATATACATCAAATGGGGGAAAGTCCACCGCCTGGCGCCAGATCAATAATCTGTGAATGTATTAACTGTGAGCAAAGACTGCTTCTGTGTCACCACCCACCCATCACGGTTTGTTGCATATAAAGCTTTTGCTTTGCAAATCACTCGCTTCGACAGTCGGATTCTGCTATTTTACCCCGATGGAGACGTCGATCCTGCAAACATTTTCAATGGCATATTTGCAGATGTCAAGTTATCCTGCTATTCGATGGCTACTCGTCGCAACGGTTTCAGCTTTTCCTCGGAAAGTTTTCCAGTTATCATCCATAGCTTATGGGCGTTCAAGAAGATGACTTGACGAGAACCCGATGCCGAGAACTTAAACACGATTCATACACAGTGCACTGTAGGTGTTGATTCCATCAAGCTCGTTTGCCGTTTGTTCAAGTTATTCTTGTTCATCACTCTCAATCTCATCTAACTAGGTGAAATCCACCTTCGCGAGTTGACTGTTACGACCACCGTTAAACATGCATGGGCTAAGCTTTCTGGTTCACTAAAATGACGCAAACTGGCGGTGGCCCTTCATCGGACAAACCTTTCCAAAAGGAAAGGAATGTCACAGCGCTCAAGCATCTTCTGACTACAATCCTCTAAGTTGTGAGATACTGGGACCGGTCTGCTCGGTAGAAGAGAACTGATGTAGGAGCTAGGAACTCCTCAACAGTGTGTTCCAATCACGGGCCGTTTGCGAGGGCGCTAGATTCGGACAAAGGCGAAACGTCCGACAGGTAGACGATCGTAAGAGCTGAATTGCGATCTATTGCGATACCAGACGAACACGGAGTTGACCGGTCGTTGGAGCTCGACGTTAATATTGTTATTCCGGTCGATGCAGTGGAACGGGCATGGACTGCAAGGGAGAACCCAAGGCCAAACCTCTATAGCGGGAGGCTACAGCTCTATCTATTGAGAACCGACTACGGGCCAGGACTCCTGCTACAGTGCGCCAGACGGCCCTGCTATATCTGCCCCATCTCCAAATGCAACCGTCCGCGGTTCCACCATGAAAGACGAGTGTGCGGGAGTGCGAAGAACTGCGCCAGACCACCGTGATACAGCAGCAAGTACCGCCCCAGGCCCAGGAAGCTGCAATACCCTGCATAACGATGACCGCCTCATGATTCCTCGCAGCAATAGCCTCGACTCCCTGCGTAACACAGCACGCAGCAGTCTTTCCTGAAAGCTAAACAACCTCAGAGAAAGTGATCTGATTAGGGCTCATGTTGTAGTACCACCATGCTACTCCCACGTGCATCTCACTTCGCTTCTTCCATCATCACCATCACCGTATGTTACGCCAGAGATGCGTGTCTCGAGCGGTGATCAATGCATTTTATCGGTGTGCTGATTTACCTCGTCCGCACGATAACGATCGAAGTTACCAAGCTTTTCTCTCATCAACATCGTCTGCACTGGACGCCGATTCCGTGTTGACAGTTTCCGCCCCCCGCTTGTCTCGAAAAGAGGATTTGTTCCACTCCTGGAACCGTTAGCAACGAGTTCACTCAATTTGATGAAAACATGCCTTAAAGACATACAGTGACCTACTAATTCAAAAGCCGACATCGCTCTTGAAGGTTCTAGATTCTTCGTCTCAGGTTCATGCACAACTCCGTTTTGGCGCATATGATTTATTACAGGTGAACATACGTACGATCCAATACAAATGCCTAGAAGAATAATTCCACGCAGGTGCCGTTGAAAACATGTGAGATCCCTGTTCCTTTTCGAAAATGCAATATCTCCAGCGTCCTGAAGTCCATCATGAGTTGGTCTTCGAGGGTCAGACGCTGAGGTTAGCAAGTCCATTAGAAAATTAATGTTAAAAGTTTTAGCTTGACATCGAAAAAGTGTAAGACAATAGATAGGGATGGCCATCTCGGTACCAACTACGAGTCCGTGTAAATGCGAAATGGTACCCAAAAAGCCTGAGGATCCACGAGAACGTTGCAATAAGATGTAGGCAAATCAGAACGAAAGCAAGGGTGAGTACAATAGTTTCACAACGTCTCTCCTATGATACATCGATATCTGGCAGATGCCAAAAGGACCTCAGAAAACCCGCGGCGTGTCCCACCCCAGTGAGCCGTCTGCCTGATCTTCCTGATCAGATTCTTCTGGTCGATACCGACCCTCGCCAGCATCGTGATCATGAAGTCCCTCTGGTTGAAGCTGAACAAGGGATTGTCGGCCAGGTGCCAAGGAATGAGGGTGTGGAGGAGTCTGCATACGCGAAGGGGATTGAGACCAATCACGAGAGGGGCGTGAGCTTGACGGCGCGACAAATGGTGCTTGGTTGCTTATTTCTCCTGATGGATACTGATATAGTGAGGGTGGTATAGGTGAGGGCAGGGGGATATCGGATGCCGAGTAGTAAGAGGTATTGGGTGAGACAGCATTCCCCGCGTAGGGATTTGGTAACGCGGCCTGGGGGACCAGTTCGATAGCATCTGCGCCATTATCGTCAGGATTCTTGCTATCAGAACCTGCGCGGGATCTTGTAACCGTTGGTTCGTAACCTTGCTGCAGAACTAATTCTGACGCTGAACGAGCGTGAGGTTCGCGGAACATGGGTGCAGTCTCAAGATCAACATGTTTGTTCTTCGATTCCTTGCGATGGCGGATTCCCAGACGGTCCTTGAGATCCCCTCCGACCCACATCTCGCGAATAATGTCTTTATCCAAGGGCATATATGTCGACTTAAAGAACTTGATGAGAAACCGAGGCGCTAATCGATTGCTAGTTAGGGCGAGTCTACAGGAACACCATTTCGACTCACCAAGTGCCACCAAAACGGAGAAGAAACAACTGTCGCCCAAAATGTGACATTGGAGAAGAGAATCTCTACCTCGTCGATAAATCCATCTGTATTAGAGAAGAAGGTGTTGACCGGAAGGAACGAATAGATCACAATCCAAAGGAGCATGACAAGAGATGATCCGATACCGACGACCCAAGTGATAGAGGTCCAGCTAAAATAAGCAATTTTTAGCGTTATCAAACCAGTACGACAAAGCACACTCACTAGTGAGTATTCATCCCGACGTATGTGTTCGCTGCAAAGATAGCAGCAACCGCAACGGTTGTCCCAAAGTCCGCTAAAGAATCAATCCCTTTGCCATTGGACGCCACGGCCAGTCCAAGCTGCCAGACCAAGTAGGGAATGAAGAAGACCACCGCAGACTGGTAAAGACCATCGAGCATGTAGAACCAGAACTTTGTCCGCGTGTACTCCAAGCCTCTGATGCCGCGAACATAGAGCTGAGGGAAAGCAAGGGCAGCCTTTGCATTGATATCTTGATCGAATGCTAAAACAAACAGTTGAGCGAGACCCAATAACTAATGATCAAAGGCTCACATCCGAGGACGATGACAGGCAGTGAGGTAAAGATGAGGTTGTAAAACAAAATAAAGCTGTAGTCATATAAATAGGTTGCGTCGAAGCTTTCAAAAGTATTGTTGGCTAGTGCATATAAACCAAAGAACGAAACTCACTAGCAAAACGGCATAAACCAAAACATGGCCAACGTCCAGATGACATTCTAAAGCGACGAATCAATGGCAAGCACAATTAAACAAAATCGTAAAACACACCTTGTAGAAGAAATTACTGTGCATATCAGCAATACGCTGGTACGACCACCTCCCATGGACGAGCAGCAACTTCGTCAAAAACCTGAATTGACCGAAGGCATAATCGGCAGACATAGCAGCTTGTGAACCTTCATGTCCAAGCAGACCACAACCAACATTGGCTTCTTGAATCATTGCAACGTCATTAGCGCCATCTCCTATAGACAACGTCATTGCCTTCCGACCCTCCTTGACCTTGGCACAGAACTCGAGATCAGTAGAATACCTCAGGAAGTGGCAGTATGCTCACCAGCTTCACAGTCAGTGCCTTCTGGGCAGGCGAGACACGACAGCATACGACTGTTTCGCACTGGGTACCAAGGTTCAGGAACAAAGGCTTGATATCCGGCGTCAATGCGTGATGTAGGGTGTCACCATCAATAACGACCGCAAAGGAAACCTTAGCACCAAGGACAAACCCGCGTTCCATTGTTTTCGAGGTAGGAGGGCCCAATATCGACGCAATCTTGTTGAGACCCGCCTCTATCTGAGCAAGAGTGCTTTCGGGGCTATCAGCAGACAGGATCATGATTTCAGTATCTTGTTTCAGGAGGTTGCAGCTGAAACCTGGGGATCGAAAATTAATCCAGTTGTGGCGACATGAAAAACCCCACTCACCAATCTCGATCGCGGTCTGCAGCTTGTCGCCTGTGAGAATCCAAAGCTTGATTCCAGCGCGATGGAGCATTTCAATAGCTTCCGGTACTCCTTCTTGCAGCTTGTCCTCAAGAGCCGTAGCGCCCAGTATCTGCAACGAGTGTTCCACCTCAGCCGCTGCATTTTCAATGGCTTCGTCGCGGTCGTCGACAGTCGACTGAGCAGCTTCATACGTCCGCAGCCACCGCAAGAATTCATCCTCCTCGAGCACTCTATAACCAATGCAGAGTGTGCGCAAACCACCATTAGCAAAAAAGTCCATGTCCTTGGTCGTCTTCTCCTTCAAAGCAGGGTCCACATCCGCAGCAAGCCGTTCGTATATGACGCTGTCCGCCCCTTTGCAGTACAAGATGATGCGTCCATCTGACGCACGGACGATGACGCTCATGCGCTTACGTGTGCTAGTGAACTCGAGCGTCTTCATATGCGTGAACCGCTCAGGTTGACCAAGCACTTCAATGTCAATCGTGTCCTTGTGTTTGCCGACAAAAGGAAAGCCCACATCCCGCGCAGCAGCAACCAACGCCGCCTCATCAGGGGACTCAGCCTTATACTCCAAGCGATAAGGGCGCTCCTGCGGCTCGGGCTTATCCGCCAATACTGAGTGGCACACGGCCAAGGCACGGAAAAACGCGACGATGTGGGAGAATTGTTCCGTCGAGCGGTCTGCGAGGTCCTCTGCGAGCTTGGGTGACACGAGCGTGAGTTTGTCAACCTGCATATAGCGGTTCTTGAATAGCTTGGTCAGCTTGGCAACCATGGTGTCCTTGAGCACTGCAAGCTTTTCCACTAGCTCTTCTGGTGCTATTGCATCAGCCCGGCCTTCCCTCGTTGCAGCTCCACGCTGCGCTTCTGTAACGCCCTCTCCATATATGACCCCGCGCACCGAGCATTTTTGGAACTCCATCACGTTTGCGTCAGCGTTCCGGTCTTGTCGGAGAATATATATTCGATTTGTCCGAGATCGTCAGAAATACCCCAGTTCTTTGGGACACATGCAGTGTTGAAGGGCTTGTAGTACATGTCCAAATCTTGAGCAATGAAGTAGGCTTGGATGGTCTTGACGATCTCGATAGAGATGAACAGGGAGACTGGGACGATATTCTGAAAGGCGATGAGACACGACCTGAAAGAATATTAGCGAGCGTTCAGGTGACGTTACAAGGACATACACGAAAGTAACGAGTGCGTTGAGTACGTTGGAACTAGTGGGTTGGACGCCTTGCTCATATACATATGTGCTTGTGGCTGTTAGCCCATCCATAACCCCGTTGATGGTCGCTGATATCGAACAGATGATGATCAAGAATAGGAAATTCACTATGACATTGAAGTTTGTCTCCTTCGCGATCTTCGATTGCTTGGATGGGGTCTGTCCACCGTTCAAGTATATCTTGGTGTCTTGGCCGGTGAAGACGACTAGTCCGATGATCCATGCGGTGTTCCGTACGGTGCAGCCGCGAAGGAGTAGCTCATTGATAGTGACACCCTCTCTACGAGGTTCGCGCGTGGCAGCGTCTGTATATCGCAGGACCCCATTGTATATGTACAAGTTCTGGTGCGGAGGTTCTGAATCGAGGACAAACGAGGATTTTTCGATGTCTTCTTCTGAGCTGAGGGATGCCGTAGCCTGTATTGCCTTCCGTACCTTGAGGTTTGTTTCGCCGTCAAGGTTCTTGGTTTCGAGATAGCACAGTCCCTCTGCATCAGATGTCGACAATACGACGATATCAGCAGGAACCTGCTCATCTTCCCGTAGAAGCACAATGTCGCCGACCTCCAGCTTCTTCCACAACGTCCTCTCCCAGCGGGCTGTCCCGTTTGTGCGCCTGCTCCAATCTACCACGCCCAGAGATGACCGTGAAGGAGACGACTGCATATAGTTTGATAGGGACATACTGTGTTGATCCCATCCTCTAAGCTCGTTTTCTGGGAGCCCCGGAGGGTAGGTATGCAACTCCACGCTGCCTATACTGCTTTCAATATCCTCCAGTTGCCGGCCACCTACCCCTGTAGGAGGGTGAGATCCGCCCAAGACTGTAATGCTATCGTTCATGTCTGTGGTGCTCATGCTGACCCTATCTTCACCACTCTTGTTCAAGATGATCTGCTTTCCCTCGCCTGCTTCCTTCTCCCGTAGTTTCTGCACTCCACGAGTGATTTTTCCAGGAGCATTTATGTGGAGTAGCCGTTGGTACCATGGTCGGGGATCAAGGGCTTGGTTTACGTTGCGCCACTCCCCGAGTCTCGTTACTGCAGATGTGTTCACTTCTTCATCTAGTTTGGCTCGTCTATAATCCTCGACACCGTCCTTGACCGCTGTCACGACCAAGATGAACAACAACGGGAGAGCCGCGGTCTGTGGCGATGCTGCACCGAAAACGGAGAAAACTGCGCAAGTCTCATAAGCAATTGTTGCTCCACAAGGCGTGGCTCCGGTTACCCGCATGAGCTGTACTCACATTGAAAAATGACGAGCGCTAAAAAGTAAATATTGGCAATTCTAGGGGCAATCAATGAGGTTACTATGTCATCGGCAAGTAACACGTACCGGTGAAATTGTTCAAACAAGTTCTTTGGCAGAAAGGTCAAGAGTGTGTACCCTATGAGCAATATTACACTTAGAGACGGACTGAAATGGAAATATGAAACATACTGCTTGTGCGAACTTTGTTCCGTGCATAACGGGCGAGTGGTTCGCCATGCTGGTCTGACTCCATGGCAGAGAGTGGTTGATTGACGTATATGTTTCTCCGCGCGCCTTGAATGCGCGATTGCGGGGCTGAGGGGGCCTCAACTGATTGGGCCGTTGATGGGCCTGGTTCTGAAGTCTTTGGTTTCTTTGCATTCTTGCGAAAAAACAAGGATCTCTTCTGGGTGGTTCTCCATCTCTTGCGCGCTTTAATTTCTGAGCGTATGGATTCTGCAATAGTAGAAGCTGCTGTGCGCACTGTGCGGAGACGGAGTTGTGGGTCTATGGTATCATTCTCGTCAATGTCAGACGGCGGTGGATGCCGCTTGAACAAAGACATTGAGATGGTAAATTAGTGACCAGGGGTATCGTGAAAGGATCCTAGGACCGAGAACCAGCACGGCAGGACAGAAATTGGGAAAAGAACGAAGAGTGGAAAGACGGCTGATTAGTAGCTGGTATCGTTCGCAGCAAGCAGAGCTATGCAGTGCCGCTGCCCGCACCAATTTTGGCCTGGTATGTAAGGACCCCAAGCACCTTCAATACAAAAGTGAGGCGATAGCCTATTTGAATTAGCCTGAGACTCTTGCAAACGTCGTTGAGAAGCGGAGAGTTCAAGTCGTCGACAACCTTGGCCAATGTGGCCCACGAACTGCTCAATTCGATTCTCTTCTACTGTCGTGACGGCCCTTAACGCAGTTGTAACGTGTTCATCAACACCCACAAGGGTTTCCAATCGCAGTGGTTATTTTCAGCACACGTTGATACACGCAGGCAACCTGACATACGGTACCCCGCATACTGTGCACTGCGGCCCGGGGATGTAATTATTGCTTACCATTCATCCGGCATGCTAATGTGGAATCTGATACAGGTGATACAAGCATGGCCTAGTCAAGGCTGAATTGCCAATATTGGGTGTTTTCAATCAACGTCTACTAATATTCCTATCTAGTTCACCGTGCAATCTTTACGCTATATGCTTAGCGGAAGGCACAATAGAGCCCTCACTGCTTCTTAGCAGTGCGGACGGTGAGTACTGAGCGCTGAGCAATAGGCTTCTTCGTGGGTGCATAGCGATAACTTCACCCACAGCTATTGATAGCCCATTAAAAACCCGCATTCTTTCCATGAAATGACCTTATTTTCTCTCTGGACTGTTCGCAACTTTAACATCATGGTTCTCTGTCGTAAGGTCCTCCTCATCACTGGTTCCTTGGAAACATACTTCCCCAAATTGGGTGCTGGGCCAGGTGAAATTGACGCGGTCGTGACACGCCTGTGATGTGGCATTGACGCGGCAGTATCACAAATTCAAGGGTACAGATCATGTTCAAACGCCATCTTATGTCGCTCGAAATGTTTTCCAAACACTTTGAATCCTCGTAAATGATCAAACATATGAATATCTCTCTGGGTGCAGGCCCTGGAGTGCTGCATTCACTTCTCACCATATTTACAATGCTTCCCTTCCGCATTCGTACTACTCGGGAATGCAGAGTGCATCTTGTGTTTGTCTTGTATTGCCTCTAATCATTGATGTAACGTTGATTTTCAGATGCAGTGTGAAGTGTTGTCTCTCTCGACGGTGACCTTGTCAAGTTCGATGCAGCCTCTGTACAGACGTGTACTACCATGTCAAGCCTCATTCAGGCTAGGTCAAGCACCCCTCATCACGACAAGTTTTCCCCAACATCCTCCGTATTAATGTTAACTCCACACTTACCTATTTCACATGAAGGCCCACTTGCATCCCGCGTTCGTGCCGCGTCAGTGCTTCGTCAGTGCCGCGTCACACCTACACATGCCGCATCAGTGCCTGCGTCAAACCCCACACGCTATCCTGCTGTCAGCTTCATGACCGGCATAGACCTCGAGTGTCTGACCACACTGGAAGCAAGAATGTTGAAGAAGCAGGACCTGCAGGCAACAATAGTATGTGTCCCTATGATAAAATAACGAAGGAATGATCATGAACCCGTGCAGCTTGATCTGGGGGTCAACATAGGAACACTTGCACTGGCGCGTCAGTATCGAGAAAATGGCCACCGGCTGATGTAGCTAGTACTAAGTAGGATGCGTCCCTGTGACAAATAAAATGGTGAAGGAATGATCATGAATCAGTGCAACTTGATCTAGTGTAGAACTTGTGGCACTGGCGCGTCTGTGGCAATGCCGCGTCACATGTGCGTCACGGCGCGTCACAGGCGCGTCACGACCGCGCGTCCCCTATTGTCAGACCTTCTTCTCCGCACCTGGGATAGCGAATGTACTTACATGGTCGTTGGACGGTAGGTCTCTCGCCATTTCCCTTGTGCAGCGGGTATTCGTCGGAAAGTCAGGCTATTATGGAGAACGAAGTTCATTGTCTGATGATTTCAATACCAAATGGACCTATTCTCGCAGCCCGCAACATCGTTATCGACATCTAAATAGGCAGAATTGGCTTTATGCGGAGGGACAAGGCAACCTGCCCCAGTATGGCCATAATAGAAGGAAGACAGTCGTTGCTTCTATGTGGAACATGCGGACCAACGATAGTAAGTATCCAGCTTCATACGTACAAGATCAATGGCTATCATCAGGAAAACGTAATTCGTTACAGAGCGCTCTGTAGCACGATTGAACCCGCTGATGCATGCTGGGGGTTTTGACATCCGTATCACAGTTCTTCGCATAGACCTTATGCTGACGGACCGGGAAGATCCGACCCATCTACTAGTAAGTGTCAATCTTTTATATGTCCTTAGCAGCTGCCAAGCTCTTTAGCAAATTTGTGGTCAGTTGGCTCCAGTTGCATGTTTGATATCGCATCAGATGGTCCTCGCTATATGTTCTGGATCATTCCAAAGTCCTACAATTGAAATACATGGCAGAGTTCCCATAGCCTGCCACAATCCGAGCAAACCAAACCTGGTGCAACGTAGGTGTCGGGACATATAAGCCTGGCCAAGCTCCTTGGGGAAAATGGTTCAAGGTGCGTACGACTCGTTACGAGTCATCTAAAAAACACAGTTGAATCTGATAATAAAGTTTCTCACAACGTCAGATATGGGTCATTAACAGTGGTATGTATGCATCGGACTGCATAGCGTCAGTGAACGAACATTAATATTCTTGTCACGATCACACGACAACTGTACTTAAGTGGGGTTTGCGGCGGCGTTGGTCCTTCTGTAACTTACAGGCAGGTCTGAACGTTTTTGTTTTTGTTTCTAAATAACAAGACACGTTCTCCGCACGCGTTTCATTTTATATACACTATCACTCATCCTACACGTTGTCTTTTCGTTCTCCGTCTCAACGACGTCTTTATATTCCTCTGCCTTCAGAATCCACTCCCCTCAGCTGCTGGTCCTTCAATCGAAGACTCAGGTGAGTTCAATCATTTACGAGTCTACTACATAGTCTCTCCCTCGTTCCTAGTCCGAGCCTCTCTTAGTTTGAGACTAAGATGTCTTCTATTTCATTCCGGAGCTTGCGGATCTGCAGATATTCAAGGCATGCAAAGATTGTAGCTCGATAAACTTGACGTTGCTAACTTGATTTCTTATTTAGTTTTCCAATAGTAAGTGCCCTTGGATCGGCCGTGAAGGAGACAGCGACTGACTACGTTGTATCGTCAGCTGGTGCCTTCGCAATTCTCGTAAGCATCGAGTCCATTCATTGTAATACCAGCTCCAATCATCGACCCTGTTCGGTGTCTCAGATATTCGATTTCTGCATCGCATTCCAAGATGAGGTCAACATTGAAATAATGTGTCCGTGACTATTGTTTTCATCACTGTCTACAGGTAAAGTGGACCTGGTCTAGGCCATGGGATATAACTCGTGTCATCTTCGCCATATCTCGATATCTGCCTTTCATAGGTTCTGGATTGACTGTATATGGTGAGTCACCCACTTTTATTATCCTTATCTTTTGGGTACTGTTGACAGCTGTCGTAGATGCACTAAGTATCAGCGGGCCGGTAGGCATGCAAAGAAATGGCTTTTAACGATAAGCTGATTGCATGACACAAAGCCAGCCCTCAGTCAGGCAGAAAACAGTAAGTCGTCGCCCAGTAGTTAATTGTCACTCAACCTAACAACGTGATGTTCAGTTATTCATATTATAAGTATCGTTGCTGCAGAAGGTGCGAGTTGCTCATATCACCTATACCAAGAGTAGGGTAGATCACACTTGTTTGACAGGCTTGTTGGTTATTCGGACATGGGCATTCTGGCAAAGGAGCAAAAGGATGCTGATTGGATGAGTAACTTATAGTGTTGTGCGTGTTCCACGGGACTGGAGCACAAACCTCTAACTTTGCAATAGGTGACGGTAATCGCTGCTATTTCCATAAACGTCCTTCGAAATCAACAGTTGATAGCAGGTGAGTTCGCTCGTGTTACTACCAACACATCGTTTTGATATAGTTACTAGAATCAAATGCTGTATTGGTATATATTTTCTTGGCACTTTTCGAATGTGGTTAGTTACTATGTAGGGCGTACTGTTGGCCATCTGACCCACAAGCAAAACCTAGCAGTAATACTGGCCCTTACTGCGTATAAGAAGTTCAGCGACTACCGGAAAATTGAGAGTTCGATCATAATCATCCTTTACGGCGGTACATATTTGGCATCATCAGTGCGTGGAAATAATTTGCTTCAACTTTATTGTCGTGTAATTCGTTTCGCAAAGCCATCACAGTCACCAATGTGATTATTGACGCAGTATTTCCGGTGCGTGTGCACGTTTATTTAACCCCAGTCATTCCTTTTGTTGCTCGGCTGCAGGTTGGCTATACAAACATGTTTGATACGTGTGTTACCGGCTGCACTGCGACTATTGACAATGAACACACTCCATTTAGGCTACAAGTTGTCATTCACAGCGTCCTAGGCTCACGAATTATGTTCCACCTTCGGAGTAGTCACGACCAGGTCTACGAGATGCACAGCATCATCAACATTAATAATGTCAGAAGCTATACAATACGGCACTATGCGACCCAGAACTGGTGAATTTCACCGGTACCATCACCCGTCAGTCTAGTCAGAGTCACCACATTACATGTTGAACATCACTGGGGATTGGTAATAACAACCCACCCCACAGGTGATCCTTCACAAATGCAGACGAACGACTCGGAGAGAAGGAATAATGCTAGTAGTGAAGTTTAATGGATGCAAGCGAGTTTGGTTTGTCGTCAAGATTAGACACACTTTTGTCAGGGCCCATTTTCAAATAAAGCGTTCATTGTAGTTACGAATGTATTTGAACAATTCCAAAGGACGGACCTCACTGCCATAGACACCACTTGCAGTTATGATGAAGCGAGGAGTGAGAGATTTGAATGAGAGACTGGGGATTCGAGCGAGCATTCTGGGTAATTAAGAAGACGAGAATTGTCGATGCCTGCTGGCAGGTTACGATAAAATGGACATAATCAATTGAACACGATCCTGCAGGTTCTGCCGGATTTCTGCCAGATTGTGCCCGTTAGGTCGTCGTCCTACAGTGTTCCCCCATCTTCAGATATATCATTCGAGATCACTTTCAGAAGATTCCATATCACCTCGCACAGAAAATGCGTTTCTCCGCCCTCGCCGCTGTTGCTTTGACAGCATCTACTATGTCTGTCAGTGCATGCCAGACTGAGACACAACCTTGCACAACAGATGGAGATTGCTGCCATAACTTGTATAAGATGTATTGTAGACCCGATAGCGTGAGTATGAGCAGGTCGCGCAATCAGGATTCAACCACATGACTCACCTGCACACCTTAGAGTGGAGGTTTCACCTGCCAGTCGGGGCCGTTTGAAAATTGAGTCGGCAGCCCGAGGGGCACGTCGCAAAAGTGAGTCATGTTTCTACTTTCGCTTTGGTATTACGGTTGATGGTGCGGCACCTAGCTCGGAGTCGATCAGTACACTTGTTTCTGGATAAATTTTCGTACTGCTCGAGCAATGTGGATGTTCCAACTTATATGAAAATGACCGACCCACCGTTGGATAGTGTTATTAGCAAAACTTGGCAGAACTCCAGACTCGCGGAGATGTACTCACTTAGATCTGATAATATACAAAGACACCCCTTCGGTCGGCTCTTCGACGATATACTGTATTTACAGTAGCAACTAAGGAAATACAATATCAGCAATATCAGTACGGTCTTGTCCTTCGTTCGCCTCTGCAAACAGACACAATGTGTCTCTTCGCGTTCTCACCCTCGACAACGCTGTGTACAATTGACCGTGAGCAAAGGGATCCGTTTGAAGGTCGAACACGGTCGTGCTAACGTCAAACCTTGACAACCAGTAAATGTAGTTGCATACGCGGGCCGCAAAGGACACTGTCTTCGATTTACCGTCCACGGTAAAGGCAAAGTTGATGCGGGGGATGCAGTGGCTTTCGAAAGTATCGAAGAGTTGGACTTCAACGAATCGACGATGCAGAGCAACTACGCGCACGCGCATGTCTGACCAATCCCTTTTCTACGGAGAAGTTTCGTTGGATGGCGCAAATGCAATTCTGTTTGAGATCCAGGCGGTGAGGAGGTACTCCAGGATGAGTCAACATTGCAAGGTAGTCTGGTGTGTTCTGGTGCATTTAAGAGAGTGTGCTCGGCTTCTTTCAGGCTGTCTGAACTAAAGTAAGATGCTATGTTGTCTTGTGAATGGAGTGTGTGCTCGATGTCTGTTGGCGATACTTACAAAAGTTGCCCGGCAATTTGCCCAGAATTTTGTCGTTGAATTCATCGACATAGACATTTTTGGGACAGGTTTCAGCGTCTTTGAGAACATTTGGTGGGAAGAGGAAGTTAATGATATCGTCGACGTTTGTAGTCGCTGCTATGAGTGCGAGATTCTGTCGATTCCCGGAGCAGTCTTCTCCAATGTGATCCACGAATCCCATGAATTGCGGGTCACCCATGCTGCGAATTGCGGGGTTGAGACTCGAAATCTGCATGTCTGGCTGTAGCGTTGATTTCACTGATACTGCCAAAGTTGCTATCTCTCCTGCTCCGCTGACAATAGGACTTGTCTGCCAAAAATCTTCCAATCCTGCGAATGTGATTCCTCCGAATGGTATTTCGATACATTCTGTCTTCAGCAGAATCAGTGTTGGCACCAAATGTGAACACACTTACAGGAATATCTCCGATTTCTGGAGTGGCGATGAATCCGTCGTAGCGCCAGAAATTCTTTTTGTCGATCTGATACCTGCTTCCATTTTGAAGACCAACACCGTGAAATGAAGCAGAGGTCACCATAGTAGTGAGGCCTTGAGGAAAGAGCCATAAAAAGGATATAGAACCACGAACAAGCAATAACTATTAACACAGCATGGCGCGGTGGATCGAAAGAGCAGTGAAAGACAGCTCTTAGCGTCTTCGAGAATTGGTGGGAAGAGAAAGTCATTGTGTCGTTGGAGTTTGTGGTCCAACAACGCCGTGAAATGAAGCAGAGGTCGCCGTAGTACTGAGCAAAGAGCCGTAAAAAGGGTCATGAAGGCGCAACAACACAGCTCATGGACGTGGCGGACACTGGACAACATGCCGGCGGTTATTCGTGCTTATATATGTTGTAGATAGTTTGAACGTAAAACCAACGTCCCTAAAGCAAGATCATCTAAACCTAAGTACAAACCTAGATTCCGAAAGTCTTGACTCACGTGTCTGTGGCGGTTCAAAATGTTGAAAATCCATTTAAATCAGTTTCGAGTTTTGTAGGCCTCTGAACGGCCTCAAACACACCATCTCGCACCTATTTCCTACTCAGACTCCCTATGGTCTACCAAAGGATCAGTCCTGACCGAAAAGAACGATCTCTGTACCTGCATTTGGAGGAAGGATGGGTGCGGCCGGAGATCCAGCACAAATAGTTGCTTCTGCAGAATCATATCCTTCTACAGTTCACATGGCTACAAAGTCAAGGATTCATCGATTCACTGATGAAAATAACTACGCCCGTCTTACGATATTGTCAGACCTTCTTCTCCGCACCAGGGATAGTGAATGTACATAATCATTGGACGGTAGGTCTCTCACCATTTCCCTTGTGCAGCGGGTATTCATCGAAAAGTCAGGCTATTACGGAGAACGAAGTTCATTGTCTGATGATTTCAATACTAAATGGACCTATTCTCGCAGCCTGCAACATCATTATCGACATCTAAATAGGAAGAATTGGGTTCATGCGGAGGGACAAGTTAATCTCCCTAGTCAGTAACAGAAGGAAAACATTCGTTGCTTCTTATGTAGGACAGGCGGACCAACAATAGTAAGTATCCAACTTCATGTGTTCAAGATCAATGGCTATGCTGGGGGTTTTGACATCCGTGTTACAGATCTCCGCGTAGATGTTTATCGGTGGCGGCGGTCGAGTTTCAGCTCCTCATTTGGATGTAGATGACAGGATCCACTCACTACGCCACTGCCATAGTATTAAATCGGTGTATCATCCCAGAGGGCGCAACAATAGAAAAATGTTGGGGTGCGTATTCCCTCCGAGATCAGGTTTGACGTGATCGCACATTCGCTGGATTCCCATAGGAGTTTGGACCGGATGCAATAGTGGATTGGTACACAGCTGTTGGTGGAAGGACGTCAGACATAGCTGACGTGCATGCATAGAATCTGTCCAGATCACGAACGGTTCTGTGTTCCTCGACGTTGTGTTCAAAGATCAGAAGTCTACTCAAGGTCAAACTTCCATTCGTCCCCTTAACCTGATGCCTACGTCCCACATTTTGATTCACAGATATAAAATCAGTTCATATCATGCACTCAAACACCAACTACCATCAATGATACATGCAATAATGCGATACTACGTTAAGACGGAAGTTGTAAGTAATGCTGCCGATCGGTGTCACTGGGTACATCGCACTTCCCTGGTTACTGGCAACAAATTCAAAGTTCAAACCTAATTGTTGCCGCGTCAGGCGATGCTTGTCATCTGGCCGGTCAGACCTGGCCTTCTGCTGACGGACCGGGAAGACCTGACTCATCTAAGTATCGATCTTTTGTATGTCCTGGCGCCAAGTTATTTAGCAAATTTGTGGTCAATTGACTCCAGTTACGTGTTTGATATCGTATCAGACGGTCCTCGATGATTGCAAAGTCCTACAATTGAAATACGTGGCAGAGTTCCGATAGCCTGTCACAATCCGAACAAACCAAACCTGGTGTAACGTAGGTCATATAAGCCTGGCCAAGCACCTTGGGAAAACAGTCCAAGGTACGAGTCATCTAAAAAAACACAGTTGAATCCAATAATAAAGCTCCTCACAACATCAGATATGGCGTCATTAACACTATGCATCGGACTGCACAGCACTAGTGAACGAATATTCTTGTAGCGATCACCATATCATGAGGCGTGTCGAATGAGTTTCTATTTTGACCTCTTAAGTGCTGTGCTAGATTGATCTAAAGGCGTTGCGTTTCATAATGACCACGAGTCTCCAGAACCCCGGGCCGATGGGAAGCTCGATCATACGTGTGTCGACAACCGTACTTAAGTGCGGTTCGTGGCGACGTTAGTCCCTCTATGACTTGCAGGCAGGTCTAAACGTTTTTATTTTTGTTTCTAATATGTCTTCTATTTCATTTTCGGAGGTTACAGATCTACAGATATCCAAGGCATGCAATGATCGCAACTTGATAAACTTGACGCTACTAACTTGATTTCTTATTTAGTTTGCCAATAGTAAGTACCCTTGGATCGGCCGTGAAGGAGACAGCGAATGACTACGTTGAATTATCAGTTGGTGCCTTCGCAATTCTTGTAAGAATCGAGCCTATTGTGATACCAGCTCAATCATTCAATTGCTCTGTTCGGCGTCTCAGATATTCGATTTCTGCATCACATTCCAAGATGAGGTCAAGATTACAATAATACATTCGTGACTGTTATTTTAATCGCTGTCTACAGGTAAAATGGACCTGGTTTAGGCCATGGGATATAATTCGTGTCATCTTCACCATATCTCGATATCTGCCTTTCATAGGCTCTGGATTGACTGTATATGGCGAGTCACCCACTTTTGTTATCCTTATCTGTTTGGTATTGTTAACGACTATCGTAGCTGCACTGCGTGTCAGCGGGCCGGTAAGCATGCAACAGAAATGGCTTCTAACGATAAGCTGATTACATGACGCAAAGCCGGCGGCCCCTAGTCTGGTACAAAACAGTAAGTCGTCGCGCCCAGTGGTTAATAAACACTCAACCTAACAACGCGATCTTCAGTCATTCATATTATAAGTATCGTTGCTGCGGAAGGTGCGAGTTGCTCATATCACCCACACCGAGAGCAGGACTGAGGATAGATCATCTTTTTTGATAGGCTTGTTGGTTATTCGGACATGGGCATTCTGGCAAAAGAGCAAAAGGGTGCTGATCGGATTAGCAGCTTATAGCGTGGTGCGTGTTCCACATGGCTGCAGTAATGGCATATACCTTTAACTTCGCAATAGGTGACAATAATCGCCGCCGTTTCCATGAATGTCCTTCCAAATCACCAGTTGATTTCAGCAGGTGAGTACGTTCGTATTACCAACACGTGTCGTTTTAATGTAGCTGTCAGATATGTCTACTCTACCGCAAGGTAGCTTCGAGTCGTCAAGAAATGCTGCATTGGTATATGCTATCTTGGCACTTTTCGAATGTGGTCAGTTACTATGCGGGGCGTACGGTCGGCCTTCTGACACACAAGCAATACCTGGCAGTGATACTGGCCCTCACTACGTATAAGAAATTCAGCGACTACCGGAAAGTTGAGAGCTCGATCATAACCACCATTTATGGCGGTAGCATGTTTTACATGTTGTGCATCATCGGTACGTGGAGATAAATTGCTTCAAAGTTATTGTTGTGTAATTCGTTTCGCAAAGCCATCACGGTCACCAATGTGATTATTGACGCAGTATTTCCGGTGCGTGCCTATTAAACCCCAATCATTCAATGACTTATCTTCTGTTGCTTGGCTGTAGCTTGGCTACACAGACATGTTTGATACGTATGTCATCGATTGAACTGCGAGTACTGACTACGAACTCACTGCATTTAGGCTACAACTTGTCATTCACAGCGTCCTGGGCTCACGAATTATGTTCCATCTTCGGAGTAGTCACGATCATAGCTATGAGATGCACACGCCATCAATGTTGATGCTGTCAGAAGTTATACAGTATGAACAATCTTGGCAAATGCAGACGAACGAGAGAAGGGGTAATGGTAGTAGTGAAATTTGACGGCATGCAACCGGGCTTAATTTATCGTCAAGATTGGACACGCTTTTGTTAAAGCCCACTTAAAATAAAATGTTCATTGTAGCTACGAATGTATTTGAATAAGTTCAAAGGAGCTATATAGGGTGACCTCACCGCAGGTATAACTTCCGCGGCCCGCAAACTAATGGAAGCAATTCGCCTTCCGCCGGCAGAGTATTTTGATCCTGGAACATCCGGCCCCTCCGACGTATCCGACGCAGCATGCTACCCCAAACAATAAAGCGCACACAAACACGGCCCCATGGGTACAAAATCTAAAAGAGATCAGAAGAGGGACACGGGGATTGCGTGACATCGTGGCTGTAGGTCACGTGGTAATATGTCGTGACCGTGAGATTTGCATTATGCAAGCAGGTCGGATTAGGTGATCGAGATGCTCCATCCGACCGAAACAATTACAGTCTGTTGCGTGATATCGTACGGCATGCTCTCATGATACTCCCCTTCTCTTTTGTCTTGCATGACAGGCGAGACAAAGGGAGTGAAACACTGGTATCACTCCATCAAGTTCTACCGCAGAATTGTAACCTTGCTTAAGTAGACTGAAGTACGATATGAACGGTCAAGATCCTCTTCTGCTCTCAATCCACGATGAACTACCAGATTCACCATCCATGTCATATCAACGTCCTCCCAGTTGAGATACTATCATACATATTCACGCTGGCTACCCATGACGCCGCATCCACTAACAATGACTACAAACGAAGATATGAGGTCCCCTTCAGTCCCGAAAGTGTCACAATGCCAACTGTACTTGCGGCTGTACACCGCCACTGGAGAAATATTGCACTATCCACCTCTACGCTATGGTCAAGCCTCGTAATGAGTCTTGGGCAGGTTGTTCGTGTCAAAGTTGGACCAGATGCGGATGACGAACGAGCATATACTACTTTCCTTGATGTGCAGCGCTTGGCCGCTCATATCGCGCGGTCACGAAACTCTTCGGTGGACATTCTTATTGACACTCGAGATCCAGAATGGGATTTTGAAGATGATGGGTAAGTCATGCTTTGTTTGCAGCTCACATCGGTCCCAATATCTTCGCGCTCAGGGAAGAATGTTCAACTCACAATGCGACGTGCATCCCATATGCCACCTTCATCCCTCAAATCCTCGATATTTTGTTCCCGCAGATGTACAGGTGGCGTTCGCTGACAATCCTCAGCGATACGTGGGCACCTCTTCGTGTCGCTCTTGAGCGTCTCAGTTTGCCCACTCTGACAAAGGGCTCAGGTGCTCCGCGCCTTGAATCTTTAATGCTCATGCGATGCAACGAGTTCTTAGGTCACTTGGACACCTTCTCTCCTCACACCCAACATATGTTCGACGGGATACCATTCGCCGCTTTGACGGGCGCGCCCCGCCATGATCTCTCTGCACAATCTCACCCCCTTCCGAAGCTCCGAAACCTAACTCTTGTCGGTGTTCATATGAACTGGACGCATTTTTTCTCGTCATACTCTTGGCGCAGCCCTTAATAAAGGCTGTATTCAGTCGTTGGAGCTTTCGCAGCATTGCCGTGAAGTTCGGCCGACATTTGATGAGTTTACAGGAATCCTCAAGGCTTGTCCTCTCCTGCGAAAACTCACGATCAGGGTCTCTGGGCCGAGGTTTGATGCAGGAGTTCAACGCAGCGATCGCCCGGTCTCGCTTCCCCTGCTTGAAGAGATTCACCTGGGGTATACCAATGTCGAAGATGCTGCCATGCTTCTCAGCCACATCCATGCCCCTAACCTCATCATCCTGTCCATCGAGGATGCCAATCACATCGCCAGTCCTGATGATGAAGACTCTGGCCCTCTCCTGATTTATCTCGCAACCGGTTTCCTTGATTTATGTGGCGTCTCCACGGATGGCTCGAGTCATGGACCGTACAGCTACTACTCAGCCATGTCCAAAGATTCCGTTGCCAGGACGATCAAGACGCCATTTCCACACCTGGAGCGACTGTCGCTCCACAGTGTCATTGCATGCGTGATTCCGTTCAGTCTCCTGGTCGCTGCCATTCCAAAACTCCGTCACCTGTCACTATGTCGCACGCCAAATGCGTTCGCAGCTCTGTTGCCCATTCAGACTCCTTTTGCGGACGCCTGTACCCGCATCATACCTTGCCGTGCCCTTGAGTCCATCGAAATATCTTGTGCTGAAGAACGGACAAAACACATTCTTGATTTTGTGTTGAGGGAACGCGAGCAGAGTGGTGCACCACGTGTGTGTAACATCGACATTCACCTTGAGGTGTGCTCCGCGGACGCCAATGAGATCGGAGGGTACCAAGCTGTAGAAGACGTCGTGGTTGGGAACCACATTACATATGGGGAGAGTGTGTCAGACGAGGAAGATCTGTTTGCGCCTGGTGGTGTCTTCAATGATCCCGATTTTGACGAAGCATATCATTTCTTATCGTAGGTGTTACTTCTGTACACCGTACAGCCCTTAGATCTATATTACTTGTGGGGCGTGTAACGCATCGTAAACAACGCATAATGTGATTAACCTTACCATGTGTGAGCATTAACAATCCATTCACACTATTTTATCCTCTGATGCTAGATTTGATGATATCCGGCTGCATTGTGTGCTTAATATGTCAAGACATGGATATATCTACGGCCACATGTCAACATATCACGCACGAAGGCTTCTCGTATTACTCAGATCGCAAGTTCAGGAATTACTAGTACTGCTTGTGGGTAAGCTCAATGTTTGGGGTTACACGCTCGCCTTCAAGTTCTCAACATGAAGTTCCTACTGGAGTTTGGTTTTACCGAATCACTTGGAGTTTGTGAGAAAGTGACTGGGGTAAAGGGTGGAGAAAGATAGACTCGTGACCATCGTGAATCTCCTTACGCGGGCTTTTTTGAGATTTTGAAATTTTGCAATAGACAGAGAAGGGGAGAGGTAAAGTAAAGTTACCCGAGTGAAAGGATTTGTCACTAGCACCGTGACTTGCTAGTCGACAAGGAAACCAAGAAACGCGCACGGGTTCACCGAGTATGCTTGATGTCGGATATCTCTACCGATGTCATCCGTTAAAGTTTGCAGGGCCTCATGATCAGGCAAGCCCGGCGCACTCGTACAAATCGACATATAACACTGCCTAGGCGCGATCACCAGTATGAAATGGCAAGCCTAAAAATTTTTGCAGGAAATTAACAGTAGAAAGGGAAGTCGTCGATCGAGATTCGAACAAATGCTTCGTCAATGATCATGTGGCCGGCGGATATCTCCAGCACGTCCATATGAATCAATGCGCGATTATAGCGCATGTCACACATGAGACACTGCATACGGATCACTTCCATCCAATTGAATGTTGAACTTTGGACGTGTTAAATTTCATTCAGGGTGCAATGACTCACAACTTGCAATAAGTCAACGTCATCCACAAGCACGTCACAATACCATACGATGACGATTTGTCAACGTACTTTTAAAGAGCCGGCCGGACTTATGAGGACTTAGTTAGACCTTGGACAGCCCATGGCGTGTAGTCGGAACGTTTCGGAACGTCATTGTCAAAAGAATTGCGTGATACGTAGGACAGAGGTGCATCGGACAAAATCCCCGTGGATCATCGACCGTAACACTCCGAACGGTGTGACTCGGATTTGCGCTCGATAAGCATGGAAATAAGAATGAACATATAATTTTTCTCCTGGTCTGCGATGTGTCGAGGCAAAATCGAATAGATTGAGAAGTCCACACTCGCTCAAAATATAGGATTAAACAAGTGACGCGCAAAGCTAAATAGCCTAGGACTCCGCGTGAATCTTGTTTAGTCTTATTATCCGCATTCAGTTAAGTTTTCAAACTCAGCTTGGACGCTACACCCCAAGTCCAGTGACTACTGGAGACAAGCATCTGATAGGCTATTTGGCGACATGATTATGCACTATTGGGAAGTCCAGGTGACTGGAGCAAAGGTTATCGGGCTGTATGAATTCAAGGGTATCACGAGGAACAACGTACATGTTTTCAAAAAAGTGCTGCGGATTGAAAGCGCAGACAGTATCCTCCCAGCGTATAGGACGTTTCGACCGATGGGTGGTAAAAGTCAAATTTTATGACGGCACAGATTTACCTTGCAGGTGCTGACCTTCACGTCATGTTGTTTTGAACCCTTTGGGCCGCAAGGGCTACGCTTGGTTAAGGGAAATCGGGCCATCCATCAGCTTGACGTGTCCATCACTTCAATAACCATTTTGCTGTTACCTCGTGTGCTGCTTTTAACGGCATTGCAAGGTTCGTGGCGTCGTTCATGTGACGTTGCAACGCCTCACCTCTGGATGCTGTGAGCACTCGTCGACTCAGAAGTCGCAGGATTCGTGTAATTCGGCCCATCATCCCGGTATGTTTCGGTCATCATTTTCCTTCGACTGCTCTCTTTGGTGTTGCATAAGCTCATGATGGATCGGTTTATTGTTGGGACACCGTGCTGTTCAAGACGGGTTTATCTTCAACCTAATGTCGTTAGCGTTGATTTCTTTGTAACCATTCACCCCAGATTTACGTTAGACGACACGTCGAGACTGTCGAGGGATGTGTTAATGGTCCAGGTTCGCAAGACATTTATTGAGCGCTTTTAGCGTGGCGGGTCAAGGATTACGCTGTATCAGCCAATCAACGCTAACGATGATGGCCCCTCAACGTAATACTATGAAAGAACTTTATAATGATGTGTTAGCTCCCGAGAGATGCAGGCCTGACTCGAGAGAAGCTGTGTGCTAGAAGCCGAACGTCCTGACGCAAAGTTCAAATCGGGTAATGTTATAGGGTCCAATGGCTCGGTTGCCACCTCTCGGACGTAGCCCTTGGTGATTTCAGGCAACTGCGTCAGGGAAGGATTCCTCAGAACAGAAAGGTGGGGATCTCACAACACCTTGACAGCAACTGTTTGGACTTTGGGTAGAACACATGTCCGCGGAGTTATACAATAGCGCTGAGTTGCCTAGAGCACTGAGGACTCGGGTGCCTCAGACTTGTCAGATGTTCCTCGTAGTAATTTTGCATGCAGTGTAACGTTGACAGTGGTGCATGTGGCCCCATTTCAATCAGCCCTGTTTAGCTGTGTTAAATTTTAACGGTGGTTACTGGTCAAAATGAACTTTGCACCTGTAGAATGAATGATGTCGATCGTCACTTCATGATGCAATCTGTAGAAGTATCGAGGCCCTGACCCTGCTCGGTCCGGACGAACAACAAATGTACAAAAGTAATTGGGCGACACTCAACTTGAAGTACCCAGGAACATACCGGGGGCCATGATTTCCCGATATGGTAGTCACATTTAACTGCCGATGCGGGCCGGCCATGGGAAGGATCATGGGGCAACAAAGTCCGTTGAACTTGCTTTGATACTTATTCCAGACAATCCAGTCTTTGAATCCACTTTTCAACTCTCATCTTGAAAACAATGTCTCCAGCTCAAGAGGAGCAAGAAAAAGCTTCAACGTCCATCCTGAAGGAGAGACGATTCAAGCTGAGTAGGTTAGTCGTGCTCTCAATCTTCCAGTGTACCGATTCACTCACCTCGGGTTATCTCTCAGAGCGTGTGATCGCTGTCGGTCAGTGCTTACTACATCTTTTATCTGTGACCAGCCATCGCTGACGATATTTCAGTCGAAGGAGAATCAAATGTGATGAGGGTCATCCGTGTCAGGCTTGTCTCACCGCCAATTCACCATGTACGTTTGAAGAACCGGGAAAGCGAACACATCCTCACAAGTCAAAGTTCGTGGGGTATACATCTTATCTCTGATACAAATACTCATTATCGGCTTGCAGAAGAACTGCGACGCTAGAAGATAGGATGCATCACCTCGAGACTCTCATCCAGGCGATTCCTCCTGCAGTTTTTGCTGCCGGAGGTGCGGGCGCATCTGCACTCACCTCCTCCCAATTGCTATCCTCAGACAACATCGCCAGCCCTTTGGCGTCCTTCGCCTCTGCAAACCACAACTTTCCCTCGGGCGTCCCGCCCCCATCTTTGCACGTTTTCCCACTTACCAATCCGTCTACCCACTTCAGGGCATCTCCGCCCATGAACTCTCCGCGAGCTCAAAGTCCAAACACTGCATTTTCCTCGATGCTTGGGCAGTCATCTCATACACCAAATGCATCAAATTGCGAACAACCAGAAGAGACATCACGCATGTCTATATCTGCTTCCTATCTGTACTTCGATGATGAAGGCTACACCCGTTGGCAAGGAGAGACTTCTGGCCTTCCTCTCTTAGATCTTTTGGTCGAAAATCACACCCCAGTCAAGTCTGAAACGGAGAAAGGCTCTCCAGATCCGGCATGGACAAATCCATCTTCTCATACCGCCAACCCAACTTGGTTTCCCAACAGGACGCCCAGACGCACCGACGTTAATCCTGAAACATTATGGCGCCTTATCACCTCCTATATAGTTCCAGAACTTATGGACAGGTAGATTTTCTATCTTTGCCTTTTAATGTCGCTTATGCTGATATTGTATCATTAGCCTAGTTCAATGCTATTTGTGTACTTCTTATTACCTGCTGCCATTCCTACATGTTCCGACATTTTTGGCGGTGCGTAACATTCACATAGTATGCTTCCCGTGCTCACACGAATCACAATTCAGGACTATGGCAATCCCAGAAAGTGGGGTGAGCCCGGTTTTGCGGCCTTTATTGTAGCTATATGCTGCCTTGCGTCCCGTCACATCGATGACCCAAGAGTACGATCGGATCCCAGTGATGGCATCTCTGCCGGCACCCAATGGTTCGAATTGTTTGGGCGGCTACGTACTCTTCCAATCGCGGACCATCCTACATTGTACACTATCCAGGCAGATCTAATCGCCGCGGTCTACGCTGTTGGGCTGGGAAAACTTTCAAAAGCAGCAGCACTCTTATCGGAGGCTATTACTGTGTCGATCGATACTGGCTTGCATCGATCGGCCGACACCTATGACCTCTTTAATCCCATCGAGGACGAAGTCCGCAAGCGCACATTCTGGTGCGTATACCTATGGGACAAACAACTCTCGGCCCACTTTGGCCGTCCCCCAATGATTCGCCTTCGGGACACAGACATTGGAGAGCCTACCGTTGTAGATGACGAGTTCATCACACATGATGGGATACTCTCGCAGCCCGCAGGAACGGAGAGCCGTATGAGTGCATTTATCGCCTCCGTGAGGATCATGGTTGTAATGGAGTCGGTGTTGGACATACCGCCTCCGCGCGACCGGACAGGTGACTCTTCTCCATTCTTGTTACGCGCCGCAGGCGTGTTGTCTGGTCATGTGCGTCCGAAGGACCTGCGCGAAGAGGAGGCATTGCTGGATGAAATTCGCCGATCTATACCTCCGTATTGGGCGCATACGTCGGCAACATTGGCGAGTGATGATGTGATCAGGGTCACCCAGGCCGTGCGTTTGCACTGCGCTGAGCAATATGTCAGGATGTTGATCCATCGACATCGCTTCTCAAACTTTGTGGCGGAGAGGGCATATAGTACGTCAATGGAGGAGGATCCCGTGGATGTAGAGAAGGAGGAGATGAGTGCCGCGCAGTCGTGTGCGCTGCAGATTATCTCGTCGCACATGCAGGTAGCGGGGAAGGGGCTGATGACGTATTGTGAGTGTTCTCATCGTGGATCTTGTCTTGCATTGGTTAATCATTCGTATCAGATGGTGTGCATGTGATTCACCAACTCACGCAAGCCGGGAGGACGCTTATCACCATATTGATTAACTGTAAGAGCGAGAAACTTCAACGCTTGATTCAGCCCGCGCTTGAAGCGCTTCGATCGTGTGTTGGGTTGTTGAGGCGATTTAGTGGGCGGTACGTGTGTGGACAGAGATCAGGGGATCTCATGGAAGAATTTTGTCGTTGTGAGTTCCTTGTTTCTGATGTCGGTGATCCCCTTGGCTAATGCATGTGACTAAGTGACACAAATTCCTCTGGAGCCTTCTCGCCCAGAAGGTCAGGAACAGCCAAGTTCGCGTCCCCCCTGGATAAGACCCATCCGCAAGAAGACACCCAGCGTTGCTGCCAGGGGTGCAGGCAGTGACGGTGGCTCGCAACATAGTAGTCCTGAGGCTTTCTCACCCTCTGAGTTCTTCGTCGACCCTACTCTTGGAGCCACAAGCCCGCAAAATGCCTTTTCGCCTACACCTGGGCCCTCGTCATCACGATATCCACGGCGGTTGTCACTTTCGGCGCCGAGTTTTATCGACCCAGGAAGCATGGACATGGATGCGTCTGCGGGGATGTATTTGTCGTCACCGGCAGATATGATGAATATGTTTGGGGACGGGTCGGTGGATGTTGCGACGCTTTTCTCGGGCGCGTCTGATTTCAATATGGGTCAACATCTTGCTGAACATGATCCGTTATACGTGCACATGAATGGGGGGAATAATTTAATCGCGTCCCCTTGAAGCGGTCGCATTGTCTTACGTGGTGGAGCTGTATGATTTATTGCAGGCTTTTCTATTACTGTATTCTCGTTACTGTTTCACCGTATGACTCCAGGCTTTCGATACTATGAGGTTGCTTGCTTGATGGCTTGGGAAAGGGCGGTAATGAGTAACTCCAAGGCTCCAAGAGACGCGATCACGTGCTGGTGACCCGCTCGAAACAACATTAAATGTCATTACTCACTCTTGTTCCTTCAATCTGAATTTTTGGCTGAAATCCGCTGTGGCCAACTCTATTGGCGACTTGGAAATCCGTGCCCCAGGAATGCATAAACGCCTGCGGTCCATTCTTGCAGCGTTCAATCTCTTGTACTCCGCCGCCGCCGAACTTGTTTCGAGGAATTCCGGTTATTCTCTACATGGTGCGAAGCGAATGCAGGGCGGTTTGCACTTGCCCTTGAGCCGGAGGCTTATCCCTAAACGAATCACGCTCAGTGCGGACACCGGTGTAGCGGGACTTGGAGATTTTTTCGACGTGTGAGTCTATGCAGGCGAGACTCATTTTCTTGACTGACGCCCACCAGAACGTATAGTGTCCTTATAGACATCGGTGGCACATCCTTGCCTGTCGTCCTAGGTGAGCCTTCAAATTTATAACAGGAGCATTGTATCTGAGGCTGAGGAGCGCACAAGACACGGGTTCCTCGGACTTGTGGGTACTGTCCAATGTATGCCAGGGAACATGCTCCTCAGTAAATGCGGTTCTTTACCCAACGAACACGTTCCATGATATGGGCCTGGATGCCACCATAGTGTATGGCGATTCGAAGACTGGAACGTATGCGAGAGGGATCATTGGATATGATGCGGTGTCGCTGGCGGGTCTTACTTTGCAAGATCAGTATTTTGCGGCGATTAATGATACCAATACGTCCGTGGTTCAAAACAAGTGCTCTGGGATCTTTGGACTCGGGTTTCCTCTCAACAGGTAAGCGACTGCCCTGAAACAAGGTGCGCGCCGTACTGATAGTCTGGAGTGTGATCTGGACCGATATGTTCCTGAACCAACATCAGGTTTCGAGACGACGAAGTCTTCATCGTGATGCAGTTTCGCGTATCACTGCCATGCGAAGAAATTACGCAAATCGCTGGTTTGACAAGTCCATCCTCGGAATTTCCTCGTCTCGACATACCGATCCTCCCTCTTACCAATCTATGCCTCAGGAGAAACGTCAGACGACCTCGTCCGCTATAATTTCGTCTTTTGGGGTATCCGGTCCATTTATCCATCGCCTTGCTTCGCTCGGAGGACTTGCCTCGCCCATGTTCGCGATTGCGCTGCAGCGAGACACAATCGACATCGGGGGGAACGAAGGCATGCTCTCCATAGGTGGACTACCACCTGGGGTCCAAAACGAGAGCCTGACGTGGGTTCCTGTGCGTAAATATACGCTTCAGCAAGACGGCTTGACACAAAATGATTCTTTTGAGGTACGTCCAACCTCGGAGTTTTACACATCAAGCAGTTAATCCGCCCGCCAAAGGCATATCCCATTGCTTGGGAAATCCCTGTAGACGACGTCTTTCTTGACGGCGTGAAACTTCCGCGGTCACAGTTATCTTCTAGTAATATCTCACTGTCAGCGCTAATCGATACAGTTCGTCATCCATAGTCCACTAACTTGTACCTGATTTCCGGTTTTAATACCTCTTTGCAGGGCAATTCTTTAATCCGCGGTCCGCCTGACGTTATTTCGTACATCCAGAACATGCTGGGGGGACCTCAGTTCGCCTGTTCATTTCCTCATACACTGGCATTCCAGATTGGTGGTCGTATGTTCCCCGTCGACCCAAGAGACTTCATCAACCAGGTGCGCTCAGGGAACGCACAGGTGTGCGGGGCGAATCTTGCACAGACTGATGTGCCTGTTCTCGGTGGGGGTGGATACCTGTACAGCTGGAGTCTAGGGGATCCGTTTCTGAAGGGGTGAGTGGTAGTCATATATGTATTTGCCTGCAGCTGTGGATATAGCGCGGACGGATCCATACGGAGTTCCTCGCGTATTCCAAGCGAGCTATGTCTGGAGCTCCGGCTCACCGTGGTCACCAACCGAAATTATGGGGCGGAGACCCGTCTTTTGATTTCTTACTGTTTTAGTTGCCTTTTAGGTTTGTTGTCCAGACCACTTATTTCTTGCTAGCGTGCTCGCAGCGTTCTATTACGGCTCTTTCACGGGACTTTCGCAAGACCCTCCGCGTATTGGGTTCCTATCTACCGTTCCTTCTGATGCGGCCAACGCTTAGAGGATGCTATCTCAGCAGCATCTGCTGAACAGTACGATCTTCCTGGTTAGTTCTCGATATATTTCATCTTGGTATCCGGTCCTATCACTCTCTTGCAGGAACGAAGATGTTGCCGCCATCCTCCCTTTCTTCTCCACTGAGCACCGGAATTGGTGGGGTCCCTCTGGCAACTCCTCTTCCCGGATCTGTTCATGATGCAGGCGGGAGAACACAAGCTGGGCCAGGCAAATGGTGCACGAGAGGGCATGCAGGTGGGTTCCATCTGCCACATTGTGGTGTTCATTTTTCATTTTAGCGATGTGGACATTTTCAAGAATTCTCGCATGAACGTCATGTTTAATCTGTATGAACGATTCGCATTTTTCAAGTCTTTGGCATTTGTATCATGTACCTCGCATTCGACATATTGTAGCCTATTTACCCACATACGATCTCATTTCTTTTGCCTAATAACGTCGGATCCACAATGTCGACTGCCAGCCATTAATCTCAGCGCATGGTAAATCTATTTTATTTTCTTTCCTGCAACTCTAACGAGTGCTCTCGTCGGTTCTAGTTTCAAGAACTGATATGTTGTCATAAACAAGTACGTACACAGGGCCCTTGGGGAAGGTGTTTGTCACGGTTTGTGTAGCTGAGTCAACAGCATGGAAGCGAGTCTTGTACGTATACTGCCAGTCTACGTAACATGCCAGTGATTTCGTTCTAACTTTCATCGTGGTGCTTATTTGAGTTATTTTGGCGTTAGCATATTGTCGTAAGTTTACTTCAAGTTAAAGCTTGACAGTCGTTCAGCAGTCTTTTTTTCGTTGACATCTATCGCTAATTATAACGCACAGATATATTAATACAACCTGTTTAACCCTCGGCTGAACACTGCGCAGCACTGATAACCCAATGGAAGGATTCCACGGCTGTCTCCCTGCTATCGATCTACCTAGGTGGGACTAGACCGGTGACAAGTTCGCTTCATTAGACAGGCTGGTCACAAGTGTCAAAGGAGAACCACTTGCTCTACATATGCCATTCGTTCGAGTCGTACTCGCCTCCGATGGATTAGCGATATCCTTATTCATGACGCCTGCGGCCAGCCGCATTGATACCCCTCTTGAGCTTCTCGAAGAAGTGCATCATCGCCAAGGCACTGGCAATTCCATCACCCGCAGCACCGTGACATTCTGGCACGTCCATACATTTCGATTATACATATTACGGACATTCCTGGGAGAGATGCGGAAATGTATGCTAGCATGTCAAACGGACTGCCGAGGGACCGATCAACATCCGTTCGTCATGTGGTTTCGAACTCTGTCGAAGTTGTCCATGATCCGGCAGGGTCGCTACCAAAGCGTTCCTGGTGCACCCATCCGCTCCAGTCAGTGGCCGAAGGAGAACACGACCAGAGTGAGTGCCTCGATGCAGGGCTACACTACGCGAGAGGACGACAGTTCACAGGGAATTAGCGTTGACATGGGCACGACACGGACATATAGCCTACGTATCGTCAAGTCAAACCCGAGTGGAGAATGGACAATTCACAGATCATGATAATCAAGCAGCAACATGGGTCTACGGATCAAAATCGAACGTTTGGACAAGTAGATAACGAGGAGCACGAGAGAGCTCGCCATAGCTTAACGAGTGCCAGAATGACTACAATGTGGGCGCTCGAAAACTGATTAATACTGTTTTACTGATCTTTCTCCTGGGTGAGTGTAGCCTCCTCCGAGTCCCCTCTGACATGAATAGTTCTTCTGATCGACAGAGGCCTCCGACCTCCACCTAACGTTATAACACGACTGATCAGCTGTCACGTTAGTCACGCCTACAATAACGACAAGTCAAATTCCACAAAATCGCGTTAAGCAACTAGAGTAGAATACAAAATCACAGCGTAGCGGAAAAAAAAAAGCTATGCAACGATATAATCTAGCGAGCGCAGAAGAATCAATGATCAGCTAACAGTATTTCCACTCCATGATATCTCCAGGATAGGTTACGCGTGGTATCGCACACATGGTCCCTCCAAGCAACAAATCCACATCCACGTTCAGATATTTTGATCATTCAAAAGGAATGGATCGCAGTCAACTTTACAACGATCCGCGCTTCCAGTCGACGACGTTTTTCAGTTGCTCGAGGGTTAGGAAAATGAGGATTGTGGTGGGCTGGAGACGCGACCATGCGGGGAGCCAGCCTTTGAACATGAACATTGGGCCTTCGGTTGCTAGAGAGGAGCGGATCACTCCAATCGTTGACTTTAAGTGTCTCAGTGTCACGCGTGGCCGATTAATTGCACAAAAAACAAGACTCACACTTGATCCGGGCCCAGAAGCGTTCATGATACGGCTCTTTAGCACGTCTGCGGGTGAGCAAACAGTTGTGGCAACTGTTCCCTGAAAGAGAAGTTGAGGTGAGATCGTAGGAAATGAGAAGAAGTAGAACGTACTGCTGCGCAACTGGCTGTAAAATGACAAGCGATGTTGTCATCGAAGTACTTTGTCTTCAGGAGTTCAGCCTTGAAGAAGTCATACCTGAATACACATTAGAAATGACATAAGATAAGACGACGAGAAGGGCGACTTACGAAGCCAGTTGACTGGAGTTCATCAGGATGCTCCTGAAGACATTTGGGCCCACACCTCGCACAAGCGATGATGGGCCCTCCTCGCGGACCATCTGCAATTATAACGTCAGCACCTCAGACTCGGAATAAACACGATCGGATGTCAGGGATAAGCCAAAACAGACTCAAGGTGAATACGAAAAGGTAAGCAGAAGAAAGAAGTAGCACGACATGGTCCTCTATTGATAAGTTGCGCATTGCGGTTCCAAATTGGTATTCGCCAATCTCCTTCGAGTGATCGGCGAATTGATGACGTCGAAAGGCTAATGAAGCATATAAGCCCATTAATCCATATGCCCATCCGTGATGCATTGTGACCTGGCCATCAATGATAGCGCGCTTTCTGTATACCATGGCGCAGGGTCGTCACGTGCAAATCAGAAGCAAAATATTGACATGAGCAAGCGTGCGAGCACGGGTGGATGCTCGGCACAGCAATAATACCATAAGGTTGCGCAAGGAATGACGGAAATGGCGGGGTAGGCAGGGTAGGAGATAGAGCGGCGCATGGGAGTATAAAGATGAGCAAGCGAGGAAAAATACACTCTTTCGTGTTTCCATCCACCCGTCGCTGCTACGTGGCCAGTTCAAATCCGTATGACCTTGTGCATCTGAACTCGCGCAGTGACGCCCCACGATAATACTGTCCTTGGGACAAAGTCGACACTAGCACGAACACTGATGACCAAGAGGAAGAAACGAGAAGTCACGGAACCGCGCAGGGCACGTCTAAACCTAGGCACGACACTTACTCTGAATAATGCGTCGAAGCAGTGCTTATAATTAAACCGCTTTTCGGGTGGTTTTGCAAAGTCTCCCTGCAGACGGACCTGATAAATATGGCGCGATTCCAATAAGAGGGGGGCGAGGACGTTCCGGGCGGGAGCGGATATCGGAATAGTCACGTAATGGAGGGCAGATGTGAGCACGAGGCAAGGTAGTAGAGCATGACACGCACCATAACGACCTCTGATCAAGCAAAATCGCTGCTCAGCGCACGAATTCACGATATATGACATCGAGACTTACCGCCAGGATTACCCACGACACCCGCGATGGAGCCAGCTAACTCGGTTCTCAATAATATCGATCGTACGACATGAGATTTCGTACTCACCCATGACACCTGCTGTGGCGAGAACCCATGCAGGGCTTTGGGGTGTTGCCCCCAAGAGCTTCTTGCTCTCATCATATGCCCAAAAGCGACACAAGCTGTAGCTCATCTGGCGCATCCATGTTCCAGAGATACCGTCGAAGAGTCCCCGGACGCCGGCAGTGCGGACTGTCTTCTTTATGGATTGTATCATACCCTTGTCACCCGACGCCTGAAGGCGGACCTTGGTAAGGTCAAGAGGGTGGGTGATGGAAGCAGCAATTGTTGCTGCAACACCACCGAGGTAGAAAGGGTAGGGCTGCTTCTTGGGCTTCGAAGCCACAAGAGGTGGCGAAGGAGGTGCTGCAGCTTGTGCGGACATGGTGGTTTGTGAGAGAGGATATTGGACTCGACTGGAGTGAACCGGGCGTAACTAGTTCTTCCGATTTGAAGGCGCACTATCAATAGGGGAATATTGGACAATACCCACGCTGACTAAGCTTCAATACTCATGTGATCATCGCCAGGCATTCATGTCGAGCTGCTCCTCCTTAAACTCGATCACCATCTAAACGTTCAAATGATTTACAACCAGCTTCATAGTCTGCTTATCGTAGGTGCTCTGTTGTTATTACGGAATGCTGCAAGACCTTGTAGTTTAGAATCGACATTTAACTGCGATAGACAGGCGTTGCCACATCGTGTGAATATTGTTCTTCCCCTTCTATACTGTCCCGTCATCTCCCGGCTCATAATTCGATTATTATTTCGGCTCCCCGCATTTTCCTTTGTCTTCTGGCCACCATCGATAGCATAGTCATCACTTGCCTAAGCTATTTTTCATCCTCTCTTCCTTGTACCCCGTCTATCCAGATGACCTCTTCCATCTTGATCCTATAATCATATTTGTCATAGTACGTTCTGCTTTCTTCTATCCAGAGTTAGCTCCATGAAATTGAACCGTGGGTTTGAAAACGGCGCGCGACGAGGTACTAAAGCTCACGCACACTCTTGCGTGTACGGTGCGCTGAAAAATTATGGCGACTCACGGTGCGTGCGATCCCTGGTGCACATAGGAAGGCTCTATTGTCATTCGGTATGTTTTGCAAGTGGTATGAGACAATTCACTCGGTCGTAGCGATTAATTTCACCTTACCGTCAATCTTGGAGGTGTCGGTATAAAATCTACCCACGTTCTCAACATCGGCCTCGAACTCTCACGTCGTGAGTCCATTGCAGTCGTTCTGGACCCTTGTCCTTCGATAAGATGCCGTACTACTTGAAGTTTGTTCCCTGTGCTTGCCCTTGGCGTCCCTGTTATGGATAGATTTCATTGCATTTCCCAATTCACGTATAGCCGATGGCCATTTCCCTTATTCTGAGCAAACCGTTGCTGTGCAAGGGTGCTCGGAATGACGTGAATGGCGCATCATCTGGTGTTTGTCTTTGACTTGACCATATGATTCAGATCAAATGTTGTATTGAATTTGTTGTTACGAGCAGAACACATCAATAAATGATTCGTATCATACATCCACACTCCAATGGTCCCGGTTAATCCTGAGAAGAAAATATCTTCCAATGTTAAGTACTTTTCATTGATATTGACCCCGCCGGCTGATGAGATACTTACGTATACACAGCACCAATTCTCAGTGCACATACATACCTAGCTACAGTATTCGTACTTGACGCAACCTGGTGACCTTGTTCCTTTGTCAGTGGATAACCATCATAATCATAATTGCAGGCTTACAACTGCAAAATAACGTCCCACGCCAAATCATCGATCGGTGTTAATTCCTTGAACTCTTCACTGCTTCTCCACCGCGATGACACGCGGCCGGGCGCCATCTTCGATGAGGGGAAGCGTCCGGAACTTGTTTGCACAAGCGACCATACACGTGTATTAGACAGTACCCACAATAAGGAGCTCACACCCAAATTTCAACAGAGCTTGTCATGTCCTTTAGCCGCACCTTGTTCTGATATCGGCTATTGTTCAAGATGGAGAGGCTATGAGAATGAGAGTGAAAACGAGCCCGGAAGCAACATCGATATCAAGGCGGCCATCGTGTTGTAACTGGAAGGCGCCACATATTCTCCTCAGAGTTCGCCATCTTTGACACACGCTTTGTTCTTTGTCATCATAGATGAAAACTAGAACTGAGCACCGATATATTCGTCGGGAGCCGCAATGAACGCTGATAAAGCAAGAACGACCTTGCATCATATGCGACACTCCTAGCGCGACGTATTTGCTATTTGTGGCGTCTTCTATACATTCAAGTTATTGCCTGAACGTGTCGATGAGTGCAATTTCGGCACCCGGGCCCGTTCATCCATGGCAAGACTTTGACCACAACCAATTCAAACGACAATTATTGCCTTTCAAACCAAGGAGCATACGATAGGTTAAGGAGTTACTGAGTCAAGGCTCCGGTATCAGTGCACCGCAACGACAAAGGGAATCGCAGGGCAAACCCGACTTCTGATTTGCGTCCAACTGGCTGAGGTCACTAATCATAAATTTAAACGTTTAATGTTCTGGAAATGATATGAGTTGATAAGTCATACTACATGGGCCTACTTACGTGGCAAAGCTCGCTTCAGTGTTCGAACATTCAAACGTTCGGCGCTGCAAGCTTACTAGCAAGAGGTGCGACGGAGACACCGCGAGTCCCACTAGACTAGCAAGCACTGTCATATATAGAGCACATCTCTCAATCATTGGAAACAGATGGACACAAAAAAAGCTCACTAGCACTGCCACTGAATCATTCATGAGGTGGATGATAAACCCGGACAGTCTCAGGTGCCAGCACTGCACTAAGTTGGTAAACCCTTTAATGGAGTAACGTCAAACAATATACAGCGCACGAACGACTTCTGGGCAATTCAATGATATCTATGGCGCCAACTTGAACAGATGCGATGTAGACTCGGAGTGACGAGGATCTGAGGGCGACGTCACTGCCGCCCACTAGACTAGCACTGTCCTATATAGAGCACATCTCTCAATGGACACAAATAGACATCGAATGGACACAAAAAAAGCTCACCAGCACTGCCACTGACTCATTCATGAGGTGGATGATAAACCCGGTGCCAGCACTGCGCTAAGTTGGTAAACCCTTTAATGGAGTAACGTCCAAAGATATCCAGCGCACGAACGACTTCTGGGCAATTCAATGATATCTGTGGCGCCAACAGATGCGACGTAGATTCGGAGTGGCGAGGGCCAGTGAGGGAGACGTCCGAGACTCCAAGTCACTGCCGCAAACTCCAGTCGAATCACACGTCGACAATAACCTGCCTAAACCCTGCATCAGCGGGTTCAATTGTGCTACAGAGCGCTACAGAGCGCTCTGTAGCACTCTGTAACGAATTACGTTTTCCTGATGCCTGCATGCAAAGACGAAGGTGAGTTTACTTGCAAAGCAATTCCAAAAGGAAAGTGCGAATCTGCATTTTTAGCCGGAAAGTGAGAAGATTAGGCTCCTGGCTAGTGGGCATAACTCATATCAGAACAACGCGAAATTAACCGAAAGTTGAATTATTCCTTGTTCGACCTGATCTAACTCGCCAAAGTCAACTCGAGCACTTCAACTTCGTCAATGCTCTGAATTTCTTCAGTCCTTTCTGACACCTCGAGAGTCGCAAATTTAGCAGCAACGTCGTAGGTCGAGATATTCCGAGTAGTATCTCGCCCAACGACGTTGCCGCTAGCCTTTCCGTGGTCAAGCACTTGATATGTTGGTACACGACATCCATCTTCCGTTCCACCGTACCTGTCTTTCATAAGGTCAAGTGGCGCTCGGTCGATGCCCGCGGCCATGGCGAGGCACATGTCACCTTGGACAGTGTCCATGCAAAACCACAACGGAGGTTGGGCTCCTGTAATTGTGCGAATGTTACGACTTTTGGCAAAATTGCCCTTGGGAGGGTTTTCTTGATGTCTCTGGACCTACAAGAAAAGTCGATCTGCATCACGAGGCTCGGTTGAGAGCAGAGGTGCCCATGCGAAGGATGCTTCAAGCTTCAAGATTATGTGCAATCTTCAGTGTTCACTGTCGAGTATATGATCGATCTTGGTGAGATAACACGTCACGGGAATCGTGACTGGATGATATGCGATACGACGGACGGATTAAACTTGTGGAAAAACTCATCGTCACCAATTCGCGGAAGGGAATATTAGCATCAACAAAAGGCTAATTTTATGATTTATGTAAGTTTGACCCCACGATGACACGACACACCGGAGCGGCCTTGCGTTTGCTAGGTTACGCATATATATTGTTCATTACTCAAGGGGTAATCAATATGTTCATCCAGGTTTGAAGTTTCGTGTCTCTTGATGGGAATGGCGGCGGCGGCGGCGGTGAACTTCCGGAAGCAGGTTGGGGTTGAGAAGCAGTCGGATCAGGTGAAGAATATCCAGTATTTGAATCAGTGGTGTTGCCCGTCTTTTATATGACAAACATCTGCAGTGCTTGGCACAGGGGAGCGGTTGTGTTTGTACAGCCCTTGATAAGATGGTTCAGTAGGTTGTTGTCACCGTGACAGCCATGGATTCGAGCGCGTGGTGAATTACAGTGTTGCCACAGATGTAACGTTGCATTCTATGTCTAGTAGTGGCAATTTGAGCTACTCACAACTCGTTCCAGACGTCGTCGATCGATCATCGATCAGTGACATGAGGGGGCGTCTTTCATGGCCAGCGTGCGCCACCTTTCTTTCGGGAGTCGACAGTCGGGTTTCGAGCTCTATTATAACACTAGCAACAAGGCCCTGCGCGCCGACGTCAATGCACAACGTGTGCACACATGTTCCCGAGCTGACATCGGATTTCAAAGAAAAAGTGCAGAGGACGCGCGTCCCGCATTTTCTCTCCAAACTTCAAGAAGCGCTGACATCCGACTCGGAGACTAAAGGAGGCCCTTCTGTTGCCAATGGGAGCCAGGGCTGGCTCCGTGTGCTCCGATACGGGACAGGAAATTGTCGGCGCAGATGCAGCAAAGCATCGACTACCGTGGGTTCCGCTGCTAGATTGTCGATTCTTTCGGGCAATATTACTCTCGCAAATAATTCTAGCCTCAACGAAACTTACATAAAGCCTAGTAGATATTCGCAGACTTCCCGGCCTTGAAGCCGTCACAGGCTAGTCGTTAATGGATGCCATTTCCTGTGTATTCCAAGGCGAGTTCACTTGGTCTTACCAGATATAAAGATGATGATGGGGCGGATAAGGCAATGCCACGACCTGATGCAATGAATGACTCACTTTTATTTCATGTGGAAGACTGATTGCCTACAAAGGACTCTGATATTGATAGATTCCACGATGTTCTTGGCACCACAATGAGGTGATATCGTCGTGGAACGGTAATACGTGCAGAAAAGGCAGTAGATATTACTTTCGTGAAGCTTCAGACGCGGTGCAAGAGCGCATGGGTTTGCTCATGCGTGGTCAGATGGGCCGCCATTTCATTTTCGACAAATTGAGACGTCGGCATTAGCAGCCTTCCTGGGTATAAAAGGTCCAGCGCCCCCATAATAGAATAACAGGAAGCACTTTACCGTACTCCAGCTCAAAGCCGGGTGACGTCCACACTATCCAACTCCATGTCAAACCTGTGTAATATCACGATTGACCAGTGCTTTCTAAGAGTGGTTTTGATTTGCAAGTGCCTGAGTTGTACACTCCCAAACCAAAACCACTCTGAGAGAGTATACTACAGTCGACGTACCGGGCTTTGCCGAAATCCGATCGCTGGTGTCCAGAAGAAAACTTAACTGGATAGATCAGACAGCAATTTCTGTGAGACATGTAAGCGGACTGGATAAAGAAGAATACTCACCACTCTACCGGTGTTGTAGGTGTCACTCCTCCAACAGAATTTACAACCGCTAGGGAGTAAAGAGACGAAGAATAGGAAAATCATGCAAAACCTATAAGCACCTTAAGTGTAACACATTGGTTATCGCACCTGAGAATGGTCGGCTAGGACAGACAGGACACAATGAGAAGGTTTTTCCTTACCTAGAACGAACAGACGAATCGGCATACGAACGTCGGTCGTCTCTCGGAATCGGTTTACTGCGCCGGTGGCGCAATACTAACCTTTTTTGCTGTTATAACTCGTTGTAATGGTGCCGGGTCAAGCAGCCCGCCGGAATGTCCCGGCACTAGATGTCCAGCTAAGCGGCTGCGCCGGTTCCTTCCTTCGTTCGATTTTCATTCACCTATACCGTCGAGTTCGTCGTATTCCGCACTTCCTCACTCGCTCCTTTGAAATTATCAGAACCCACCCACCTCTCCCATTATATTCGTTTAATGATCGATTAGTGCACCATAGTTCTTTGAATTTTTCCCCTTCGGGTAGTCGTAGTATTAGCAGAACCCTTCATTGCGTATTGCGTCGAATAACTACTTGTTAAGTCATTGGCATGTTCGAATTTTGTGAGCAGGTTTCCCGCCCTCCCAAGCGGCTCCACCTGCTCGCGTACCGCCCCGAGCTGACGCTCGGCCCAGCCCAACCTATTAGAACATGTCAGCGACACTAGAGCTAGACGAAGCTGGATGACGTGTACGGTATACGAACGTGGATATCTTCTTCGAAATCGGGTTACTGCCAATCGGTGACACAGTGCTAGCCCTTTTCGCTGTTGTTGTAATTCATGAGGTGTGCTGTGAATAACTTAAAATCGGGTGGCTGCGTCGGTGGCGTAATGCAAGTCCCCCTTATTATGACGTGTGCATGCTGTACACATCCTCTATTGAGCACTCTCTCTCCAAGCTCTGAGGAACTCTGACGCGAAGTCCATAACGTATAGTTCCGACCCGGAGACTAAGCGAGGACTTACTAATGCCAAATCGGAGCCATGTACTCCGCTACAGGATAGGACGTCATGGCAAGGGTGCAGCAAAGCATGGATTACCGCATGTTCTGTCACCTGTCGATGGTTTCTAGCAATATTAGAGCCAAATGTCTTTGGACGTGATCTCGCGCACAACTCAACCCCGCCCTGGTAGAAGTTTCAGCCGAATTATGTTCCCAGGTTCCTGGTCTGGGAAACGTCACAGCTCCTAGCGCATCACAATAATGAGTTCACATCGGCCTTGCCAGATATGAAGATGCCGGGGCGGATAAGGCGATAACAAAACCTGACGGAATAGAAGAGTCACTATTGTTTCAATTGGAAGATAGCCTTGCAAAAAATCCTTAGCATTGATAGGTTCTACACGGCTCAGCGTTAAATGCGATATTGTCGTGGAATTGTAACGTGAACAATGGGCAGAAAGAGAATTAGGCACGTTTGTGAACGTTTGAACTATGCACTGATGATCAGGTGGGTAGCCATATATATATTTTCGACAGATTGAGGCGTCGGCACTAGTGGCGCGCCGACCCGACTGCCTGAGTACAAAAGGACCTGCGCCCCATGAGAGAATAGTAATAAAGCAGCATTTCGCTACACACCAGGTAACAAGAATGACGTCCATACAATCCAACTCCAAAGGCGTTGCAGTCATCACTGGATCCGCGCAAGGAATCGGACGTAGCATCGCAATACGCCTTGCAGGAGATGGCTATGACATCGCGATCAACGATTTGGAAAGCAACAAAGAGAATTTGGAGGAAGTCAAGAAGGAAATCATTGCCGAATTCCCGGAGCGCAGAGTGCTAATTGTCCTTGGGAATGTCAGCGTAGAGAGGATGTCAAAGGTCTGGTTGAGAGTACAGTTAAAGAGTTTGGCAGGCTGAATGTTGTGAGTTGTTTACAACTGGTTCAACTTGAACTGCCAGACTCATCTCATCATAGTTTGTTGCAAACGCAGGCATTTGCAAATCAAAACCACTCTTAGAAAGTAAGTTACCGTCGACGTACCGCCGCAACATACTAAAATCCTGCCGCAGCGACATCCGATGACTTTGAGTCTGTGCTTTCAATCAACGTCAAAGGCACCTTCTACAGCTATAAATATGCAGCGCAACAGATGATAGCTCAAGGTGAGGGCGGGGCGAATTATCGGTGCAAGCTCCCTTGCGGGAAAGAAAGGCAAGTGCCGCATATGCGGCTGTTCCTTTGTGTATGTCATGGTGACATATCTTTTTAGGGCATGCTTCACTCAGCGCTTACTGCGCATCCAAGTTTGCTATCCGAGGGCTGACGCAATCCGCAGGTATAGTGCACTTAGTCTCACAAGCATCCGACCCTAGTAACGTTACTTGTAAGCCATTGAACTTGGTCGCAACGGAATTACAGTGAATGCATATGCGCCAGGAACAATTCAAACGGCAATGCGTAAGTTTCGAGAATTGTGCTTTAATATAGGATGGTAACTTTTACCCCGCGTAGTTGATGGGTTGGCTGGATCAACTGATTATAACGACGTTTACGACGAGGTGACCCTTTCCACGAATGTGTATGAGATGCTGATTTTGACATTTTTTGACACTTGAGTTCAAACGGCTGTCATCAGTAGGCGACCTCGGAACTACCCAGGACGTTTCGAGCCTTGTTTCATTTCTGGTAAACCCGGAAGCACGTTTCATCACAGGTGTGTATATGGTATATGGCCCGGGTTTCATAAGCTCGTAACTGATGGATGTATTGCGTTGCTCCGCAGGCCAAACAGTAAGTATTTTCTCACTCGTACTGAGGGACGCAATGTGATATGATCCATGGACAGATAACGATCGACGGAGGTATCTTCTTTGATTGATGGTGGACGTTATTTTCTAAACTGCAAAGATCTTCTCACCCGTACCCACCGCGGGGACGCGGTAGCATCTTTCTTGATCGAAGGGACCTTGGATCGTATGAACATAACTTTTTCTTGTGGTCGTATCTGGGAACATTTCCAATATATAGGCTATATCCGTTGTATTGGCATTGATCGGGTTCATTATGTAACGCATAATCCTCGATGTGCATTCAACGGAGGCGCTCAATACGCTTATCAATAACACGTCCCTCGTGCCACAATATGAATGGTTACTCCAACGAAATTAACGGCGACCACCGTGGAGACGACAATGTCAGGCTTTCCCAAACTCGCGGACGATCTCAGTGAGTGAGTTTGCAGTGAGCTCGTTGACTATGCTACGTGGAAGCTCGAAAAGTCCTAGTCCATTGTCACGAATAGCCTGAGTGAGATGAGTCGAGTTATTGACTTTGAGGAACTTCCTGACCTTAATTTTCATGTCCGCTTTCATAGCCGGGATCGGTAATCTGGCACCCGCAGCTCGGGCACCTTGTGAACCCGCGAATCCAAAATGGAATACCTCAAGGTTATAATGAGTCAAAGCAAATGATTTGCCCGCAAGGCGTTGCCTTTACATCCATGCGTTCAGACGGGCCTTTACAAACTAAGCGATATTATGATAGACTCGAGAGGCTGCAGAGAGTAGATTGAATCTCACACCGCCTGGAAAATCTCCTTGTTCATACATACATCCAATGGAGACAGCACACGAGATGATGTGAGTGCTCGATCAATGTCTTGGCAACTATACCAGGTTAGCCAAGTAATCATGACAGCATGCTGACGCCAAATTTAAAGAGGCTGCGGACTTGGTGTCACGCAATGTTTCGAGTCTCAACTCTTCGAGCCTATCCGTGCCTTGCAATTGCATCTTCGCTAGATAAGATTTTGACGGTTACCCATTCAATTAATTTCCACAAGTCCCGCAGCCCATCGACCCGGTTTGCATGAATCTTAGTCAAACATCCGGATACTGAGGTATGATTTCCTCATTATATTCAAATTTGCAAATACGCACAACGCCAGCATGTTCCTCCTATTTAGTTTGCTCCTTCAGATTGTCGGAATCCACATTTCCTTCACAACCTGCGATGTCTTCTCCCTTCTCTATAGCTGACATAAACTCGCTCATAGCTGAAAATACCGTGTACCCTGAACAAGTGTGGTATACTATCGCCGCATTTCTCTTCGTAGTCGGCTGCTTCCAGTGGGGATTATTCCTTCACTCCAAGTTCGCCAGGCGGGGACACCATGGGTCCGACGAAGAAACGGCTATTACCAATGGCGTCCATCACAAATTTTCTCTTCGTCGGATTCCGCTCGCGATCATAAATTTCTATCGCGTTGTTGCCTTCCGGTGGACTCTAGAAATAGGACAATCCTATACCCTCAACATGGCAGAGGTTTTCGTGACCGTGGCATACATCGCCCTTTTGTTGATCTATGCCTTCATTAACTGTAAGCTCACAGGATTGTATGCGGTCCTACTCACACCACACTAACCACCAATCACGCAGCAACCTCAGCCGAGGGTCAGAAGCTTGATATCGTCTACTGGAGCAACCGCATAGGCATACTGGCGTCCAGTCAGTTTCCCATTGTCACAGCTCTTGGCACAAAGAACAATATCGTGTCTTGTAAGTGGAAATGTTACGAATCCGGCGTGTCGCTGAGTTTTTCGCATCAGTGGTCACAGGCATCAGCTACGATAGGGTATGGCCCTTAATTACTCTCCACGGAACACTTACTCATGGACTCCGGATATGAAGCTCAATTATATTCATCGAATGATGGCTAGGACATGCTTCATGCTACTTTGGGTGCATGCGGCGGGCGAAATAGTATCCACTCCCTCGTACGTACCTCCAGTTCACGCTTGCGCCTTTCTAATCGAGTTCACCGAAAGCTTCGGGGAGACTTTGTCCGAGGACTGGCTCCGGGCCGGTATCACCGCCATGGTTGCCTTCTCTATTCTGATCTTAGTATCACTACGTCCCGTTCGTAATGAGGTGTACGAGGTCTTTTTCTACGTTCACTTCCTTGGCGTCCTGTGAGTTTAGGACTTCTACTCGCTTGCAACTGTTTTTGACAGACAGAACCCAGGATATTTCTGGTGGGAGGATATTACCACACCCAAGGTGCTCAGTAAGTGCAAATCGATACAGACAGCCTCATTTCTGACTGGCGGCGATTAGCGGGTCGTACTGGATATGGCCGTCATTTGTGGTCTGGGCTTTCGATCGCTTCGTCCGGGCGGTTCGGCTTGTTGTATTCAATCACTCTTACTTTGGCTTCAAGTCAGGAACTGGGACAATGGATGCAGAGACAGAACTGCTTTCTGAAAATGTCATTCGATTGCGTTTACGTCAACCCTCGCATTTCCACTGGTCCCCAGGACAAACAGCATATCTAATCATGCCCACGGTTTCGACACTGCCATTCGAAGCGCACCCTTTTACTATTGCGAGTTTCGATTCTAGTCTGCTGTCAACCGTATCAGCGGAGGATCAATCCAGCGATGAGGTTATGGGATCTAGCGTTCCATTCTGGAAGGAGCTAGTATTTTTTATCAACGTGCAAGAAGGGTTTACGAAAAAACTAAAGGAGGTAGCTGCTAAGAAGGAAACTGTCAAGGTTTTTGTAGATGGTCCTTATGGCCCATCTCCTGACCTCGGTTCTTACGACACCTCTGTATTGGTGGCAGGTCGGTCGTGCATTGTCTCGTAATCACTCAGTACTGATCGAATTCAGGGGGGTCGGGTGTTTCATATACCCTCCCTGTCTTGCTCAACATTATCGAGTATGTGCCTTCATTTGATTTTTATCATTGATTTTCATTCTTGTTATAGACGCGTACGCAAGGGAAAAAGCTCTTGCACACGCGTAGTGTTCATTTGGTCAATTCGCGGGGCTGGTGCGTAGATTTATAACAATCCGCAGTCTCTTCTATGAAGTAACGTCACACATTGCAGAGTCTGTCCAATGGATTGAAGAAGCACTTATCAAGGCTGTTCAGCTTGCTCCGCCTTCTTTGACAGTCTCTATTCGCATCTTTATCACCGCTTCTTCAAGTTCACCCACGACGCAACCTAACTCGTCCAGGGAGGACACTTCCAGCGTTTCAAGTTCAGCTGAGAAGAAAGACAGTCCCGTACACGTGATAATCAGGAAACATTCCTTATCTCTGTCATTCATGTCGCTGCGCGGCGTTAGGATGGAAAACGGAAGACCGAATATAGATGCACTGCTCAAAGAAGAGGTCGGTCTGACCTCGGGGAGGATGTCGGTGAGCGGTAAGTACTCATTACGCCGGCCTCCAAGAACGTGCAACTTACGGGTGCGATATTAGTTTGCGGATCGCAGGCCATAGCACGCTCTGTCCGTCATGCACTTCGCTTCCCTGTCTCCGGGCCCTCCAGTATCCTCAGCGGTGGACCGAGCGTAACACTGCACGTCGAATCGTTCGGATACGCCTGATAGTCCCCTTTTCTTATTCGCTTTATGTATGGCCTATGTTACTGTGTAATCAGGGTTCCTCGCGATTTGTTGCTGTAACTTGTAGACTCGTCGCCGGTCGGCTGCCAACAAAAAGTTTAATGATAAAAACTTCTGACTTGGTCCGATCACGCCACCCATCAGCGCTCAGCGCTCAACACTTTTGATCGCAAGGACCCGATACTAATATTGGGGAGGGATCGAAGTACCCGATCAAAAAAATTCGCCAAGTTACAAAGATCATAGTCACCATCACGTTCGGACTCGAACCAGGGCACATCGGCGAGAAGCACCAAATGGTTGGTCATATGCATTGCTGCGGTTTCAGTCTACATATCTGAAAAAGTTAGCCAAATACGTATACTGAGGATAGGGTCGACAATGTCATTGAAAACGTGCGACGACATGCACTGACAGGAAGATTTAAAATGCTATCAGTACTTGTTGATCAAACTATACAGGTCCCCGTTCTCGTTAGTCAGCGTCACACGTGACATCCACAGATAAAGAGGCAACATCGTCATGCGTAAGGCTCCAACTGTTCAGTTCATGTCTACGATTTTCGAGTAAATAGACATAAACAGTAGGTAAACGTATACTAAACAGTTTTAAACAGTTTATAGACCACGAAAACTTTGAGCGTCTACTTTTGAAATCAAAGAGGCCTTGCCGGATCCATAGTTTCGCGCACATCGACTGTGTCACTGTGGCTGCCTGCCGCAAGGGAAGACCACTGGTCAGTACCATCAGGAAAATCACAAATATCTTTTTTGGCTTTGCGCCACTTAATCACGCTTCATCAGACCTGGGATTTCGACGAAGTTTGCAATGTGCCCAAAATAAGCTACAAGTCATGAAAATCTGAATTTCACTAAGGTGTGCCAAGCATCAAAAGACAGAAAAGATGGACAAGCCAAAAAATCATATTCAAGTGATTCCAAGGGTCATCAACATGGGTGGTAAAACTCGAATGTGGGCTACTATGAAGCAATTTCAAAAGTGTGATGGTCAACATATTTGTTAACATAGAAAGCATGAAAACTATCATAAGAAACATGGAGATTGACTTTGGGGGAAAGAAAATGACGGCCAAACATTGGAATGAGGTGAGCAGCATGATAGATTGTGTCCACATGTATGATACTATGTATAGGTGTGCGGTTGGCACTGTAGGCTGGATGAACCATCCACATCCCAGTAGCTAGGTCAGGTGCATCTCCAATGATGTCAAACCAGCGCATGAGGGCACATGGATAGGCTTCCCCACCATAGTTGAATGAGAAGAAGGCATGAACCCTGGTGACTTCGAGTCCTTGGATGCCATCTGTACTGGTTCCTGTGTTGACAAAAATGCAGTCATTGTGGGGAGCTTCATTCCGCCACAAAGGGCAAGCATGAATATGCTCGACTTGCATCTCTCCAACTCCACTAAGGTCACTTGGTGCATAGAACCTTGAAGATGCAGAGTTAAAGACCAATATTTTACCTTCATATCTAGGACAGCCAGCAAGAGGAACTTCCAATGGGTCTCTGTTGTCGTCTGGCCTGCGGGTCTGCTCAAAAAGAAAGCGGCGAATCAAATCAGGAAAATGAGCGAGGTTCAATTCTGCAGCGAGAGCCAACACATTGCGGGCACACTTTCGTTCTGCCCCATGTAAAGTTGTATTAGACCACATTTGGAGATGATAAGAGGATACCTACAAACTGTTCGCGCTAGTTGGGTATGCACCTGTAAAACGGTTGGTCCATGGTCTACTGCTACTGGCACTTCATCAGCAACACTACTGGGCAAGGGATGGACTTTGACATTGGGGTTGTCATTACTATCTGTGTCCATGAGGCCTGACATTGGTATGAATTAGCATTGGGCATGCCAACAGCAATTGATTTGAGAACTTACCAAGCACATCAAGTTCTGCTGCAAGACAGGTACTGTCTAACATCCTGCAATTGGCAAAGTCAGCACGCACAGCAGCCAGCTTATCAAGACGCTGATTAGTGACAAGCATCTGTCCAAGCACTTTGTATTTGCTTGAACGCCTCCACGGTTCTTTGATGGCCTTGATATGCTTACTCTTGGTGATAGATGAGCAGAGTCCATTGGGAGCACCGAATTGTCGAATAAGATAGGCGTAATGGACAAGGGAGTGTTGCCGTGGCAGTGAGAACGTATCAACAACACCAGTAGTTTTAAAAATCTTGCGGTATCAATGAAAACAAGAGAGTGCATCTCGAATCTTGTCCAGAGTGTTATCAGTGATGGTGTTCCGATGCACAAGGTAGCAGAATTCGAGGAACACATGAAACATACGAACAACATCCTGTGGTACGTGACCCTCGATGGCAGCCAAGTAAACCTAAGTAGAAATGGTGTTAGTGAAATTGATTTGAAACAGGAAAGATTTACCTTCATGAGGGCTTTGGAGTCGTCCCCCATCCATTGCTTGAAGCTGCGCCCTTGTGGAAAGCAATGCAGGCCAAAAAATGAGGCAACAGTTGCTATTCTAAAGTGAGAAAATAAGCAATCAACTCAGAAGAAATGTTAAATGACCCACCTGTGGTCAATGTCATCTAAAATGCGAAGGGTTTCGCGTTTTCCATGTGTCAACATGAGATAGTCTTCCACCCAGACCACAAGGTGATCCTTGAAGGTGCCCTTGATGATTTGATGCAAGATATCGGGTGCAATCAGCTGGTGAATATCGGCTTGTGGAAAGTTGTTTGTGAATGGCTGAAGAAGAAAGTTAGCGAAGCAGACTGAAAATTGAAAGACATACAATCAGATCACTGATTACTCCAAACTTGTCCCACAGCTCTCCTAATGTACCAGTTTCAACGAGGGCTTCAGTATAGTAGTGGGATTCAAAGCTGGTCTTGAAACTTCCCTGAAAGCGTTAACAAACATGCAAACTTTTTGGAATTCCGGCAGCAGGCATCGGAGTCTGAAATCAAAACTTCATGCTACACATGAACGATGCCCCTAATATGCCCATCCGCTGTAAGACGTTCAGCACGCCTCCAACAGCTTTCTCAAATATCTGCTGGTCTGGATATGAGCCAGTTCCAACCACCACCGCAACCACCACAACCACCGCAACCACCGCAACCTTCACATGGCAGGGGGAGGGCTAGGGCTAGGGCAAGGGCAAGGGGTACCACTATTGTGACTTGTGGGAAGGGAGGAGGAGGAGGAGGAGGAGGAGGAGGTACTGACCATCCAGACCCCCCCCCCCAATATCAACATGCAGCAGATCTGAATGATGGAGATGCCACTCCGACTCCTGGGGATGATACCAACTTTGCCCCTTCCAAGATCAGATGGGAAACTGTCAACCATGATCGCACTACCCCTCTTGTATCCTGGCTTGCTGTACATTCACCCGACTGTTGCATACTCTTCTCCGACAACAAAAAGCAACACGACATGACGATCAGCACTGATCGTCCTTCTGGCAGGAGTAAAGCCGAAATCCACCTTGTAATCGCCAAACATATCTTTGCCAATGACCCGGTATATGGGCCCCAGTATGCTGTAGAAGAGAATAGGCCAAAGTTTGGACAAGCTGTTGCCAATCGCCTCGCATAGTATGTACTTTGTTCCCATCTCGTCTGTACATACTAATGACAAAATCTCAGTCTCAGGGGGAAGTATAAGGCTGCAATTGCTCAGTTTGGGATGACTGGCACTGGCGTCAACCCTCTCGACCCTCAGGCAAGTAAATCTCCGAGGTAAGTTTTGTTTCAAATTATTTAAATTATCTTATCAAACTAGAAAAATCACAGTGCAAGTAGCATCTGAATTTCCGTGGTTCAAAGACCTTGATGCGTTGTGGAAGGACAACCCTGCCTTTTCTCCGAAGACCTTCTCCTCTGTTCCTGGCAAAGATCGTGCTGGTGGCCTCCACATGCTCACCCAACCTAAAACCAAACCGATTGCCTCTAGCTCTGTGGTACGCTCACAACCAAAGGGGAAAGAGAGGGCTTTAGATTTTGATCCTGATGACATTGTGGATGATGACGCTCCTCGCGCTACCACCTCTAACATATGCAACCCACCTGCTGACAGCGCCCCACCTGCCACCTTTACTGAGGCCTATGACCCTGCTCATGACGACTATGACCCTACGTATAATGACTACGACCCTGTGCCTGAAGAGTTGGACTACATAATGGGTGAGGGAAATTGGGATGGTGGCGCTGAGGACTTGGAGATGGAGGAAGATAACTATGGGGATCAGAGCGATACTCGGCGGTGTCTAAGCAGCAAACACCCATACCAAACGTCCCCCTCACTCCCCCCTACCTTCAAGCCATTAAATCATGCCTCTGAGTATGATTGCCGTGAAGCAGCTTTCACTGGCAAGTCTCATGTCAGTTGTGCCATGAATTGTGGCCCCCCTTGTGCAAAAAAGCCAGCATCTATGGCATCCTCATCATCCAATACCCCCAGCTCATCTGCACAGACGTTCTCTTCATCGTCCCATGTAGACTCACAGCCCTCATGCTGACAAACTCAGCACAAGCACAACCTTTCAGGGCGCGTTCAATCGGGAACATCAGATGTGCTTGACCAGGTGGGGTCTCTCACTGATGATATGAGTTACATCTACTCTGCAAAGGCAGCTTCCTCTGAGTATAAAATCACCAAAGTCAATGCTCTCCGCCAAGAGCGCGAGCTCCAATTCCAACGAGACCAGGGTGCAATAGAGCGTGATGAAGCTGCTTCAGTGCACGCACAGTCACAGGAGGCAAAGGCACTTGAGCTTCGTCTTCTTGAAGCACAGGCCAAAGTTCAGTCTGAGAAGGTGGCTGCCCTTCGCCTTGAAATTGAGTTGATCAACCTGAAAGAAGCGTCTTCATCAAAGGGGGGTTCCTCATCCACTTAATTCATAATACATTTGTCTTTCATTCGTGTCACGTTGATATGCGCATTCCTAATCTCATTGTTGTATGTCCATGCTTTACATGTTGTATATGTCCCTACTGTTACCTGTTGTGCCTTGTCTGCTCCTGCTCTGCCTGCCTCCGCCTCTCAAGTGTGACAAGCAAGTGGTCCATCAACTGACTGTGAGATGCCTGTCCAGGAGTTCCTGCATATGTCGTACCACCGGCTCCGTCCTCGCCAACATCCTCCTCCTCCTGCTCCTCTACAGACCCATCTGCCTCCTGGCCCAATCTGTAGTGTCGATGCGACGCCGTTCCTCAAACCGGATGACCATATTGTGGAGGATCAAGCAGCACATGATCCAGTATGAAGTGTACTCGAGGTGCTTCTCGGTCTGTATCGGATGTCGAAGCTCGCGGAGGGACTGAAAACGGCCTTTGAGCGCCGCAAAGGCATGCTCGATACAAACATGGACCTAAGTCCAAAAATTAGTAAGTACATGCAATGAAAAAAATAATACACGTACTGTAGACAGATTAAAGTTGAATTTTTTTTGCTCCCACTTCAGTGCACCATTGCACGGCTTCTTGAATGGCACGATGCACCAGGTCTCCAAAGGGTAAGCGCTATTGGCCCAGATCCAGTGCTCATCTCCAAGGAGCATCTCATGCTCTTGAAAAACACGCATCGAGTGGAAAGCATATGCGTCGTGTGCGCTACTGACGTGGCCAATTGAATAATCCACTATAAGGAGGTTATGAGGCATTACCACTACCTATAAGAGGTCTATCAGTTGAAATCTGAGAAGAAAAACGACATACCTGGCAATTGAGGGAGAAATCAGACTTGCGGTTGTAAAACATGTCTCCGAAGAGCCCCGGCTTATAGCAGAGGTTGACCATAGAGCCATCTGTAGCAAAGATACTGTTACGCCATTGTGGGCAGATCTTCGAGACATAGTCTCGGGCACGAGCAGCGTCATTTGAAGTGAGACTTGGGAAGAAGATGAATTCATCATGATGCTCGAGTAGAGCGATCATGACACGATTGGTGCAGTTAGTGACTGATCCGACGCTAACACCCCGCTCATTGGCAGACATATTCGTTAGCTATCGCGTTGCCATAGTGACCTGCACGATTTAGAAATATTGCAAGCTGTAAGGCGATGGGAAGCTGACGGTTGTTTGAGTAGTTTTGGAAAATGGGACTATCACTGATATAGTCAAGGATGTCATCGAAAACGTCAGGGTATACACGCAATTTCTGGTGAAAGAGATCTGGGTGATGGGCAGCAAAATGAGGTAAGAGCTGAATCTGCGGCGCATGCATGGGGGGCTTGTCAGGGCGATGGAGGACTCGTGCTCTCTCTATTTCATCATGAAGTGCTACAATATCTCCCAAAAGGCGCAGAAAGTGTAGATCAATATCAGAGGAGTCGGTACTTGAGTTAGTTGAACCGTCAGACATATCTGATAGAGGAGATATTGGGGATATAATCATAGGACTTAGGATTGAGCTATCGGAGCCGGATGATTCAGAATCTTCTGTATTACGTCTAGCATGCTCTATACAAGCCAATGCAACTTGCAGCGAAGCAGCGTCTAGCTGGTGTAAGAGGTCTTGATGCACGGATGTTCAAGGCATTGCGTCTAACCCTAACCCCTAATCGTCGACTTGTATGCGTGGCTAAGGTAATCGAGCGGAGTTTAAATTCACACTTTGAAAATTTTCGCAATTCTTTCAAACACGTTTCAACACGCTTTCAGCGTGTTTCTTGAATATTCAAAATTTTACTTTGAATCCCACTAGTCATGGGCATCAGTTGAGTGCATCTGTATTGAGGTCTTCACAAGATGCACAACATCTATAAAAGAATTGAGTCCTAGCACACACAAATGACACAAAAGGAAGTTACCTCGCACACCAACCGCGTACTATGCACGCAAGGAGTACTTGTTCTTCATAATCAGCAATGTATGGCCCCAAGCCACAAATCACCCGCCAAAAATGCCCATTGCCAAACTTAGCAACCTCTGGCTTCATCATGCTTGGCCTAAGAGTTTTGAGTATTCTGGAGAGTGATGAATGAAACAACTGGCACTGGAATTTGTGAAACTTCGCATCTGCGGCATGTTCCTTTGTTACTAGATAGTTGAACTGTATATGAGCATGTTGTGATAGGTCAGAAAAAAAACCTTACTTTTAGGCATTGTGAGGAACCCAATGACAGCGACCGCATCTTGATGCACACGTCGGACATTGTTGTGCACATTTCCTATGGAGAGATAGAGGGGATAGTACTCATTATTTCCCATTGCAACCAAAACTGTCATTTTGTCACTCCCAAGGATGACAGGCACAAAAGTTGAGCCATGCATCTCTGGGTCTCCAGCAATGATGTCCTGTAAGAGGTGATGTTAGTGTCTTGTATGAAGGGACCGGAGAATTTCGGTAGTTCTAGCGTGATCAAAGTAAAATACTCACTGCCTGGTCCAAAGCCCAATCAGCAGACATGAAATCCTGAAACTGGCACTCATCTCCATTGGTAGAATACTTGCGATAGGGCTGATAATCCATTTCAGCAGAGTATGAGGGGTTTGCCAACATTCTGCGAACAACTTCCCGAGGATCTCGGTACTAAACATCATATTTTCCATCCATCCAGGATGGGTAGCTTCCGTCAGGTTTCACACCCGAGTAGGCACAAGAGAAGCCCTGCCACTTTACCTCCCGTAAAATAATTGAATTGATGGTAGTGTAAAGGTTGTGATGATCTGCAAATGGTGGTGAATCACCATATTTGAGGAGTGTGGCCCCCCAAAAGTTGAAAAGACGGTCCGCATGACTAGCTGGCATCTGATTTTGAATATATAGAAGCTCGGTGGTTTTGAATTCGATGCGGTGTGACAATCATACCAGCGCTGGGTGCATATGAGTGTCATAGGCATATTCTGCCTTGCCTAAAGGAAAAGAGTAAGGCGCTAGTCACCAGCACTATCATTCCCAAGCTATCCGCTTTGGAACCGCTTTTCTCCCATAGCACGCTGCCCAGTCCAACACCTAGGTATTCCGTCCTCCCATGTCTTGCCTATGTCCACCTACCTCTGCTGGTGCATTATTTTTACTTAAATGTTGCTACTCATCAGTCACAGGTCTTATTACATGTATCCTCGTGTTCCGCAGCACTGCATGTTTTATTACCTGCTGCTACATCGTGCCCTCGCCAGAGTCGCTACTATACTCGCCTACGCAATTCCAAACCCTTACACAGTATGATAAAATGGACCTGTCGCACATACAGTACAGTACTTCCCTTCCCCGGACCTTTGCTGGTGTCGGAGTCACTTTAGTCGCTATATCCTAGTCTTGGTGCAATCGATTCCACTCTTGCCAAATCTCTTTGATCGCGTGTCGCTTGACTTGCTTTAAGTGCGCGTCACTAAAGTTCCCTCTTAAGTTTGACTTTCGCAACGTCGGGATCGCTATCAGTAGTCGAGCTATAATCTAGTCGCTATCAGGCATTTCACTTGCACTGTCTTATCTTACTCCTCGCTTTTGCTCCCTTTGATTTCTTCTCGCTTTCGCTAGTCGGACGTCACATAGCGCTTCTCACTTATATGCATGTTTCTCTGTTCGAATTCACTTGTCGCTGATCGCTATAGTGCTACTCATTGGTTTTTGGTCTTAGGTCGCTATAGGTTTTTAGTCCTTCGTGCTATCACTTCCCTTGCATATTAGTAGGGAGTTGCTTCAATAGCAGTCCTCTTGGGTCGAATACTACACTCACGCCTATTTGGATAAGTAGCGCTAGTTTCTAACTGGCCTAGTCGCTATTTCTCTTTCACAACTGGAGCCGACCACGAGGGGGCCATTTGAAGCTGGAAGGCACACCACCTAGACCTACCGAGACCCAAAAACCTCGTGACCTTAGCGACATTTCGCAAGAAGATTTTTTCTACTCAGTAATAGAAACCACCAATGAAGAAGTCGAGTGTGCTGCATTCAACTTGCGATCCCACTCATCTTCAGAAGCTACTGTTATCCACCATCTTACTCCCGACTTCGAAGAAGAGGAAGAACCCCTCGGACAATTAACATCACATTACCTTCCGCTCCATCAAGTTCCGTTCGTTACTGTAGACACTCCCTCCACCACATCATCACTTACCCCCTCTACTCCATCTCGCGACAAGTCACCCGAAAGACAGAACCTTTTTGTACCCACTTCCTTCATACCTAGCTCTATCCCGTCTCCGCGAAAGCGAACTAAGCACTCTCCCTCCGTCCATACCCGACCCTGCTATCCATACCGCATCTTCCTCGACAGCACCATTTACTACCACCCTTCCTCCAGTCGTACAACCCGCTCTTTTCGCTCAACCCGCTCAACCCGCCATCATGTCTTCCGCACCATTCAAGATGCCTCTTAGAGGAACCGACACTGTGCCCAAAGTTCAATGGCATACCAATGCGCCTCATACCATTTTTTGAGGATGTGGAACTACTTGCTGACTATGCAGGACTTATCGCTGAGCAGCGCATCAAGGCTGCGATCCGATACACGCCCATTGACGAATCGGAAACATGGGCATCAAGACCCGCCACGAAAGGTAAAGATTGGGACAAGTTTGTCGAAGCTATCAAGGCTATGTACCCAGGATGCGAAGGCGATCATCGCTATGCACACACTGATTTGGAAAACCTTTGCAGAGAACAAGTCTGCAAACCGATCCACTTGAAGGAAGAACTCGGACAGTTCTACCGCAAGTTCCTTCACATTTCGCAATGCCTCCTAGACAAGAGTAGGATAGTGGAACTAGAGCTCAGTCACTACTTCTTAGAAGGAATCCATTCCACGGTCAATACCACCATCAAGCGAAGGCTAGAGATCAAGCTAGTTGACCACCATCCCGATGACCCATACACCTTGGAAGAAGTATAGGATGCAGCAGTATTCTTGCTACCCAGTATTGCGCCTACAGCAGTTGCTGTTTCACCTCCTAGCACGCCCACAACTAACCAGCAACCCACACCTCAGCAACCTGCCACCGGAACTGTGGTAAAGCGGGAGTAGAGCCAGACATGACCTCTCTCCAACAATGCGTGTTATTTCTGCGGAGGAGATCACTACATCAGTAAACTGCTTTGTTCTGTACAGAGCTGTACAGAGCTGTACAGCTCACAAGAGCCACAGCTTGGTCCCCACTGGACAGACAGGCTCATCTCTGTAAATCTCTGTACAGCTCTGTACAGAGTTTCCCAGAGCTCCACAGTAGCCCTCTAGTTACACAGAATATATTAGAAATCGCTTTTTTTTTGCAACTCAAGTTACACATAAAAGTAAATGAAAACAAATGCATTGCAAATGAACAAGTACTACTAGACATTAAGTAATCTACAACGGACGTCGTGCAAATGCAGCGCTTCATTGTGCCATATCGTCGTCATCGACATTGTGTCATCGTCGTCGTCATCATCATCATTATTGGGTTGTCGTCGTTGTCATTGTTGTTGTTGCTGTCGTTGAGGAGGAGGAGTTGAGTCGTCATTGTCATTGTCATTGAGTCGTTGTCATTGAGTCATTGTCGTCGAGTCGTCGGAGTTGAGTCATTGGAGGAGTCAAGTCATTATCGTTGAGTTGTCGTTGAGTCGATGTTGTCGTTGTCGTTGTCATCGTCATCGTTGAGTTGTCGTCATTATCGTTGAGTTGTCATCATCATCGTCGAGTCGTCGTCGTCATCGTTGTTGTCATATCATAGTTGAGGGGTTTACCCGTGGGTACTACCTACAAGTGAGAACGAGCGCAGACAAGCGAGGACCAGTTAGAACGGGCCAGAACAAGCATGGACAAGCAAGGACAAGTCAGAATGAGTGAGGACAAGTTAGAACAGGCTAGAACGAGCGAGGATGAGTCAGAATGGGCAAGGACGAGCGAGGACGAGTAAGAACAGGCAAGAACGAGTCAGAACAAACAAGGACAAGTCAGAATGGGCCAGAATGAGCGAGGGCGAGTCAAACGGGCCAGAACGAGCGAGGACGAGTAAGAATGGGCCAGAACAAGTAAGAATGAACAAGGATGAATCAGAACAGGTCAGAACGAGTGAGGGCGAGTCCAAACGGGCCAGAACGAGCAAGGATGAATCAGAACAAGCAAGGACAAGTCAGAACGAGTCAGAACGGGCGAGAACAAGTCAGAATGAGTGAGGGCGAGTGAGAACAAGTGAAAACGACATTCTGAGAGCAGAACATGGCCATGGCACCATCAGCGTTGAGTAAGTAGGTCGAAAAAGATATCACGCACATCCTGACAGTGTGCGGGAAGGTTGTAATTACTACTAATTAGTGAAAATGAATGAAAAATAAAGAAAAAAAATCTGCGAGAGGGTGTGAGAGGGTGCAGGCAGAGGATATCGACAGTGAGTGGCGGCTGGTGAGTCGTTGCATGTTGATGCCGTCGTCTATAATAGTTGCATGATGAGGGTCGAGTTTGAGAGTATAGAGTACTAGCAAAAGTTTGATTAAAGTAGTACATGTAATGCGGGACTTAACAAATTTGAAAGTAAAATACCAAGCAGTGTGTGAAATTGCTCTGCCTGGGAGAGGTTTGCTGTGAGCGCTGTCCCTCTGTGGGTTACTGTGGGAACTGTCGAAAATGTTGATGTCTGTGACAAAATTTGTAGTTTACTGATGTATACGAACTGCTGCGCTTTACACAACCAATATGCCAGCAAGGGTAAGATCCACATCACACCGGAAAAGAGGATTGTTATGCCCAACGGTAGCAACATCCCTGGAAGACTCTCTGATGGGAATTTCAAGGAGCGCATAGACAGATTCCTGTGCGATGGACCTGCTACAGGTTCTAACTCGACAGTGCTAGGGTTGATGTATTGTTGTGCTGACCCCACTACGACTCTGGATATCGAGCCTTGCGCATTCATGCACACATGCGCCAGTGTAGAGAATAGTGATTCTGATGATGAAGGATTAGCCCGCCTAGAGAGAGAAGCAACCCGAGCCCGCGATGCGTTCACAGCGGTGAAAGCGGATCGCGCTAACCGCAAGGACAAGGGTAAGAACATGTGACTTGAAGGCGTTAATGTTCCGCCACGCCCAAAACCAGGACCATCTTCTAAGACTACCAACATAGTAGAGGAAGTCGCATCTCCACAGGTTAAGGCATCTGGGTCGAAGACCGCCAGTGTGCCTAACAAAGGTACTGTAGTGGTGACACCAGCAAGCTCATCATCCGCACCTAGTACTTCATCCTCATCATCGCTACCCCACGACCTCTTCTTCATCCTATGATCCGCTGTCTTAATAACTGAGGGTCTTATATGAATACATGTAAGAATGTAATGACACCACAATTACACTGGATAAGACTTCTTGCCAGTCCTCGATTAACATGGTCTACGACTTTTCTTCTTTCATGGTAGATAATGTGTGAGTTCTTGGGAGGTTCGCTAAACCAATCAGTTAGATTAACTTAGCTGGAGCTTTATTATCTCTGATTGAAACTATGGGATTGTCTAGGATATACTGTCTAGACACTTGAACTGGTTTCCTGAATATATGGTTAACTGTTGAGAAGCTGGTCTCAAATGTGACTACGTGGACCAAAGCTCGTGTTGGTCAATATACAAATACCTGGTGAGAACGCTGGTCTCACAAATAACAACAATGACAAATAAAAAACAATGACAAATAACAACAATGACCAAAGCTTGTGTTGGTCAGTATACAAATACCTGGTGAGAACACTGGTCTCACAAATAACAACAATGACCAAAGCTCGTGTTGGTCAGTAAACACTACGTGGTGAGAACACTGGTCTCACAAAACTGGGTTTCTATCGCGAGAAACTTACGTAATCTCAAGGGAAACACTTTCCCTGCACTTGTCTGGACAGTTCTTACAAAGGAAATGGGCTTTGTAAGCAGCAATTTGTTCAGACTGAAGCTTCTTAGGTGAGAGTTCAATTTGCTCAAGAGGGAGATTCTTGAATGCAACAAGTGGGAGATCTATTTTTTGGGGGGGAGAATGGGCTCTCCTTATATACATTTTGTGTGGGAATATTATGTAAGTAAAAAGGTGATGTAATGACTTCAGAATGTGAGAAGAATATTCCAAAAACCGGAGCAGAATGTTCTAGCAGGTGCAAAAGAACATTCCAGAATATTCATGGTGGGATAATGACATCATTCTGAGTCACTATGAGTCATTGGAATGTTCTAGCAAATTCCATGGAACATGACATCATTATGACATCACTATGATATCATATCTTTCAACAAGATACCTGCAGGAGTGTAGGTGAAGTCCTATGACATCATTATGACATCATACCCTGTAGGTACAATTTTATGAAGCATCTGATTAGTCAGAGCATCCTAATAGAAAAGTAAAGTAAAGAAACACTAGAGAAAACAACTCAGAAATAATGGAACAAATAATAGTACACAATACACGGGCTTTTTAGATAGGTTTTTGTTAGGCTTTGAACTTTTCTCTATGGGTTTGTCTAGCCAAAGTGAATAAGCCAAAGGAAAGGCAATACCTTAACCTTCATTTTGCTTCTCATATCAACTAGGTCATTATGTGATTCCCATCTCACATATGACTTTTCTTCAAAACATGGTGGATTCATGAATCACTGAGGGAAAACTGAAACTATTTGACCAAGGTTTGATACCAAGGTATGGGTTGACTAGTCTGAGGACTAAGCTAACAGACTTTGTCTTTTAGGGGGATACCTAGTAGTCATGTCCATGCATGATTCCCAAATCATGCAGGACACCGCCTACCGCTAATCCCTCCTCTACGCAGTTTAGGTATACCCACCTGCTAGAAGATAAGGAAGCTGACAAGAAGGTAATCAACTGGATGCTAGACTCCAGCATCAGCATACCCATGCGGGAGTTGATCGCAGTATCTACTGACATTCGCAAGGTGCTCAAGGAAATGACTACCACCAAGTGCGTTACTGTCAGGTCGGTATCAGTGAATGAGCTGAGTGGCCAACCCGAAATGCTGACACACACGAAACCTGTTTCGTACATGGTCATGGCAAATTTATGATACATGTAACTCCTTACTATAGTCTATGCACTTCCCCTGAATTTTCTATACCTTACTTCAATTTACTTTGGACATTTCTGAGCATGTATCACCAAGATACGACTTAGCAGTTCAAATTAAATACTTAACGTACCCTTTATCCTTTCTATAATTCTTTATTTTATTTACCCCTATGACAAACATATGCCATGCCACTTCATTTGTATTTGTGTACTTAAAGCTGTGGTACCAAACAAGTTGACAATACAAATAAACAACTTTGGATTGGTAACCAAACAGATGAGTCACAATGAGTCACAATGAGTCATAATGAGTCATGTCTGCTATGACTCATACTGAGTCATCTTTCTTACTAACTCATTCTATGACATTCCATGACATTTTATAGTTCTTTCTCAATAATTCTGACACATTCTGGAATATTCTATAGTACATTAGTAATCAGTAGCACAGCCACTAGTCTAGTAGTATATAAGGGGGCTCATTTTCCCCTCTTTTGAAGCAATCAATTTGATTCCCAAGTATTAACAGAGTGAAGCACAGTTAGGGGAATGTAGGGGAACATTCTTTCACCCCTTAGATTCTTTGTCCCCATTATTTGAGTGAACATTCAAGTGAATATCAGGAGAAAAATTAGCTTATTTAGCTCCATTGTTTTGACATTATACTTCACATTCTTCAGAAGTATCTGGCCACATTCTTGAGCCACATTTGATTACATAATCTTCAATTAGCACATTCTTAAAGCACATTCTTCAGAAGTATCTGGCCACATTCTTGAGCCAACTTTGATTCTATCGTCTTCAATCATTCTAGTTCTCTTTTAGACACAGGAAAAGTTCTGTGGGGAGAATTTCACGTATTATTCATCAATTAGGGTAGACACAAATAAGACCTACAATCTGTCAACAAATATTAAGAGCTTGGCCACTTAAGAGTACATCAAGAAGGTGTACTCTATTCTGGACTGCGTCATTACTCACTGTGAGATCCTGAGCAGCAGAGAGTCGGTTTAGAGGCCACATATTGGGACGATCCTGCTAGTGAATTTGTTCTCCATTGCTGAAGTATAAGTAGGGAATATCCAAGAGGGATATAGTATAGTTCTAGTTCATTGCATACAGCTGCAACACATTATTCAGAAGGTTATAGCACTATCTTGTGCTACTATTGGTTTCTATCGTTATTTGTTTCTATCGTTTCTTTGCCCCTTTACATCACTAGCGTTCGCTTGAAAAGTTCAACACACCTCGTCCCCCATGAACGACCACATTATCAACCATTGGTAATTGTCTGAACCATTGACTGTGGAGGATTGTGAAATTTGGAGAGTTTTCTTGCCTTTCACATCCTAGTAAGACAACGCACAATTTCCTGAGGAAGTACAACAGTTGTTTGCAAAGGAGTGACGACGGTCACATTGTCGCTGAACATTTTGAGTCACTGCAATGTATCAGAGTGGTTACGAGTCATGGCCGGGTTCTTTCCTGTGTCCTTGATCAGGGCGCCAAGTGCATCGTAATGCCGCGATCTGTTTGGCGGTCGCTAGGCAGCATTCCATTGAGATCTGACCATAAACTGGTCATGGAATCAGTCAATACCTCTACCGATGAGACAGTTGGCATCATAGAGAATATTCCGCTAGACTTTGGAGCAGGAGAAATGCTATTCCAGGTCCAAGTTGTTCCAACTGCTAACTTCGAGATCTTGCTAGGTTGCCCATTCTTCACGCTTACCAGCTGTCACACTGAGGATTTGCCCAATGGGGAACAAGACATCACTCTGACCAACCCGAACTCAGGGAAGGTAATCCACATTCCTACCAACTGCTGGGTAAAGAGATGTCCCAAATGCGAAAAAGGGTCGCACCCGCCTCCTAGTGATTGCAAGAAGGGTTTTTGATGATTGATGATCCGCTTATATCGCGAGGAGACAAATGGACTCATACACACCCGCCCCTCTCTCTTATTTCACGTCCTAATACATTACTTCCTGGTTCTAACTACCATCTCACGCCATCCGCGCATCACCCACTCTTATGGAGCAAACATGACTCATTTTCCGCTGCGCTATTCACAGCGCAATATACCCATCTCGTCTCTACTCGTTCAGTTATTGACTGCACGTCTGTCGATGCATTTAACAGTGTATATTCCTTCGACAAGACCCGACACGCGCTGGTCTACAAGCCAGTCGCAAAGAAAGTCCACACGGTACAAACTTCTATGCCCCCCAAATATAGAATAATGCGACGGTTACCCTGACGACCCTTTGGCCAGCATGCCTACACTGCCTACCCACCCGCCTGATTTCGTTCCAGGTGTCCGCTTCACTCAAGAAAGAGCGGACAAATTGGACTTAGACCCCGCTAATTGGTTATGGCCTGACAAGTTGAAGCTTATACGCTGGCTCGTTCGGGTTCATGAATTAGCATTCGCATGGGACGTGACCGAGCGCTGTTACAAGAACATCGGGTCGTGTTAGGCCCCTATTTATTTTCCCTTTCCCTTTGTCTTACTTTGTACTTACTACGTCATTTCACTTCAAACACACAGCTCTTCTAGATTGCTGAGCACGTTTTACTGTTACCATTGTCTCATTCCCCTGACTCACAAATCCTATGCCCGTACCGCCTGACCGGTACTTATCTCTGACTCACTCTCCCCTTTACCCTTACCGCCCAACCGGTGCTATCTCACATATGACTCGTTCTGACTCAGTCCCCTTTACCCTTACCACTAATCCAGCAGTCCTGCCCTCAACCACTTCCTACCTATATATACCAGTAGGGTATTGCTTGTATTCTCTAACTTGAATCTACTTGGTTCTACCTGCCTATCTGCTAGAAGCCTTAAGCAAGCTTCCACTTCTCATCTAAATCTCTGTTGAGCTCGTCACTCAATAGTCTTGCTAGCTGTGAAGTACGATTAGAGACACGCCATCCTAATCGTCGATAATACCTTCGTCTAGTCGACGAAGCTATTGCTGTGAACTTTTGCTATTGAATGCTCCCTGGTCTCAGCAGGCTTAGCAAGAGCCCCTATCCAAGTTCTAGTTGCAAACTTGCATCATTCATAACAAAAGATTCAAGTTACCTACTGATCCTTTCACCACATGGATATTGACACGTCTTCCTGGATAAGGAAGTTTGCTTGGGAAAGAGATCCCAACACACCAGACTCTGACCCCAAAGAAGAAGAGGAACAACCCCTCAATGAACAGTACCAAGAGGCCAACGAAGACCATGATACTCAAGAAACGAAGACTGAAGAAGACACTTCTACTTCGTCAGACGAATTCCCTGAAGAGCGCCCACCAAGAAACCTCTCAGCGAACCCAAGTTTTAGAATGTCGAACCCCCCAACAACCACCAAGGCTGTCGAACTCAAGGCCGGAGTGCCCAATTACTTCAATGGAAACCTAGATATGGCGCAAGGATGGCTCCTCGGCGTGAAGCTTTTCTTCATGCTTAACCATGAAGTATACAACACTGAAGCCAAGCAAGTTGGTACCCGCCCTGGCCTATATGGCGTCAGGAACGGCCTTCAGTTGGAAGACCAACTATATTGCTGAAGCCTTCGCCAAGACCACCCCCTCGCTAGGAACCTTCGCCGACTTTGAGAAAGAGTTTAAAACCTCATTCTTAAGTGTAGACGCTAAGGTATCCACTATGACCAAACTCAAGACCCTTAGACAGGGCAATGACATTGCTGACTACATTGCTGAGTTCAAGACCCTCGCAACCCAGTCCTCAATGAAGGAGAGCGTTGCTCTCATCCACTTCTTCGAAACTGGCATGAAGCCCCAACTTTGCGATGCCATCTACAAGATGGAGACCATCCCTGTCACCATTGAAAAATGGTACACCGCCGCCACCCAGTTGGATGCCAACTATCAAAGAAGTCGCGCCATGCACCAAGCACAGAAAACCTACAAGCCTAACCAAGGAACACGATACGTCCCTAAGCCCAATGGTCCTAAACGCGACCCAGACGCGATGGACGTCAACCGTATGCTTACTCTGAAGGAGAAGCAAACGTACATGAAGAACGTGCAATGCTTTGCCTGTGGTGAGACTGGCCACAGAGCCAGTAGTCGTCAACACCACCCGAAGGTCCGATGAGGAGATGCAGAAAGCTCCAAGAAAGGAAAAGAACCGGTAAGGCGTGGCAACGACCAGCCTGATGATGAAGAGGCCGATGAAAACTCGGACGAAGAAGACATGGAAGTCAATCGACTCTCTGTCAGGAAGATGAAGACCAGATCCAAGGACAGATCTGAGGATTTTTGAAGCGGAGCCCTGTTGCAACGTCAGCATCTCCTACCTGCCTGTTGTACACTAAGACTGTTGGTAGATCGAATGAATTTTGTGTCCCCATCACTCTTTTTCAACCTTAAGCACCAAGACCGTTGCATGCACTGCTATCATCGGCTCAGGCGCTGGAGCATCATTCATCGACGCAGGTTTCTGTCGCAAGAACCGCATTCGACTACATGAACTCTCCAAACCTTTCCATATCACCACAGTTGATGGAAGCCACTCGAAAGCTGGACGAGTCACACATTACTGCACGCTGTTTATCAGACTTGACAAGCACGTAATGTGGGGCAAGTTCAACGTCACCCAATTAGCAAACCAAGATGATATGCTCCTTGGTAAGCCCTGGCTCACCGTCATGAACCCGGTAATCGACTGGGCCAATGACACGATTGCCCTCTCTGAGACCCCAAGATCTCGAGAAGTCGAAAGGATCATCAATGATCACCGTAAGGATGGTGGGGTATCCCCCTACTTCTTCCGCGGTATGAAACCGATCATCGAAGATGAAGAAGAATTGCCCTTCACACCCCTGAAGACTCTCTCAAGCGATGCTATGCACGCTCTCGAAGAGATCAAGAAGACAAGAAGAAAGCTAAGAAGACAAAGAAAGCCAAGAAACAGGAGGAACCGACCCCTATTATCATTGATATCCCGGATTTCGACACCATGCAAGATGCCTGGGTCACTGATGCGCAAATAGCGCCTGAGGTAAAAGAAATAGCCTCCTATCCCCTCACTGATGATGAAGTACTGATTGAATACACCTCTGATGGGGCCTCTGTCTGACTCACCGAGAACATCTCCTATGACACTCCCCTTACTCGCAATGGTACATCAAAGAATGAGCAGAGGAAGATCCCATTCCCTCTAAGGAACGTTTGGCTACTAGCTGCAGCAAAGAAAGAAGAAGAATATATGAAGATAAGCAACAAGGCTCAAGAATTCGCCTCAGAAAAAGCACAAGAAATGAAGAAGAAGTCGTTTGAAGAACTGGTTCCAGAATACCTCCACAACTTCACCGACATATTCGCCAAGGACGGCCTGAACCAACTCCCGCCCTCCCGACCGGGCGTGGACCATCGTATCGATACTAAGGAAGGCTTTGTGCCTAAATCATCACGAGCCTACCCCCTCTCCCCGAAAGAAACTGACACCGTCAAAGCATTCTTAGATGAGCACCTAAAGAAAGATTTTATTCAGCCATCAAAATCTCCACAAGCCTCCGGATTTTTCTTTGTAGGAAAGAAAGACGGCTCCCTACGTCCTTGCCAGGACTACCAGTGTGACAATCATATTGGCACTAGGCATGTATACCTGCATAAGCCTTCAATAGGTGGACCAGAGTTATCCCTCATATCATTCACTACTCCCCTATCAGCAGTCTTCACTTGTCTCAGCCATAACCCTTGTCCGACGCTATTCCGCACGTTCCTGCACTATGCATGCACATTCCCACAGCGCTATTCATACTCCCACGACTTATCCGACACTATTCCCGCGCTTATAGCGCTGTCGGAACTACCAGCAATGTGTTTTAGGTCCATTAGCACATGTCTGCACTATCTAGCGCTTGTTCCCGCGCTTAGCTCTTATCCAGCGCGCTGTTCTCATGCTCTAGGATCCACCCGAAACGTCGGAATCCATACATTGTCCATCCTACCTCATTGGTATGTAATTTGCCTTGCCTTGAGTTTGTAACAAGTGCTACAGTCTTATTACATGTATATCCTATCCCTTCTGAGTCCACATATTGCAGTAACATATCTCCGTATTATACGAGTGGACGGACGTGCATAATATCCCGTATGATACAGGCCAGCGGACCATGGGCCGAGGGTAGATATATCCTCGACTGTGACGGATGGGCCGGGAGTGTTATTATTCCCGATGGAGACGGGTGGGCCCAGGTGGGGAATATGTAAAGTAGATGGGTGGGCCGATGGACATGAATTTTCAATAGACGGATCGGCCGAGGTAGTTGGATATTATGTAGATGGGTGTACCAAGGTAGATATGTATCAAATAGCCGGGTATATCAAGGGTGCTTGTTATCACATAGACAGGTGGGCCCAGATATATATCATATTAGACGGGTGGGCCGACGAATTAATATTATTTTGTAGATGGGTGGGCCGAGGGAGTGGTAAAAGATGTATTATATACAGGTGGGCCGACGGGAGACATATATTGCATAGATGGGTAGGCCGACGTGGGGGTATATAAGATAGACGGGTGGGCCCAGGAGAATGATAATTGTAGACATGATGGAGCTCAGCTAGTTGTATATCATCCAAATCAAAGGAGGTGATTATTCAAAGTCATCTAATGATGTGGTATGGCACGGAGCTTTGCAAAGGGGTGAAGTGGAAACTCGAGCGAAGTGTACCGAGTTCCGAGACCCGGGTCTCGACAAACAAATATGTGATGTCCAGCACACTTCCGATCATCTGGTATCTCATTGAGCAATGGATGATAATAGATCTTTGAAAGCCAACATCATCCAAGCCTACCAAATGCCAAATGCCAAGTTCCGACCACCGAAAATTGAGTGAAGTGTACCAATATCTGAGCCCCAACTATTGAATCCCGAAAATCGACCATCGAGTCCCGACTATCGAGTCCCGACTACCCAGTCATGAAACCCAACGCCTGACCATTGAATCCCGACAATCGAGTATCGAGTCCCGACCATCGAGACCCGAGACCCGATGCCCGAGACCCAAGATTCGAGACAAGTTCCAACTATGGTGTCCCGGGTATCAAAATCGAGTGAAGTGTACCGAGATCCGAGGCCTGGGTCTCGACAAACGAGTATCTGACATCCAACAGACTTCCAATCATGTGGTATTTCATTGAGCAATAGATGATAAGAGAAATAGATCTTTGAAAGCTCAGATCATCCAAGGCTCCCTTATCTGATCCTCTCAATCTCCACCCCCTTTAACACCAAAGTGCGGACATTCAGGATTCAGCTTCTGATCTCACAAGATCAATTCAATCATGGATGTTTCTTCCACTTCCGATGATGAAATAACCCTCTTGCGCACTTGGGCCCTGACTGTCACTCATGTGGCATGTGATTATACGGAACAGAAATTCAATGCAGAGAAGACAGGAGGAGACCCAGTTATACCTTCTCCAAACCTAGACACTGATCTGGTGATGGCTTGTGATCAATTGGTTGATCGGCTCATAAAGGCATATAAAAATCCCAGTGAGTCTTCCTGCAGATTCGGAAAATTCGTTTTATCAGTCAAATTGCTTCATCACAGTTCAGATGCCGATTGATATTGCAAGATATAGCAAATTGATCTCCCCAAAGGACACGGGGCGTAATGAAGAGAGAGAGGAAAAGTTGCTTGAGAGGTGTCCTCCTGGCCATGAGGGCACAAAGTTGATCGACATACCCGCGACAATTCTTGATGCATCCGGTGCCATCATCGCATGGTACCTCCCAGACGCCTTGACCGATGCCACCCAGGTGTGTTATATATATTGTGACTGGATGGATATTGAACATCAAATGGTACGTACAGAATGAAATTTGGGCGGCCTCGGATTTGCTAGCTCCCATGCTCGAACAAAGCATAAAGCTCGATGGGATTTGGCGGACTAATCAACAGTGGTTCACACCAAGCTCGGAAAATGATGTCCTAACTCCCGGATGCGTTAATTTATCTCCGGCATGGTTTCAGCAGGGGCACGAGGTAGGATCTGATGAGATGGCGATCTCGGTAGTTAAACTCACCAATCCCATAGAATCAGTCCGATCCGGAGGTATCTGCATCATTGAAGGGACCATCCTCCGAGAACATCCTCAAAGCCATTGCGAGGCCAGCAGCCATTGCCACAGCGGCACTCAGGGTGATGCATCCTGAGCAGTACTGGGCAGGGTTGCAAGCCTTTGCGAGCCTCGGAGAAAAGGCACGAAGCAAGGAACTGCCGAAGATGTCAGAGACTCTCCAGTACTGGGCAACGGTGTTTAACAGCCTCACCGTCATATGCAATCGGGAAACCCCGAATCATCGAGACCCCTCATCGATTTCCGAATGCTTCGATATTCTCACTAGCGTGGGGAATTATTCTAATGCTCGGATGAGTATGCCAAGCCTGCAGCTGGAGTTAAGGTACGATCCGGGGTGCATGATTGCATTTTCGGGAAGGATTGTCAGACACGCGGTTCATGCAGTGGAAGGGGATCGGATTGCCTGGGCATGGTATATGAGGGATGCTGTTCATGTTTATGCTGGGATTCCGTCGTGTGGATGGGCAAGGTTGGATTGGAAGAAGTAGAAAGGTAGTTACCCGTGTTAGTACCCACCTTCAAATACATGATACTAGATGTCAGGCACTCCATACTCAACATTCGGGTTTCGGGTCTTGATAGTCGGGACTCGATATTCGAGTATATTCCATAGTGATTGTACACATTCACCGACTACGAGTACCGGGTTTCGGGTTTCGGTACACGGTACCCGGTACTTGATAGTCGGGACTCGATATTCGATTTCACCGACTACCGAGTACCGGGTTTCGGGGTTCGGTACACGGTACCCGGTACTCGGTGATTCAAGAAAACAACTCCCAAAATTGATGAGTGTCATGTTTTGAGTTTTGTTTCGATTTGTTTCGAGTGTCGAATCTCGGGCTTCGGGCTTCGTGTTTCGGGTCTCGATAATAGGGACTCGATACTCGATGGTCGGCACTCACATCTCGGGCTTCGGGAGTCGATTGTCGGGACTCGGGTTTCAAGACTCGGTAGTTGGGACTCGATAGTGCGGATTCGGGTTTCAAGACTCGGTACCCGGTACTCGGGTTTCGGTACTCGGTGATTCAAGAAAGTGTCGTGGTGTTTGGAGTTTTGATTTGTTTCGTGTCGAATCTCGGGCTTCGGGCTGCTTGGGTTTTGGGTCTCGATATTGGGGACTCGATACTCGATGGTCGGCACTCAAATCTCGGGCTTCGGGAGTCGATTGTCAGGACTCGGGTTTCAAGACTCGATTGTCGGGACTCGATGGTTGGGACTCGATGGTTGGGACTCGATAGTCGGGCTGTGGGACTCGATTGTCAGGACTCGGTGGGGACTCAAAACTCGCAACTCATAGCAATGTTCGAGTTTCAAGTCTCGTCTCGAATCTTGGGCTTCGGGACTGGATATCCGGGACTCTATGTTTGGGACTCAATATTTGGAACTCAAGATATCTGGATCTCGATACTCGATATTTGGTATGCAGGACTCAGCATATAGCAATAGGTCAGATATTCGAAAGTCAGTATGTAATTTTCAGTACTTATTTCATCATGTACAGAATTTAGACTTCAACATTCTGAACTGAAGGACTAGAACTACTCTGGTCCCCTTGGGTTCAATTTGGTTAGGACGGCGGTGTACATCTGAATCTCTGCCATCTTTTCACGGATGCCAGCTTGTTGATCCTCAATCACTGTCAGGAGGCGTTCCCTCATCCACCTCAGTGCCTTCAGCGTTGCAAGCGAGCTTTCATCCACCTGCTCGGGAACAACAAGACGTTCGTCCTCAACGCCAGACTAGAAAGGATTAGTCATCACTCAAGGAAATTCTGTAAAAGTCTTACTAGCCAATGCTGGTAGTGACAGACACAATTAGCGAATACCTGATCCCATGGCCATAATTCGTTCGGGATGGCAGTTGATCCGGTCCACCATGGAGTACCATAGGTGGATACAATGCGGGAGGGATCCCCCAGATCTGCAACGTCTTGAAACTGGCATAGGTGGGATGAAAAGATGTGGTCCGGAACCATGTTCCAGGTGAGCTCGGGAATCAACTGAAGAATATGAGCAACCGGGCTCGGAACAACCGAAATGATGTTCCTTGCAGCTGAGTACTGCAGGATGGGAGTCACAAAAGTCTGTTGGAAATGTCAGCATTGACCACCACAGTCATCAGCCTCTTACAGCTATCTCCCATTGCAGCCCGGCTTTAAAGTGCGTGATCCGAGTAGCAGATGGCTCCTGGGTGTGGGCAGCCTCCATCTGATATTGAGAGATGGACGCTCGGATGCGAGATGCAGCCATTGACATTGTAGCTGCAATATCTGCCTGAGTGAGTGTGAGGGGTCGGAACCCATTGCCGGAAGTCTGAGAATTAGAAGGGGATGTTGGGGGAGTATGCAATACAGACATGGTTAATGCAGGATTATGAAGCTGGAAATGACAATGACAATGGCAGTTGGTTCGGAGGTCAAGATATGAGCCACTGGTTGATTGATAAAAATTTTCAAACTCCGACATGGGTCGACCCGGCCAATTCCCGGGACTAAAATGTTTGGGTCAAAGTAGCTGTTTCATATCGTTGGCAAAAAAATTTCATTCATCTCGAGCATCTATAAACCCGGTCTTCAGGTCTTGAAATGCTGCCTGGGCATCCTGTGCCAGCAATGAATACATTTGGGATTGCCTTCCCGAGTAGCATGCATGACCCGGAAGGTGTTTCACCAATGATTCGCGCATCCTGTCACCCCATTGGGTTGCTTTCCACAAGAAAAAGTTACATGTCCAATCCATCTCCAATTGGACCAACATCATTTCTTCCTTCCATCGATCCCGTAGTGCCTTTGCCCGGAGCCAATGAACTCGGTAAACTTCGGATGACTCCGTCAGCTGAGTGCGGGACACATCAAGCATGCCCGAACTCACATTCCTCATTCCACGAGTGATCGGGACCCCCAAGGTCGACTTCGACTGACCAGAACCAAGCGAGGGACTCGTTTCGCTGACCTCGGGCATTTGGATCGCCGACGGCAGTGCTGATTTTGAGTTGCTCTCGAAGCAGGGGTTTGTATTTCTGAACCTGGTCTTGCCCTGGCTCCAGTTGCATCATTTGCTTCCTCGTCTTCGTATATATACTGGCATGGAGGGACACTGCCTGCTGCACCGACGTCACCTGGGACCAAGCTCGAGTTTTCAGGGCCTGGGATTTGGCTTGCCTAACTGTTGTTCGAAACAGAATCGCCTTGTTGCACAAGTGAATTCGGAGGTTGTGAAGGGAGTCATTGGCCTGCCCTTCACGAAGAGACATCTCCAGCGGAATGAGATCGTCTGCCATACAGCGTCTGCATCGATCTACCCCGAGGTTTGATGGCAATGGGATTACAGTGAGCTCAGGGGAGTTTGCCCATGTGTCAGATGTCTCGGTGAAGTCTGCCAAGTCATCATCGAGATCATCAAGAATGTCCAAGTACAAGTCTTCAGGATCATCATCTGCATCAAATCCCTCTCCGAGATGCGTAATAGCAGACCGAGTGAATCCATCTATCTGGCCTTGGAGACGATCGCGTTGCCGGGCGATGTCTAACTTCTGTGTCTCGGTAGTTCTTCTACCAATTCTTCGGACCTCGATGAGCAATGCGATTTGAGCCTCTTCAATCGCCAACCCCATTGATATCCATGTCGCCACAGACCTGCGAGCAGGTGCTGCATTTCGGGCATTACCCTCCTCTAGTAGCCTAAGCTCGATCTCCTTTTTGCTCGGTGCTGAATGCAAAATTAATTCAGACTTTGATGGAGACAAAGTCAACTAACCCTTCTTGATATTAATCTCATATACATCCATAGCCGCAGGATTATTTATTCTGCTGGACTGAGCGATCCTCTCGCTGGCTAGCCACTCTGTCTTTGAATCGCCGGGTGCTGCTTCATTGAGTATGTCGAAAGCCTTTTCACTTTCGGCAATGCCATTCTTCGCCTGCTTGTATTTTCGGCAAAGGGTCCTTTTCATGCGGATCATCTTGCAGAAATTGGAATCATTCATCTGATAATCGAGACATTCCTTTCGATGCGGGGATGACATTCCCCGAGCAGCAGGGGAAATCAGGTTGAGACGTGACCATAGGGTCTCCATGATCTCTCCATCAATCCGACCGATGCCTTCGATAAAATTCGACGCATATCGGACATAGCAGCTGTCCTGATGTCCGTGGATGTGCCACAACCCGATTCCGGGAATGATGGTCAATTCCGGAACCATTTCGAGAAATCGGCTTCGATCCACCCGAACCCGAAAGTGCTTGTTGTATTGACAGTTGATATCATAGAAGGTGACCGCCCTGGTGATGCCTTCCATGTTGTGCCGGGCAGCCTCACAAAGGGCATAGTCCATGTTCATTTGTCTGCGAATGATGCATGGTTAACTCGTGAATATCGAATGGCTGGGTCGGCTTGCCTTTCGCCTTTCTGAAAATCTACCATCGAGTGAGGAACAAAGCAACCGTGTCTCGCACAGGCTACTCCCCCGATACCCGTGGATTCCAGCTTGTGCCGAGCCGCATTTGCTTGATTTACTGCCCGGTGATTGTTGCAGCTTGATTTTTCTAAAGTGTCGGCAGCCTCTGCAAGATGCGTGTTATACCTGTCCTTTCCCACCATGAATCCCAACCCATCTGACAGCCAAACTTCATCAAATGGCTTCATGGGATGCAGGTGTTCAGCTTTGAAATTTCCATCCATAACAAATGACCGGGTGTATTTCCACCTTGGAGTTGTTATTATTGCTGAGGTGACTTCGGTATCGAGGAAGACTCACTCATCAAGTGATTCATCCCCTGAGAAGGACACATTAATCCCAGGCTGAGGACATGCCGGGCAAAATAATGCGAGATCTCCTGCATTCGGGCTGTCGGAACAATGGCCGAAGCCATGCCATTTCATCGTCTTCAACTGCCTCCACTGTCGGGCGACTCTCATGAGCTCTCGGTATCGGTCCTTGCCCCATGCCTTGTCAATATAATGTCCTTTAGATGAGAGAGACATGGCATTACCGGTACAAGGTGTGGAAACATCCTCGAGGTCATTCGCCGGAGCTTGCTGTAATAGTTCATCGCCGAGGTCCCACATTCAAGGTTGTCCAGTAGAAAATCATCGAGAACCCTGAAGGTGAACAAAGTCTTCGGCTTGTTAAATGAAGCGGGGAAAAATCCATGTCGAAACATTTGAAGGTCTGGACTCATGGCATTTGGACAATCGCAGCATCGAACCCGGAGGCGATGAACTCCGGACTTGTCAATGATGACCATGGTGTTTTCCTTCGGCTGGAACTCGGGTCCCGACACAGATGGTAGATCTTCAGGCTCAAGCTGGTCTTCCGGTTCGTCTTCTTCGAACAAGTCCCACCTATCCGTAAGTACCGGACATTGTTTGCCCTCATGACCGAGGTGTATGACGAGTCCGACGTGAGCGAGACAACTTTGCTCAAAGAATTGACCATTCCATTGACTGATCCAATGGAAGGGATTGCAAAGATGTTGACTTCTGCAACAGCCAGTGCAATAGAGTGGCTCCCCAAGACAATCTTGACATTTGTAGACCCCATCCTGGTCGCAGACGACGCATCTCCTATCTTCTGGTGGAGCTTCTCGATCCAGGAGGTGATGCAGATATGATTTCTGCCTTGGCAGCCATTGCCTGAGGTAGTCATTCTGACTCTGGATTTGTTATACTTAGCTATCATTTGAATTGCAATGCAACATTTTACATGAACTTGCCATGGTTTTTGGGAGTTGCAAAGGCTCAAATGAGCCTTGGTCTTGCTCGTAAGTATTGTCAGGAATGTCTTCCCAAAGAGGTGGTGCCTCAACAGGCCGAAGTGTTGGTGATTCTGGGGGAGAGCTAGGCATGGACCTGTATGCACGTCTTTTTGTGCTTGCAAGTGGGACCTTGACCCAAATTTTCCTACCTCTGCTTCCCCTTGCTTCTACCCTGTGGGATCTTTGCAGTGGGGTGCATCTACCTATCTTCATGTTATTTTCTAAGGCTGCAAGCAAAGCACGAGCTCAGGAATGCGAATAAATTGTTA